GCCGTTGGACTTCGATTGAAGCCTCCGATTGTACTTTCCGGGAATTTTTTCCTGCCAGGGCCCGGATCTCGTTTGCATCTCGGTTTGATCTCGTTTTTGATCTCGTTTTTTTTCCAGGCTCAGATTCCCCGGCCACGTCTATACCTATGTTTGCACAGCCATCAGGGACATCAATAGACTCATGCGGCCGGAGCATCCATAGCGTACTTGGAGACAGTGAGGGGCAAATGCGAGACAAATGGGAGACAAGCGGGAGACAAGTGTAATAGTGTACGACCAGGCGGCGCAGAGCACCCACAGCGTAGCCGGAGAGCATACCAGGAACGCAAACCCGGAGACAGAAACAAAATAATGCGGTCCAGGAATGCAAGGCTTTCAAAGGAGTAAGAACCCCATACAGGAAAATTTTACGGTTTGCGTTCAAAGTGTGAAGGGACCAAAAGGCATGGCTCAGGCATGACATCGTGGTGTTGCGTTCCCAAGGGGGAATGCAAAAGGAATGGCTTAGGCGTGACATTGTCGGGTCCCTGTATTTGTTGATTGAAACATTTCTCCATGCTCATACTTTGCAACTTTTACAGCGCTGTTTGCTTTGTGTGAAAATGAAAGTAACATGTCGCTCCGGTTTTCGCACGCGCATGTTCTTTTTGCATTGGTATTTGCATTTTTGTTTTTGTTTTTGACTCCCAGCCTCCGTTTCGCTCAAAAGTACTTTTTTCATATGCTTGCCCGGTTTGTTCCAAGTCACATGATTTTTCCCAACCCTTTGGTCAAGATGGCATGGTTGCCCAAATTGCTTCGCCACATCAAACCCCAAACATACCACATTAACTCTTAAGCAATGCCACCTCCAGGTCTGTCCTTAGCGTGCGGAGACTGAGGCAATGCCCTTTCAAGACTTTGCCGTTAACGGTCGAAGCATTTCGTGCCAGCGACCAAAAAAAAGACGCTACCCCATCTTGCTTCCTGGATTTAATGTTTTTTGCGAACTTTTGGTTTTGTTAAATGACACACATTTTTTTTTTTAAATTGTTGTGCGCGCGGAAAACTGTATTCTGGTCAGTTCCCTGCACAGGTCAAAGAGAAGCTGGGTCTTGCAACCGTTGCTGTAAAACACATGCAAGTTGGTAGCATTCAAATCTGTGAAAATCACGGCTGGGCCATTCTGCTACTACAAAACGCGGCATCAAGAACGCCCTAGAAGTTCGTAGAGAACATGTTGGAACGGTAACCTCAGCAGGCCCCTTACAAATTCCAAGAACATGTTGAAAACGTAGCGTTACAAGCGGTTTGGAAATTCCAAGTGCATGCTGGAAACGTAGCATCGAAAGCATCCTAAAAGGTCCAAAACAAAGAGAGTACTTAAATATAAAAATGAAAATAAATAAATTAAACACAAATATGTATATATATGGATGGGTAAACACACACAATATAATAGAAATATAAATATAAATATATAAATAAATATATATATATTTGTATGTATGTATGCATGTATGTATGTATGTATGTATGTATGTATAGATGTATGTATGTATGTATGAATGTATGTATGTATGCATGCATGTATGTATGTATGTATGTATGTGTAACCAGCACGCACACGTCAAGAACGTTATTACACCCCCGAACCCTTCTCAACCCCTTCCAGCCCACGACTCCGACCACATGATGTAATGGAAAATTTTCCGAAATGTACTAAAACGCCAAGGGTGTTTATCAACCTGTCGCCAACCGCATATGCCCCAGCCGCACATTTGAATCTTTCCGACGGGCAGTTGCTGCATGCGCAACGTGCTTCCATCTGCGCATGGCACCGTTGTTCCCATGTTCCATTGTCAGACTAAAATGGGCAGTGCAGTTGGCAAATTTGGTTTGGTTGCGTGCATGCTGTTTTCATTTTGAGCATATTCAGTGTCCGTCGCCTCAGAATAGCCTCACGGGAACGAAAATTGTTTTGTGCGTGTGCGCGGTGGCAGGGACATCGAACTCGCCGGGGCTCAGCCAGAGCAGGGGCGAAAATGTCCGCCAAATTCATCTGGACTTTGGGTTTCAAGCAGGTGAACGCACTTGTTGCACAAAGAGAAAATGCAACCCAACACTCTAGATCAGGGACACCATCATCCAGTTGGTGACACAATAGTTTTGCCGAGCAGAGCGTACGTAGCAACATCAGGTGTGCGGCATGACGAAAACGCAAACCCAAATCGTGAGTGAAATACAATCAATTGATCAATTGGAACATTTTTGTTTTAAACATATGTATATGTATGTATGTCGCCATGTGTTGATGTATCCACGTGCCGCTTTATTTTTGTATCACTCTATCAATGTACCAGTGTATCAGTGTATCAACGTGTCAATGGTATCAATGTATCAATCAATTTTTGTCTCGGTTTTTGTTTGTATCCATGAGCATCTACATGCATGTGTGTATAAATCTATTTACACACATACATATCACACAAGCGCACGCACACACAGCGACACACACACACACACAGCATTAAAAAAACAATTGCAAAAAATAAAATCGATTAAGTAACAAATTCATCCTGCAAACCCCTTTTTCTTACGAACCACCACAAATAGTAAGTGATATAACCCGGCACGAACCCGGACAGCCTGCAGCCCGTTTACTTCACATTGTCCATTGAGAATTAGTGGGCCGACGAACGCGTTGCCAAATGTGCCACATATTTAGCCCAATTTTGTCACAGAGATTGTTGTGACACCAAAAAAAATACCACTCACATATGAACCTTCACTTTGCGCTGGTATGCTCTAGGACGGCGGCTGGAACACAAAAGCGGCATGGGAAACAATCCATAAACCGAGTGTAGGAAGCGACACAAACTACCAACGCTGGGGCGTCTTGCGGCCAAGTGCCTGTCGCAGAAGGGCGGCTCGTACAATCAGTAAAAGTTTGCACCCGGCAAAAAAAATACAACCATTTGTTTGCATATCCAAATGTTTGTTGGTTTTTTTGTGCGAAGTTCAAAAAAATCAACTGCCGTGAATTTGCGTGGCGCCATTCGTGCTTCGGCCGGAAGGAAAGGACGCAGTCCAGGTATGCGTCGCGCCATTGCAGGGCAAAGTGCGGTGGTGGAGCGCGGCCGGTCGCCATGAGTAGCTGCGCCGCGAAACGTCACATTTGGCCACAGGGAATGATATGACAGTATTGTAATAACGCCACCGCTTGCGCGTTTTGTTTTCAATCTGGTTGTGGAACATTTTCCATCCGCAATTGGATGTCATCAGCGATGCGTGGCGCATGGGGGTGATTGGGGGTGTGATGGGTGTGCGCGTGTGTGTGTTTGTTTTGAATGGTTGTAATCGTGCGCACGTTGTTCCATTTTCGTCGAAAGATGTTGCCCGGATAAGTCCAATTCAAACATCGCGTCGTATATGCGGTAAGAAATCGCACGGTGAAACGAGTAGGCCCGCCATTTCCTGAAGGTGCACTGGCGTGACACCACCAATAGTTCCACGGTGGCAGCGCCTGGCAGTGCCCAAAGGGAAACTAGGCACAATCGATTGCCTGGAACTTATTGTTCTGAGTCCTTTTTCGTCGTTGGGAAGGGTTTGGGTGACGCAGGGCGCATGGAAACATGCTTACTTCTGAGTGCGACACGCATGTAGGCATTTTTTTTTTTGGTTTGGTGGGTTTTGGGACCAAAAAAAAGTGAAGGATTGCAGGGTCAGAACTGAGAAAGTATTATCAGAAATCAAATTTGAATCAAAACGTGTATTTGCAACTGTCCTTCGAGGGACGGCACAAATCCATTGTGACTTTGCGAATGTTATTGGGCCATGTGGCCAAGTGGACTCCTTCAAGTGGACCCACTTGTTGGGAGATGTTGGGAACAACATGTGATTCCACAACAGTCATCGTCAACATCAAACGCCATGTTCGCTGCTTTATGGGAATTTGTGCTGGCTGGCAGACAAACATGGTTCGACAATTCAGCCTTAGGTAAACATAACCTAAACAAACCTACCCGTTTCGTGACAAAATGCATGTTTAAGCAAGACAGCGGGGTGTGCGCACAAAGAATTCGGTCACACATGTTTCAAAAACAAAACCGTTTGGACTGATGCATTTTCACGTGCCAGTGCAGTGAGCTCACGGATCTAGGATCTGCACATGGCTAACTTAAAGTGCTTTGCGCATAAATACATTACGCGGAAACAGGACAATAACCGAATGTGCTGGATGTAGGCACATGGAGCCCGAGCGCCATGGACAAAGATGTTGCCTTCCAAGAGTACAGGCCAGTGAATATTTTTCCATGGCATGGTTGTATCACATTGTCAACACGTTTCATGAAATACTTATGATTTGAAAAATTGTTTGCAACGAAGGGTTTGCACGGGATAATATGAGATGGAACAGTTCGGGATGTTGGTTTTGTCATTCGTGCCACCAGCCGAACAGAACAATACAGATTGTGATTTACAAAGGCATGTTTCAACATGATATTGCTTTGGAATTCAAACGAAATCATCTAATTCCCGATTTTTCGGATTGCCGATACAAATGTTCCTTGTGTCGCACACCAAGAACCAACCATAGCGGATTCATCGGTTTAGATTTGGCAGTGGGGGGTTTGAAAAACAATACGCATCAATAAACGTTTACCTTATTACCCGTGATGATTGTACATATTACCGTTACTAGCATACTAAGAATAAACATGTTAAAACTTAGTATTGTTGTTATTTTTACTATTTGTTATTAGCATTGTAATAATTATCATCATAATCACTATGTAATGCAACGTTGATTTTTTTGTTTGGACTATTTTTTTTTACCGCCCCATGATTACTATTATGATGATGATGATGAGTATTATTATTATTATTGGGATTTCTTGCTCCAATGTTCATTATTGTTATGTTTTTCTTTGTCTTATGGTAATCAGGCACTATTGGAGTTGTGTAAAAAAGTCAAATGAGTAGCCAAGGGATGTATTTATTGGTTTTCTTCCATTACGATGTTTTGGGTGTCCCCTTCAGCCGCCTTGGACAGGTACGCTAGTGCCGTGGTGGGTCGTTTGTTGCATCCCGTGAGCAGCGCTACGGCGGTCAGTCGAGGGCCTGGCGGCTATCGAGACACGTTTCATGAAGCCGCTCCGGTGGAACTGGCAGGATTGGATTAAAAAAATTGTGGATTTCAAACGATGCAGGAACTTCACAATGAAAATTAGGGGAAAATGAGAATTAGAGGGTTATGTGGAGGTAAACATCAATCAAATAGATATGAACGTTATCAATTCGGTCCAGCCACAATGCTGGATCCACGCTTGGGACAATTGTGCGTTTTTAAAAAACAGTTACGATGAATAGGAAATGAGGATTTGGAACCTGGGTTAAGGGATGAACATAAGAACAAAAATGGTGGACCTGCTGATCAGAATGTGCTGTGGGTTTTTTATCCAACCTATGGGTCGGGATGGGTGATTAAACCATTCACTGTTAGTAATTAATGATCACAATCATTGGTGGGGACTTCACGCGCAGCTGGTTGTCTCTACTGCTGTCACACGGCACTAAAGTCAAAGGCGGAAAAAATCACTGTTAGTAAGGATAAAATCCGTCGATTGATGGGCTTTTTGATCCCAACAACATGGGATTGACTGAGTGACCCACCCAGAATATGAATACAGTGGAATTGCAACTGTATGATGTGGGTTTGTCCAACAATGTGGATAAATTCATCGCCATGAAGCAAACAAAGAACATGGTGATCAACAATTATCTTCAGGCACCCCTCTTGCAGACAAACTTACAGTTTATATAGATGTTAGATTATGTTCATTCCAGTGAGAAAGCCGCAGCTTGGGTTCCCTTGTTTTGGGAGTAGAGTTGAAGATTGGTCACCCTTTGTGGTTGCAGACCACTGGATGGCAGCGAGGACCATCCAAGTGGTCAGTACCTATGGTTTGGTCGCAAACCCCCGGCTCATGAGACGTACTAGATTGCTTCCGGGATTCTACGGTCGCTGAGGCATGTGCATCCAAGGAAACTTCGCTGCAGTCAGACTGGTGGTGTAGAGGTCCCTCAGACTTTTTGCCGAGAGGCCTGAATTTTTAGTGGTTTACAGTATACATCATAGTTCTTTTTGGTGTATGCCAATGCCCTTGCACCCAGTAGTGATAACCAGGGATATCATACTTTCAGCATTGATTCCCAAAACCTAGCAGTTTAAAGTACAGGTGGGTGGCAGGTCGACCCCTGGAGTAGTAAATCCTAGCGCTGATGAACCCCCACCAAATGACATTGGCTCTGAAAATGATTCTCACCCAAGGACACCAAGGTTGACCTCCATATATTTGTTGTCACCGGTTCAGCCCCAATTTGGTTGGGTCAGAATCCGTATTCCTGGGTTGAAATCCGAATTTTTCTAGCTGAACATAAAGACAAATCAGCCAGACAGGTTTTCTTTCAAACAAGGTAACAAGGTCCTGTGCCCCCTAGTTTTAAGTAGGTTGATGACATACAACCATCATCGAAACGTTAGATTATATATAATTATTGAACTAGTTATAACTATTTAATGATACATGAACTGTTCATTCATTAACCCTCATGGATTATAGATGTACCGATTACAAACCCTACTTGGTGGTTCACGCCGGTTAGTGGGTGACAACCCCAGATTTCTTAGTGGACTAAGCCTACTTAGTGGGATCCAGGAGTTGCTGCTGAACTTGGGCGCCGAGCTGGGTGACTGGCTGCTGCTGAGCGGCGGCCTGGGCCAAAGCCCCTGGGGCCCGTGCGGCCCGTGCTGGGCGCGGCTGGTGGATGCCAAGGAAGTGCTGGCGCTGGAGCCGCCCAGCTGGCAGAGAAAGGCGCCGCGTGGCAGGTTTGATGGGAAATCACCAACAGTGCTGTAAGCCATCCAGAACTAATCCAGAACGTTTGGTGGATGAACTCGTGAATCCCGCAAAATTTGGTCCCAAAATGATGACTGAGGATGGTTGACACTCTGGATCCCACATAGTGGGGGATTTCCATTGTCAGGACAAATGATCAGAGGGTACAATGTATCACAATGCACTTGTATCTTGGTGGAATGCACTGGATATATTCCTGACTTGGGGGGCTCCTTAGTGTGATTTGTTGACCTTAGTTAGCCTTAGTTCCCAGTTGCAATTCTTTCCCGTAGCTATTGGCCCATTTGATCTGCCAGGAGCTGCCTTTCATTCACCTACCTGCCGGATTGTTGGAAATGCTGGGGGCAACTGCTGGGCGCACCGAGATTTCGGTGAAATGGAAGGAGGGCTTGCAACCTCCCCAGGGACGTCGTTTGGTCTTATCCTCGGTGATGAGTTCCTTGTCGTTTTCAACAGCTCATCAGGCAAGTTGCGCTTCACAATTTCCAAGCAAGGGCTATGTCGGCTATGTGATGAAATCCGCGACAGTGAGTGTTGCAGTGTTGGCAACAAATAGGTTATAGCCCCCCAAATCCAGTGGTTTAGTATGTGTTTCCATGATATTATTGGGAGCTATCTCCTCTGTTTCTGGATTTGCCCATGCTCTGTGAACCTTTGGGTTAGGTATGGATCGTTCAGGAGTTCCACCCTGTCAGGAAGCCGCCTTGAAGAGTTTTTTCCATGTCCCCCGAGTCCTACGAAGTGGTGAGGTCCTGGCCATTCCACTGCATGGCCTCTCGGAAGCGTTGAGGGCTGTGGAGGTGCCACGGGATCCAGCAGAGAGCCGGGTGGTGCCAGACTTGGACGCTACGACAGAAGCGGAGGTCTTTGAAGTGGCACCCCATTTGGGAACCCAGGAGGTGGCGCAGGCAGATCCCCTGCATGGCTTCGCCTTCTGTGACTTCTTCAGCTTTAAGGTGGAAGTCCTTGAGGGCCCATGCGAGTCCCACAGTTTTCAGATTGACAAAGCGGCGGAGATACGGCTGAAGGGCAGCAGCCAAGCGCGCGGCATTCCCTACATCAGCAGTCACCAGTTTTGCGAAGCCCCTCCAGCCCTTCTGCCGTCACTGCGGCCAGCCATGGAACGTCTTCTTGGGATGTTGGCTCCTGCAGTTCGCGCTTGGGAACTCAGAACAGTACCTGACCTGCCATCTATCCTGACCATCGGCCCCCGGGGCTGTGGCAAGAGAATCTTGTGGCGGAGCGTTTGCGAGCGCCTGGGCTTGCACCTGCTTGAGGTGAACTGCAGCCAGCTTGCGGATGGCGGTACTGAGGCACGGGCAACATGTACGTTTCGACCTTTTTGCATGTTTTGCTGGGTTGAAGAGAGTCATGGGGAATGGACGCATATGGAAGGTGACAGCTTAACAACCTTGATGAGGGTCCCCTGCCCCGAATTAAGTAGCTGTGGGAGTTTTGGGTTCTGTGTGCCCCGGAGGCACGAGTTCAAGAGCTCTGCGCTGAAGCCGCCAAGCTCTCGCCCTGTGTTTTATGCTTCCGGCGGCTTCAAGCCTTGGCCAAGGCTGGGCCATCTGCTTCCCCTGCTGCCACTCTGCTGCAGCAACGTCGGGTGGAAGAAGCCTTGGCTGGTGCCCTCCGGAAGGCCAGGGCGGAGGAGCGGGTGCTGATTTTGGTGGCAGGGTCCTGTGAGGATTTGGAAGATATCGGTGGCCCCTTACGGCAAGCCTTCCGGCTGGAGATGGAGGTGCCCCGCCCCACCGAGGCACATCGGCACTTTGCCATTGCGAGGTTGATGGGTGGCACGGTGAAAGCCAAGGCAATCCCAAATGGCCAGGGTGATGCAGTAGAGCCTTGCCTGGGGACCGCCATGGCTAAACTCACTGCTGGTCTTTCGTACACCGATCTGCGGTCAGTTTGCACTGAAGTTCTGATATCGCATCCCAAGATCTCTTTGGAGGAGTCGCCTGCCCCCGAAGTTTCACAACTCATTGAGCAGGCGGTGAAGCGATTGCAGGGTGGATCCAAAGTCGCAGTGACCTTGGCTTCCAAAGTGCAATGGGCAGATGTGGGCGGCTTGCAGGATGCCAAAGAAGAGATCATCAACTGCATCACCCTGCCATTGTCGCAGGGGGACCTCTTCGCAGGACAGAAAGTGCGCAGTGGCGTGCTGCTGTTTGGCCCCCCTGGCACCGGCAAGACGCTTCTTGCTAAGGCAGTAGCAACAGAATGCAAAGTCCATTTCTTGAGCGTCAAAGGGCCGGAACTTCTCTCCATGTACATTGGCGAGAGCGAGAAGAACGTGAGGCAGCTAACAGCATGAACAGGGGTTTCATCATGTATATATATATATAACACTTATAACTTATAAACTTATAACCATAACACAAAAATATAGCATATTCAACATCAGTCATGGTAGTGGCAACCGAACAGGTGCACCAATTGAACGTCTCCAGCCCCATTTATAATTGATTGTGATGCTTGTCATTGTATGTATGCCACTGTTTTTGTTTTTGTTAAACCTTGCCACGCTTTAAAATTCTTCTTTCTGGCCAATTAAGACACAAAGTTGGATCCTTAACCACCAACACTAATGGTTCATTTTTGTTACTTGGATGGTGCGAACCTCATTTTCGATACTTCGAACCCATTTTATTTACAACCAGCCATTTTCTCATGGTTACCATGCCATTTTTGAAGATTTTGATGCTTAAATCCCAGTTTTCCACCAGTTTTCCACCAGTTTTTTCATGGCTTCCCCTGGTTTTTTGCAAACTCGCAGGTCGCTCTTCCAGAACGCCCGGGACCTGGCGCCCTGCGTCCTCTTCTTCGACGAGTTGGACTCCTTGGCGCCCGCCCGGGGCCGCGGCTCCGACTCGGGCGGCGTCATGGATCGGGTGGTGTCGCAGCTGGTCACCGCAGCTCGCTGTGAGTGGATGAAAAATGGATGAATCACTATTGAACACTGTTAAACATATGGATAAAACTGTGGTAAATTCAGATAAACATATGATACATATGGATGATTTTGACCGAAATACATTCTGTATATAAACATCTTTTTGGTATTGTTTTTGGCTATCTATGTGAATAGATGATGAATGAAGAGATGATGAATGTATAGGGGAAGAGTCCGGGAAGAGTAAACCCACGCATGATACAGACACGCGGGCATACAAGCGAGAGACGTACAGACAAGCGGCCATAGTACTGACAGAAGTGCAGATATGCATCTGACAGCGGGTAGGCTGCTAGTTTCTAATAATTATGTTCTGGAAGATGACCTTTTTGTGCATGCATCGATGTATATGCATCATAGACAGGAAGACAGCCAGAGAGAGAGAGAGAGAGAGACAAAGAAAGGGAAGGAGAGAGGGAGAGAGTGGATAGATAGATGGATGTTTGCATAGACTTACATCTTATAGATCCCTACTTATAGAAAAATCAATCTATCCACTCACTAGATAAAATTCCACTAGATCTCTTCAGACCAGGAGTTGGACACCATGCCCGCCACCGTCTTCATGGTGGGAGCCACCAATCGCCCAGACTTATTGGATCGATCTCTGTTGAGACCCGGCAGATTGGATCGGATGGTCTACCTAGGCCTGGCACGGGGGGCATTGGGGCCACTTGGGGAATCAAAGGGTAGCTGGGTTGATGGGAGAACATATTAAGGGATGGACTGAAGAGGTGACTACGACTTGGGTTCCATCACTTTCCTCCCAGTTTGGGTATCTCACTGCTGATTCATCATTCTTTCCATTTTCAAAGAGCTATGGTTTCACCGTGCAGCGGATAGATTTGTCAGGTGTCGCCTCGGACAAGTTGCCGCTCTTGTCGGCCATTTCGCGAAAGTTTGTGCTGGACACAGGAGATGTCTCCGGTGCCTGGGTTCACAACCTCCCGTGTGTGGAACCTGGTGTTGATCCTGCAGCATCCAGCGGAAAGCATTTCCAGTAGGCCCAACAGTACGGCAGCTGTCTCTTGAAACAGCTGCCGTCATGTCTGTGGCAATGGGATCCATCTAAACCCAGCTGAAATGACTTTTAAACCTGTGACACACCAGATGCGCAGTGTACCTGGCAATTGAGGTGCCGGGTTGTTGGAAGTCGTGGCGAAATCATGCCCGCCAAACCTCACCGGTGCAGACGTCTCGGTGCTTTGCGCCGATGCCTATTCCATCGCACAGAGGGAACATATCGCCAAGTTGCACGAGATGGCGGATGGTCTGAGGGTGCAAATCAGCAGCCCGACGAAAGTGGCGTGGGACATACTGCAGAACCTAACGCAATTTCCACGAAGGTCATTTTTCATCGCTAAAACTCGGGTGAAAGGACTACTCTTTGCAGACTGGAGGGAATTTAGTGTCACTATCCTCTATTTTGCCTTCATGTCTGTACAGTATTGTATCACAAAATGCCACAGTTTCAAGCTGATTCATTCTGTTTCCTTCTTGTCAGCACTATGCAATCGCTGGCTTTCAAAACATGCATGAACGCAAGAAATGCGGATGCATTGAAACAAGACAGGCAGGCCCATTCCGAGCATTCAACAAACATGACAGGAACACACAAATGCAAAGAAGCGCACACAATTCTCAAGAAGATGCAAAACACGTCAAACAACCCCAAGGAAAACTCTGCTTAAAGCCATTTGGGGGAACAATTCAACCAAAGTTTATATTGAATGACACAGCATGAACAATGAATAGCCCAACTGGATCCAAAATTGCATTTTGTCCCCCACAAGTAGCTCTCCATAGCTCTCCCATCCAGGCACTCTTCTGCTCTTCCTGGACTCTTGGGAGCTCCATCTGTCCACATCCTACTGCTGTCGCAGCTTCCAAAGCCTTTGGGCTGGCGAGGTGGACAGTTCCACGGTGCTCAACTCGCTCTCCTTGCTGCAGCCTGCCTGCAGCTACTTTTTTTGTCCGTCAGGTGGGGCAGGGCTTGGGGTTTTTGGGGTTTGGGGCCGGGCCTGAGGTTTCCGCTGCGCGGTGCTGGGGTTGGGAGCTGAGCCCAACGTGGCTGCATAGCATATCGTTTTAGTTCTTGTAGATGCAGTTCAACGACGCATATGACCTGCCACTCGAACTTGCGTTTCAGGATTATTGGTGGTTGAGTTTCTGGTGTTCTGAGGCTAAATCATCGAAGAACACCGCTGGCTTGATGCTGTACGGCAGTCCGAAGTGCGAGGAGAGCCGAGGGAGAGTCAAGGAAGGCATTCCTTCACCCGAAATTGTCATTAAATGAAGAGTATGATTCTGATTATTTATGATTTGCATTGATCAAGCAGTGGAATTTGGGCACACACCACTTTGGACAAAAATCAATGTCGTGCTGAAGTTCAGATTTCAGACATCCAATTAATCTAACAACTGGCTTCTCTTACTGGTTTTGATCATGACTTCAGGTGTTTCTGGCAAGGAGAGATGCCACATGATACATTGAAGCCACACAGCAGTGGAAGAGCATGCCATCAGCGCAGGCTCTTGTGATTGCTCACCACACTGGTGCTGAGGATCAAGGTGTCTGGCCATCACAAGGTGGTTCCCTGCTGCTGCCACAGCCAGCAGACCACGCAGGGTTCAGGGTGATTCTAACTATATAAATGCACTGTCAGATGGGATTATATAACACTATAAATCTACAAGTTTAATCATATTATTTCACCATTTTTCATTAGACAATTAAAATCACAACTACTAGAGCTACACAACTAACTATAACTATATTACATAAAGATTTGATATCATAACTATATATATTGTATTATTCCTATATTTCTAATATAATTCCTATAACTATATATATATATTTATCAATTTACCACCAGTGTTGACTTTTAACAGATTTCAGATGCAGCACCGAGGCTTTCGGGATGTGCATGCTGCTGTTGCACTGGTTTCCGGACAGGGTCCAGCCGCCGACATCGCGCAACGCCGCTTGGCGTGGGGATTTTGCTGCGGGATCCATGGCGTTTTGAGGGGAAATACCTGGGGAAAAACATGGGAAACCTCCAGAATTCATGGGACTACCATGGAAAAAACCATGAGAACATTGGTGTCCTGCAGATGTCCCCTCAAACCAAGCCATTGATATTGGTTTTTGGTCTCCTTGTTGATCACGCTGCCAAGATTGGTGACAGAAGTGTGATGCTTGACCCTCCTAGACCCCTAGGTTTCATATTCTATGGAATCATTCTGAGGGTATTTGATATTGGGGGGCTGAGATTATCACCAGCATCGCTTTCCAGGGACTGTCGTTTTGAATCTGGCCTTTTCCATCCCAGCCCCTGAAGCCAAGATGAAGGTCTCACAACTGTTCCTATCAACCCTGCGACATTCAAACATGTGACAAAGTTGTGTGTGAAAGATGGTGTGTGACAAAGAGGTGTGTGACAAAGTTGTGTGTGACAGAGGGGTGTGTGACAAAGTTGTGTGTGTGAAAGTGTGAAAGATGGTGTGTGAGAAAGTGTGTGTGACAAAGAGGTGTGTGACAAAGTTGTGTGTGACAAAGTTGTGTGTGAAAGATGGTGTGTGACAAAGAGGTGTGTGACAAAGTTGTGTGTGAAAGATGGTGTGTGACAAAGAGGTGTGTGACAAAGTTGTGTGTGAAAGACGGTGTGTGACAAAGAGGTGTGTGACAGAGTTGTGTGTGAAAGATGGTGTGTGACAAAGAGGTGTGTGACAAAGTTGTGTGTGAAAGATGGTGTGTGACAAAGAGGTGTGTGACAAAGTTGTGTGTGAAAGATGGTGTGTGACAAAGAGGTGTGTGACAAAGTTGTGTGTGAAAGATGGTGTGTGACTGTGTGACAAAGAGGTGTGTGACAAAGTTGTGTGTGAGATCGTGTGTGACAAAGAGGTGTGTGACAAAGTTGTGTGTGAAAGATGGTGTGTGACAAAGAGGTGTGTGACAAAGTTGTGTGTGAGATCGTGTGTGACAAAGAGGCGTGTGACAAAGTTGTGTGTGAAAGATGGTGTGTGACAAAGTTTTGTGTGACAAAGTTGTGTGTGACAAAGTTGTGTGTGACAGAGGGGTGTGTGACAAAGTTGTGTGTGTGAAAGTGTGAAAGATGGTGTGTGAGAAAGTGTGTGTGACAAAGAGGTGTGTGACAAAGTTGTGTGTGACAAAGTTGTGTGTGAAAAAGTTGTGCGTGACAAAGTTGTGTGTGACAAAGTTGTGTGTGAAAGATGGTGTGTGACAAAGAGGTGTGTGACAAAGTTGTGTGTGAAAGATGGTGTGAAAGATGGTGTGTGACAAAGTGTGTGTGACAAAGTTGTGTGTGACAAAGAGGTGTGTGACAAAGTTGTGTGTGAAAAGTTGTGTGTGACAAAGTTTTGTGTGACAAAGTTCTGTGTGAAAGATGGTGTGTGACAAAGTTGTGTGTGACAAAATTGTGTGTGAAAGATGGTGTGTGACAAAGAGGTGTGTGACAAAGTTGTGTGTGTGTGTGACAGGGAGGCGGCGGAGAGGGAGGAGGACGAGGAGGAAGAGGAGAAGCGGGATACAGAATTAAAAACAAGAACCCCACACAAAGATGTGGGTAATTACATTTCACTACATTACACGAATTACACTAACAACTACAACAACAACTACTACCACAACTACAACTATAATTGCAACTACATTACACTACACTACACAAATTACACTGCAGCACACTACAACTACAAGTACAACTACAAATGCAACTACAACTACAACCACACTACATTACACAACACTACGCTACGCCGATTACATTGCATTGCACTACAACTAAAACTGCAGTTGCAACTGCAACTACAACTACCACTACATTGATTACACTACGCTACACTCACTGCACTACACTACACTACACCACAGCACACTACACTACACTAAACTAATTGCATTGCACTACACTACAACAACAACAACTACACTACCTTACGCTAGACTACACTACACTATACCACACCACACTACACAACACCACACGACATTACACTGCACCACACTACACTAATTACACCACACCACGACTACAACTGCAACAGCACTTGCAACTACACTAATTACACTGCATTGCGACTACAGCTCCACTACACTACAGTACACTACAACTACAGCTACAAGTGCAACTACAACTACAACTGCACTACACCACACTACATCCAGCAGTTGTGGGAAGGTGACCACTGCAACCATTGCAACCATTCCAAAAAACACAACTCCAACCACCTGTCGGTCCATCAGTGGATTCGCTCTGCAATCCGTGATTCACAACAACCAACCTCTCCTATAGGTTTCCTGTTTTTGAAGCTTCCGCCACCGCCTTGTGCGGCACCACTGGTAATTCATAACAATATAGCGCCTACACAAGGTGGTGTTCCACCCCAGTTAAAAATTGGTTAAGTATAGATATATCACCAATAAGCAATAGTTTTTTGAGTTATAAACCAACTCAACTATTTAAAGGGGCGCCACCTTGCGTAAATAAAAATGCAAAAGTGAGGGACCCGCTTCAGGATGGATGGCCACCTGTGGAGACTCCCATGCCATGCTGAAGATGCTGCCACTTGGGATGCGATTCTTTTCTCCCGGAAGCGCAGCTGGAAAATCAGGTTTAACTATAACAAAATGGGGATTTACCCATCAAACATGGGGATTGAACCATGAAACATGGTGGTTTTTGATGGGATATTAGTGAGGACACAATTATACAATTGGAAATAAGGGACATGCCCCTTGTAATTTAACTTAGCTGTGGCAATCACAATTCTTAATCATCGAAAAATGGGCCATGTTCTAGAGCCATGTTAAATTTTCAGAGGGTACAGCAATATAACTGATACAACCATGAAGAAAATTGTACTTTTCATTTTTTAAAAGAAGAACAGCAGCACGTGACTTTCATTGTTTAGAATGGTGGTGGTTTTGCCTATCAAACGATGTGGTTTTAAGCATCGCAGTTGAATCCATACAATGTGGTGCATCTACCCGATGGCCTGGAGATCATTTGGCCAAGGCATTTCGGGGCCCAAGTTGAAACTGGGGAATATGGCCAACACGTGGGGGACTTGGGCACGCATGTGGGGATATTACAGCTTACCCACCATATAGTTTCGGGAACATCCATACAAATCAGCTATGGTGACGTGAGAATCAGGGTGGGGTGCTCCATGCCTGATCTCCCAGGCATGGTTTCAGCATGCTGCAATCTCTGCAAGTTCGTGTCAGTCAAAGGCTGCGGAGCCGGGTGGACAGCCGATGCTGGGTGTGTTTTGTAGAAAGGATACATCAACTGATTTGCGTTTTCTACAAACACAATTCACCATTTTTGTTTTGCCACCCTACAGTTGGTTCATAGTGCTGAAACAGGTGGTTCAGCCACCAAGAAGTCAAAGACTTGCACCTTGCAACCTGGAGAAACATCCTGAGGCATTTCGAAGAAGCCTTGGCCAAATTGCAACCCTCCGTGCCCATGGAAGCCTCTTTGCTGAAGATTCAATCAATGCAGTTTGAGATGCCAAAACAAACCGAAAACCCAACTTACAATCAATGACCTCAAAAGAGAGTGTGGACCTCAAATAGATTAAGTCCTTGAAATCTAAGATGGAGAACCCAATCTTTCCTTTCAATTTGACGAAACCCGCAAAATCTCGGTCTGTTCTGAGGATCTACTGCGATATGAGAAGCTCCGGGGCGAGTACCAAAATACGAAGGGCTGAAAACACTGCCGTCCGTGGTCCTTCCGGGGATGTGGGGCTTCCTCTGAGAGCGGACATGGCCACAGGTTCAAATCAGCCTTGAGCTTTATCTTCCACAGGCCTGAAGTTTATTTCTTACTGAGATGTGTCTTACATGGCGGAAGAGGCTTGCTCTTGATCTCTCAGGTTCTCCGCTGGCTTGGCTCTGCAGGTAGCTGTTAAGTGCGTTGGCGTTGGCTATGCGTGTGTAGGGGCCGTTGTTTCGTGGCCACAGGGGCCCGAGCCCTCTCGACCGAAGGGGGCTGAGCCGAAATGAGCAAGTGCCCGGCTCAGTTGATTGGTCATCACCTTTTGAGAGCATTTGGTGAGGGATGGACATCCGCAACAGCCTGTTTCTTCTTTTTTTTGGGATGATCTTGGTGTGAAAGCCAGGGTGCCCGAGTTTTGAACCACCCAATGGGAACATCCTCATTTTCCCGGCCGTGGACAGCGTGCTTTTGAATCTGGATTAACCTTGTACTAGTAATCCGGGCGGCAGATCCTCTTACAAACTCAAACCACCGATTCATACCACCAGTTAACCATTATTTGATTTCTTCGCAAATTATATGATAGAATCTATTCCCATATTTTCTTGGCCGTTCTACCTATTTTGCTGGTCTTTGCGTCAACATCAATTCTCCACAGGAAATTTGTGGCGGCAAGAGGTCCAGTTGAATGGCCCTTTTGATCAAAAGGCCAGCAATCAGATCCCCCGGAACAGAAACCGACCCTTACATAGGATTGCAAATGAATGGATCCACCACCAAGTCCTTACTAGCAGGGAAAGGGCTCGGATCTTTTTTGAGAACTTGAGCTGCTGAGGACTACTGCGCCCAAGCCCATTGCTCCGGCAGGGGGTTCGGCATGGCGCCACTACCAATCAAAGGAGGCGAGAGCGGTGCGTACAATCAGCGTTGGGGGGCGTCAGGCCAGGGTTTGAGAGCGGAATCAAACTCATGTGATAGAGCCAGAGGTAAATCTTCAATTTTATCGTTTCGGGGCTAGAAAACGAATCGAACTGAGCAGATTCCAGGGCACTTCAACACTGACAGGTGTTGGGAGTTGAAGGATCTGCAGGACTCATTGGCATCTTTTCCCGCAGGCTGGGAGCTGCCACTCCTAAGGACAAAGCAAAATAACCCTGGCCGATCAAGCCACATAAATGATTGCGAATCATGCGAGTAACAAACAGGGGAACCTTCCGGAATTCAGGATCATGACCCATTTTTTTCCTCCATGAATTCAGTAAATCATGACTCAAATATCCAGTTTACCAACCGTTGTATCAGTTATATAAGTTATATCAAGCATTATATCAACCATTAGCAATTTATCACCCCAACCGTGGGAAACTGGATGGTGCTGCCAGGAAAAGTTCCAAAGAGGCCGAAGTCATCGACCCGGAGCTTCTGGAGGCCGAAGCGAAGGAGGCGAAAGCGCGGAAATACGGAGGCGCCGCCTGGAGCAGATGGCGCCTGGGAGGGTTTTCCATCCAGCAGAAATGCATAGAAATGCTACATGAGTGTATTTTGAATTATTTTGATGTATTTTCGAAATTTCAAGATGCTGACTTGAAGACTGGATTTGCGTGGTTTGATGGAGAATGCGCTAGAGACCTATACATAATTACACACATATATATATGTTTGGTGTTGTTCTGTCACACTTCTTGTTGGCAATGGTGCATGCTCAGCAGATATTATGTGTTTGTTTGGAAGTCGGGTGCTCCAAAGTCCCATGGTTTATGATCATTTTGCATGTGCAAGGGCAAAGTTTCTAGGGGTCAATCCAGTATCTTCAGGCAAGGCGAGATATCTAAGCTACTAAGCTTAGCCAATGTGATTTCCCTCCACACTATCCCCAGCATCGGATGGATCGTTCGGCCAGGGCTTTCCTGGGACCTCCCGGGAGTTCCTCCCCCAGACTTTTCCATCGAATCCGATGAGCCGGACGCTCAGGGCTTGGGAGATTCTGTTTCTGTGAGAGCACCCAGGGGGGCCACAGGAGGATACAAAAACGAAATAAAACGAATCATGATTTTTTAATGTCTATTTTAATATTTCCATTTGTATCTTATTTTGCGGCCCCTCCCCTCTGGATGTTTTGATTTTAGCCTCAAGACATAGTCGCCCTATCTATCTGCTTAGGAATTCATGGTGCGGAGTACTCACTGGATTTTCATCACGGCAAATGGACATGAAATTGATTTCACAGGCCGAAATACGGGCTTTCCTGGCTTTGCCTTCCACCGTTTATCAGGTCCAACGCGCTTTGTCGCGCGCAGCTCTCCGTGTTCAGCAAGGGCGTCAAGGACCCTGGAGATTCAAGTGGATCCGAACCGATGAATGGGTGCAGAAATCAACCAATGAGCACAGGGTTTTGCCATGACGTGTTTTTTTTTCCTGTCAAAATTGGGGTACAAAAAACCACATTTGTCCAGCAAATTGGTCTTTTCAAATGGATCTGACATCATGGCCGCTGCAGCCGCCATTCTGGCTCGACCGTGTGCACGGGTGTCAAATTTCGAGGCGGCGCGGTTCGAACCAGCTATCGGTTGAGTAGGTTGATATTTTTTGAAGTTTCTTTGTCACAAAATTGGGTTATTTAAACGATGATGGGACGCAATACTTACTTTGATGAGGTGATAGAATATATAGTTATATGCATCCATCCATACATCCATGCATACATCCATACATCCATACAGCCATACATCCATACAGCCATACATCCATACATCCATACATCCATACTACATCCATACATACAGACACACAGACATACACACAGACACACCGTACATACATGACATACGTTACATACATGACATACATTACATACGTTGCATACATTATAGTAAGTAACCAGCAGATAGAATAAAAAGCTGGCCTTTTTTTTCCAAAAAATAGTCAACATCAACCTATTGGGTAAAGAACTTGGAGATATGATAGAATATTATAATATTCTATCTGCTGGTACAAGGGTTTGGTGATTTTAGATGGATTTTCCTTAAGATTGTGTGCCAGCTCTGTTGGCATGCAAAAAAAGTTAAATATGTCAATTAGTTGCAGGAAATGGTGCGCATAATCATTGAAATTGTTCATTTTCACTTGGTTTATATAGTTGAAGGAATGATCGGACATGGTTGATTTCAACCTATTGGATAAGAATAATATTCTATCTCTCTGCTTTTTGTCCTATTCTACCTGTTGACCTGGCAATCCTGAATTTTCTATCTGCTGGTCACTTACTATACATACATCACACAAATTACATACATTACCTACATTACATACATTACATACATAACATACATAACACACATAACATACATACAATACAATACAACACTACACAATACAATACAAGACAAGACAATACAAGACAAGACAAGACCATACCATACATACATACCTGCATACATACATACATACATACATACGTACATACATACATACATACACCCATGCATACATACATACACCCATGCATGCATACATACATACATACATAAATACATACATGCATACATACATACATACATACATACACATACATACATACATACACATACATACATACATACACATACATACATACATGCATGCATGCATGCATGCATCCATGCATCCATGCATCCATGCATCCATGCATCCATGCATCCATGCATACATGCATACATGCATACATGCATACATGCATACATGCATACATACATACATACATACATACATACATACATACATACATACATACATACATACACACACATACATACCTACATACATACATACATACACACACACATACATACATACATACATACATACATACACACACACAGACACACACACACACATACACACACAAACACACACTCACAGATATATATGTATATATACGGATAGAGAGACATAATATGCATCTATATTAACTGCCCATAGGTATATATCACACATATATCAAACTGTCCATAATATACATTTAGATTCATGGTGGCAACCCATCTTGGCGCCAGATGAACTTCGCCATCAATGACTGCGACGGCAACTTGGGCGGCTGGCCTCAGCAAGTTGACCATGATATAAGTTGGTCACGGTTCATTTCTGTGATTGTAGATATGATTCTGATATGACTGATAAGACACTTATAAGATATATCCATGAAATCTGCTTACTGTAACCCAGTCATTTCAACCAACAGACAGCTCTTGGGGTCCTCTTCAAGGTGAAAAGAAATGCAATCCGTGTTGCAGCATTTGCTGTGGCCTGATTCTGATCATCGTTGCACCCTTCGTGACTGGGACTGAACCGCGGCGTTTGGAGATGGAGGATGGGAAACTGCGTGACTGAGGCCCTGGGTTTCTTCACAAAGACCAGAGAAGAAGCGGAATGTAGAATAAGGAGCAAAAGAGCAAGAGAGCAAGAAAGCGAGAAAGAAGAAGAAGAAAGAAAAGGCATAAACAATCGGAGGAGAGAAAGGCAAGGACCTTCCTTCTCACCATTTCTGACCTTTGGGGTCGGCAAAAACATGGAATGTCAAAAAGCTCGACACACAGCTTCGATGCAGCCAGGTCATTTGGAACACCGAAGGCGACTATGTGAAGACCCTGAAGGCTTCCCGCAGGTTTTCTGCAAGCCGGATATCCAACCATACAGGATAGGTTGAGTCTCTCCATCCTTATTATTATAATGAATCCAAATGGTAATTTCAATGTGTTTGAATATTGACCTTTAATTTCAATTTGTCCTTAACCGCATGATTTGTCCGGGTCACTCGTCAGTTCTTTTTGGGCGCAAGGTAAGTAGTGCCCAAAACATCAGTTGGTTAATGACTAACATTTTTCGCCATGTTACTTGATTTAGCCATTTTACTTAATTCAACAGGGATTGTAGATGCACGAACTGAGACCCGCCGTCAGCCAAAATCAGTGAATGTGAGTCGCAGTTGGTTCTTAGTTGAATCGTCATGGCTATAGATGGGATGATGAACCCTATGTACATTAGATATTCGTCATGATCCCAAATTCTAAGCCATATTGGTGACAACACACTCCAGCGAGTTCCAGCCATATTTTGTGGTTCTGTTCTAGCCCATTTATAGATGAGATGAAAACCCTATCTATCCATCCATCGATCCATCTATATATCTATCCATACGTACGACACAACTCTCAGGCCTTGGATGCAGCTGGGAAATCTGCTATTGAGCCCTGCACCTTCAGCGAGGATGGCTCGCGAGGGGCCCCAGGAATTCGTGACCCAAAAAAGGGGGCTCGGGAGTTGGGATAGGGCTGGGGGGCTTTAAGATCCTATAATTTATAGTAACTTACAATTTATAGTGTATATATATATATATGGATAGCCATTAGGGGAACAACTGACATATGTTTAGCAGCTACCTGACATTTTCATAGAAACTAAAGATGTAAGTCCTAGCTTTTGCGTTGAACTTGGACCGAGATTCAGTACCAAAAAAAGGGGAGAGGTCTGAACAGAGTTCGTGGCATTTTGTGCAAGTGCATGTGAAACTTAAGAATGAACCTCTTTCAAATATGCTCTCTTTCAGAATGAAATCATGCTGTGTTTGAGATTTTTAGCCCGTTCAGGAAGAAGGCATTAAAAAACACACATTTTTCAGCAATCGGAGACAGATAGCTTGAAAAACTATGCCTGGCCTGGCACTTGCCTTGCAATCTACCGCAATTGGGATGTTTATGGAGAACAAGCATCCATCGACCAACTTATCTTAATGATCAGCAAAGGCCAGGTTTTTTTGAGCAGAATCTTGGAGGGTAGATTGCCCCCATGCCACACCGAAGAAGAAACCTCCAGCGTAGGTGCAATGACTGCAAAGTGGGAGATCTGAAGAATGGAGACTTAGAAGCTCGTTCACATCTTGGCCCCTGCTTCCAGAGATGTTTGAAAATTGGGACCCTTCCAAACTATACCAAAATTAGAAAGCGCCACTGGCTCGGATATTTTCAAACTTTGGACGCACCTGCGCTTTTTAGGTTCTTTCCAGGTTCCACTTTGCAACTAGACATTGTAGCGCAGCATTTCCTTCATATATTTACCTTATGTTCCCATCCCAACCTCCTGACTCTTTGGCAGTCTTTGTTCAATCTGATGTTGATTTCAATTTTCAGATTGACAAAGAGTCGGCAGGTTCAACCGAGACTCGCTCTGAGTCTTGGGGTGTCTTGCAGAAACTGATACGTGCCAAACCTTTAACTTCCTTAGTCTAGAAAGGCCGGTTTGGTCCGAGCTTGCATTGAGGTATTTTTCGCATGCTCGTTCAGCAACATGAGGACGCTGTCAGCTTTGGCAACAGAGGACGGGGCTGAAACCAGCCAGGTCAGGTCGCTTGTCACCCCTGCATAGCATTGTCCGTTGAGAAGGATACATTCAAACCCCATTGTATGCATATGTATAAGTAGATTGAACATATCTATATACTCATACGCACGTATCACGCACACACACACATATGTATATATAGGCTCGTCCCCGCTTCTGGAACCACATGGGGTGGGGGGGGTGGGGTGGGGTGGGATGTTAACGTTCATGTGACCTTGTGGCAGGATGTTAACGTTCATGTGAACTTGCGGCAGCAGTGGATGTTACGCACATGCGGGGTGGGGGGGGTGGGGTGGGATGTTAACGTTCATGTGACCTTGCGGCAGGATGTTAACGTTCATGAACCGCGCAAACCTGAATTAGGTTGGTAAAACTTGTCCATTCCGTGACGACATTTCGTCGCGGAATTAACAAGTTTCATTAGGGTCATTATCATCATCATCATTATCATGATGATGATGATGATGATGATGATGATGATGATGATGACCCTAATGAAACTTGTTAATTCCGCGACGAAATTTCGTCACGGAATGGACAAGTTTTACCAACCTAATTCAGGTTTGCGCGGTTCCAGAAGCGGGGACGAGGCTATATATACATACGTGTGTATGTACCACAATGTAATGTAATGTGATATAATGTAATGTCAGTAACGCAATGCAGTGCAATGCAATGTAAGTTAAGGTGTATAAGGTAATGGTCTAGTATGGTGTGATACGGTATGATATGGTGTGCTGTGGTGTGGGGTTATATGGTATGGTATGATATGGTATGGGATGGTATGGTGTGGTGTGTATGTATATATTCATGCATGTATACTGTCTACATGTGTAATTAATTCATGTCACAGACACACATGGATAATTTTACTTTATATACATATAAATACATGTATATGCGATGTATACAGTACATACAATAGAAGAACAACTATATCGACATCCGTGATCACCTTTGCATAACAAAGACGTATTTTATCTTTGACTATGCGTACACGTGATTTTACACACATCTTTGGTACTTCCGTCTTCAGCAGGGGTGCAGTGAGGACAAGTCTTTCGACATCGATGCGATTCGCCCAGCCGTTGGTGGATTGCAGAAAGCCGTTGCCTTTCGCTGGACTGCGGAGATGTATCAGTGGAGGCAGACACGCGGAGACGACAACCCACTTCAGATGGCGTTTGATGCGGAATCAGACTGCCCGGCTGCTTCACGATATGATGATGACAATGTGTCTTGGGCTAGACTGGAAAAGTGGAGATGAGTGAGATCTCAACGTGTTTTGGATTTCATGCCAAGCTCAAGCAAGCCTCTGAACATTGACGCACACACACAGTTGTGTGTGTATATGTATATATATATAGATATGTATCTATATATATATAGATATGTATCTATATATATATACACAAATATCTATATATATATACATTTGTGCATATATATATATACATAATTATATAGAATATTATTAATGTAATAGTATATATATAATACTATATTATATTAAATCAATTTATATGATATTATATTATGTTATATTATATTAAATTATATTATATTATCTTACAAATTATAATTTTGTATTAATTTTATTCTATTGTATTATGCTTTATTTTGTATTGTACAATAGTACGCACACACACGTATACATATATATATATTACATGCATACACATATAATTCAATATAACGACTGTAAATATACATATGGATGCAGTATGCTTGGGATCGCACACATGCGACACTGAGACCCCAAGGATAGTGGTGCGACCAAGCGAAGGGCTCTCTGCTGCCAGCCAGGAAAAGTCGGCTACATCAAGCTGCTGAGCTAACTAAAGCAGCTAACTCCACCGCCCCCAAAAAAGTTGTTCAGTAACTCTTGCATGTTCTGTTTTAAAATTGAATATGTTCCAGTCTATCAATTGAAAATAACGCTGACCGCGAGCCATGAAACACTGGGACTCCTAGGCTGGTTCCTGCCAATCTTCACTTGCTATCATACAAAAGTCGAAGACAACTGGCCAGAAAGACTAGAAAACTTTGACGCCCACTTTTTTGCGACATTTCCCGTTCGAGGAATCCCATGAATGGTGAGCCATCCCAGGTTCCAGCGGAAGTACTATGGCAAGGGCCGCATATGCAAGCCCTGGCAAGGGGCTCCGCTCCCCAGCTGCAGGGCGGTTCACCATGGGGTGGGATGAACTCCCGGCGGGGTCTATGTCATTAGGGACGCGAAATTGGCAAAATTATCAATCATACAAATTGGATGGTTTAGCATACACAAAATGAGACATTTTGCGAGTCAATTCGTTCCGCAATTTGAACATATCATATACCCATCTTTGATGTGTTGGAAAGGCAAAAAAGAACTGTCCATTCGCCCCACGCCATGATTGCTGGTGCCATAGGATCCAATTTTGGTGAGGGTCAGAAAATCGCCAATTTTTTTTGCTTCAGGGTTGTTTCTTGGGCTTCTAATTCGGGATGACTTTGAAACATTCAGGATGTCAATGAGAGGAATCCTAGTGCTGAAGATGCCCGCCAAGGATGCCAAAGATTGAGGAAGGGCGCTTGCAAGCGGCGATTTGGCTGTTTCAGCCGGTGTTTGCCCAGTGTGGGCTGAGGGTACACTACCCCTCAATGATTTCCAGCAATGGAAAATACCGAAGTCTGATAGGTAAATTATCTACATTCAGGGGATTTGTTTGGCCAGCAATTTTTGGTGATTGGAGGATGGTATTCTTTGATGTGATTTTCACATTGGGGGGAGATGTTCTACCCATTGACAAGGAACTGGTCAAATCGTCAAGGTGAGTGGAACCCCCCATGAATCAAGGGGACCCAATAGATGATAAACGGCTGGTTCAACTGGTTTCCAGTTAGCTTTGCGTTTTTTTTTTTTGGGTGGTGGTTGTGGTGGTCGGTCAGCGCCAAAGGTTTCAAGGATGCCAACTTCCAACGACCTGATGGGAAGTGATCTGCAGGACACCCCAAATATTTCATGGTGCCTGGGTTCCCTGCACTGCAAAGCGTCCCTTCAAATCATCCCATAGTGAAGTGCATCTAAGATGATAATGATGATAATAGAAAAAATACTATCCAGTGGTTGGGAGGGAGCTAAGGAATTATGATTGATATGATTGCATCCATATTCCCGACAAAAAGTGGGAAGCCAACTGGAGCTACGAATAGTTTCCTAACCACAGTATATTTTACCGATGACGTCATTTGAAATCACAAGAATGATAGTAAAACTTAATAGAACTATAATCTCATAGGCCGATCACAATCACATTTACATTTATATAATGATTTAATTGGAACAATAGCAGTCACAACATGTTACTTTTTTTTGCCACACCAAGGAGATGGCAACGGATCTCTCCATGGTTTTCGCAGACGGCGATGCCGCGAAGGAGACAGCTGCAACACCAAGTGCCAACATGGCCTTGGCTGAGACCGAAGACATGGAAGACGAAGATCTACTGGAAGATGAAGATGACGAAGCTCAGCGGACTTATAAACTACAGCTACCAGTTGTATCGGTATCAATAGTTATATGCATATATGTAGAATTCATGTCTAGTCCTCCGCTCGCTCGCTCTCTCCCTCTCCGTCCTCCCTCCCTCCCTCCCTCCCTCGCTCTCTCTCTCGCTCTTGGCATGTACAAGTGATGCAAAAACCAACAGCGGTGGTGTTTGACCGTTTCACAAAAGGATTATATAGGAACATCGGAACGTCACCAATTTCTCGTGCAAATTGATGTCTCCTGGAATTGCTACATGAGGACAACTAGGACCTGGTTGGGCTTGCCACATTTAAGCCATCCGTGTGTTACAAGAAGTTCATCATAGTATACTGTAGATGGGATGTGCCAAAGATATGCATTTCTCTCAACATTGGGTGAGACATTCAGATCCAAAAAAGACATTCACCCGGAATGTGGTTTCTGGTTAAGATCTTTCCTTCAGCCTTAGTCCAACGCCATTGAACCAGTCTGGGGTCACATCGAAAGCCAAGGACCTGGACCACGAAAGATACTTGGCGCAGAAACACGGCTGGGAGGTTCCACGGATCGGAATTGGTTGGGAACCATAGGACAATATTTCTGATTTGCAACCGTTGGTATCTTGGATAAAGCCACTTGGGGGGTACTTACTGAAGCTTCCTCGGACTTCCTCGCAGGGTTTTAAGCTGTTAAGTGGCTGAAGCTACAGGCTTAAGCACTATGAAAGACACATTTCATGTCCCACCAGTCACCAACTACATGCATGCATGCATTAATACATACATTCATACATATATTCATACATTCATACAAACATTAATACATACATACATTCATACATTTATACCTTTGTACCAGTACCTTCATTCATTCATACATTGTTACATTCACACATTCATACATTCAAACAAACATCCATCCATCCAAGGGGTCCCTGAATTTCCCCCACATGAATTCTGGGTTTATCAGGATAGGACGGAACCTTTTTCGAACGACCCTGACGTGGGCCACCTGCAAAGGACCATTTTTCTGTACCTCGGCAGTGCCCCCCAAAAAAATGGAGCGAAATTGAGGTTGAAAACTGACCACAAAAATCCCAGAGGCAAAAATCCCAAATTGTGACCCCTACAGAAAATCCGAATGGTCCGAATGGTCCGAATGGTCCGAATGGTCCGAGGCATGGCCCGGCGCCTGCTGCGTGGTCCCCCTTCATCCAACAGTCGAAGGCGGACGGTCTTCACCTGTGACCTGGCTGGAGACTTGAGATTGTGCTTATTCTCCAAACGGTACGTCCACACTGAGGCGTTCTTAGAGTAGGAGTAAAGCCCCGGTTCCTTCAGGGATATTGATTGAACGAGTTTTTTTTAAAACTCATTTTATAGCAGTACGACAACTCAAAAATAAATCACAAAACACCATAGCAGTGTAAAAGGTGATTTTTAATATTGTTGATTGCTTCATTTTCTCAACAATATCAAACCTATAATGGAAATCATAGCAGTCAAAGCATAATTGCCTCAGTCATTTTTCAAAATCATACCAATAAAAGCACTATTTTCCTTATTCATTTTTCAAAATCATAGCAATCAAAACATAATTACCTCATTCATTTTTCAAAATCGTTTAACAGTCAAAGCATGCTTGCCCCATTCATTTTTCAAAATCATAGCAATCAAAACATAATTACCTCATTCATTTTTTAAAATCGTTTAACAGTCAAAGCATAATTGCCCCATTCATTTTTCAGAATCATAGCAGTCAAAGCATGCTTGCCTCAGTCATTTTTCAAAATCATAGCAATAAAAGCATAATTGCCTCATTCATTTTTCAAAATCATTTAACAGTCAAAGCATAATTGCCGCAGTCATTTTTCAAAATCGTTTAACAGTCAAAACATAATTGCCTCAGTCATTTTTAAATCATAGCAATAAATGCATAATTACCTCATTCATTTTTCAAAATTGTTTAACAGTCAAAGCATAATTGCCCCTTTCATTTTTCAAAATCATAGCAGTCAAAACATAATTGCCTCATTCTTTTTTCGGAATCATAGCAGCCAAAGCATCATTGCCTCATTCATTTTTCAAAATCATAGCAATCAAAGCATAATTGCCGCATTCATTTTTCAAAATCATAGCAGTCAAAGCATAATTGCCGCATTCATTTTTCAAAACCGTTTAACAGTCAGAGGACAATTACCTCATTCATGTTTTATAAAATCCTAACTACTGACAATTTCCAGATTTCTTTTATGCTTATTTGTTTTTACATGTCTTGAAAATCATTGTGCCCTCCTTGAAGAATTGCAAGCATTACAGAAGGCAACTTTGTCGCTATAGTTCTGTCTTTGTTCCTGTTTCTTTTTTCTATATTCTTCATCTTCTTTATATTTAATCCTTTGTGCTTCATTTACTTTATCTATATGTTTGTCGTAGCTCCCCCTTTTGTATTCCAAGCATTTCTTGAAAGTCTTTAACCCATATTCAAAATTCTCAAAGGGCAAAAAAATAACGCAGTATCTGCAAAATTTATCCATTACATAAAAATCATATAAATACAATTATCTTCTTAAGTGTCTTTTCCATTCTTTTCCAAGAATTCCTATGTTAACCATACAAAAACCAACACAGACTACAACAATACAAAAACAAAAACACCCCCGACCTGTAAGAAACCACATACCAAACAAAACAATAGACAATAATAAAGGTTATTCTATGAACCATACCATAGTTCTAATAACATGTTTCATTAGAATTATGTTAATAGTGATATTAGATTCATAAATACTCAATTGCAACTTAATTGCTTGTATTCCAAATAAATCAAACCGCGTTCCTTATTGTGTTCTCTTGCCACTATTTCTGCTTCATATTCTAAATTTGTTTGAAAGTTACAATTGCCTTCTATTTGACAGTTTCACATAATACTTCCTCTTCTTGTTTCTCTTTACTATGTTTCTATCTTATTAATGTTATTAAATGCCAACCCTTCTCTCATCGTGTAGTATTTTACTATTGTAAAACTGTATGACCCAAACTTTCTATGTTCTCGTTTAATTCCTGTTTTAAAATTTCTATATTTATTATGTATTCTCTTCAATGCTTCACTATTTTTTTTTCACATAGTCAGGGTCTCCATGTGTACAAGACACAATATTACTCAACACATCAAAAGGCAAATTCTTCATATAATCCACCCTACCAATATTCTTAAATATCATTTTCTTAAACATATATAGAATTCTTTAAAAAACGACTTAACGATAAATTTGCTAAAGACAATATATACTATTATATGATGAAAAAAAATATAGACTATCTATTGAGCAATGGTTTAGCAGAAATACCAAAAAGAGGAAGAAGAGAATTAAAGTCAATAATCATAGATGATAAGAAATTTAGATACAACAAAGACAAACCCATACCTAATGTTTTAACAAAGAAATTGTCATCAGTAAAGAAAACTAATGAATACATAAGTTATGCTTTAAACAAGGCAAAAGATGCGTTCAGTCCAGGAAGGGTTAGACAATTACTAACCAAGCACGCAATCAGAAACAAATTTAGGGTCAGAGATTTTTAATCAGCATTTAGGAGACATGCTAATTCAATAGTTTTAGAACATACACACTTTGAAGGAGAGAGAGGACTGGAAATGATTGCGCTCCAAAAACCAAGACTATTAGAATTTTTAAGAAATAATAGAAGCATGAAACTTAACATAAGAACAGAAGCGCTCTTTGAAAAACCTGACTCTGATGATGGAGGAAATGAAATTGGAAGTCAAGAACTTGTTTATGCTTTACCTTCAACCCGCTTTAATATCAGTAATGAGGATGAACTGACGCAAGCATTAGAAGACAGCGTCAAACACATTTTGTTACAAGTACACAAATTTTGAAGCATCAACCTCTAATTTACGCTTCAAACATATTTTATCAATAGCCATTCATTATGACAAATATGACCCAACAAGAGCAAGGAGATACATAGAATTACCAGAATGGATTAAACTGAAAAAGGCATGTATCAAAATTAAAAACAAAGACCAAACATGTTTCAAATACTGTATTCAAAGTATAGCCTATGACAAAATAAGCAAGCACCACTCAGAGGAAATTCTCCACTACAATAAACTGAAAGATGATATTTTGAATTGGGATGGTGTCAATTTTCCTCCTGGCAATAAGGACATAGACAGATTTGAAGAAAACAACACATCAGTTTCAATAAATGTTTTTGAACCTGATGACTGCTTGAATGATGATAAAAACATATTACATAAAGGCACTCAAAACAGAAATGCTAAATACGAAACTGATTTACTAAAAGTATATGATGAAGATAATAGCTATCACTATGTTTTAGACAAATGTAGATTACTAAACTGCCAGAGCAGTAGCAATACCAACAAGAAGTTTTACTGCCACCACTGCTTAAACCCATTTCAGTTAGAAAAGGCATATAAGAACCATCTTGAAAAAGTTGTATGGCATCAGAGGGGCAACAAACAAAGATGCCCGATAAAGACACTTATATTGATTTTGAAAAGCATAATGCTAAATTGCCTTGTCCTTTTGTAATCTACTGTATGGTGATTTTGAATGTCTAACCAAAAACTCTAACAATGGCATAAAAGGTACATATCAGGAACATAAACCATGTGGTTATATGTTGAATGTAGTAAGCAGGGTTGATAATACTTGCTAACCATATTTATAGAGAGGTGAGGATTGTATGAAATAGTTTGTTGAACAACTGACTGAAATTAAGAAAGATATTTGAAAAAAATGAATGTTAATAAACCAATGGATGAATTAAGTTACGAACAAAAGACTTTTTTTTAAATAAGCAACCCACTGCTCTATATGTAACAAGAAATTGAACCTGATGATAAAAAAAAAGTCCAACACCATTGTCACTTCACAGGTAAATACAGAGGCGCAGCGCATGTAAAACGTAATCATGTTTTTTCATGTAGGTATTTTAAAATACCACCATCTTCTTTCATAATCTTAAAGACTATGAGGCCCACTTAATCATTGCCAAAGCAAATGAACTAAACATAGAATTGAATCAAAACAAAAGAATATATGTAATAGCACAAGCAGTGAAAAGTTCATAACCTTTTCATTTGGTGCTTGTCAGTTTAAAGACAGTTTTGCTTTCTTATCAGCATCATTAGATAAATTAGTGAGATTAAACACATATGAAGAAAATGAAAAAGATGAAAGATGGGGAAACCCATTTTACATACACATGCACTAATCCATATATTAAATCCAAAACTGATTTGAATTTGCTAACTGACAAAGACACACACACACATATATATACACCCCTATGACTATATGAATTCACGGGATAAATTTAGTGAAACAAAACTACCAAAGAAAGAAGACTTTTACACTCAGTTGTATGAAGAAAAAACGCTGACAAAGACAACACCAGAGCAAATATTGTATGGAAACATTTCAAAATAAAAAAAATCGGTGAATATCATGATTTATACTTGATGACTGATGTATATTTACTAACCGATGTTTTCGAACATTTTAGGGATATGTGCCTCAGCTACTATGGATCAGACCCAGCATATTACATCACTTTACCTAACTATTCTTGGAATGTTTTTTTTAATCATTGACGGGGATTAGACTTCAACAATTTCACAAAAAAGAGATGTATGAAATGATTGAACATGGATTGAGAGGAGGGATGACGCAATGCTCCTTCAAGAAAGTGGAAGCAAACAACAAATACATGAATGAAGAGTATGCTAAATTTGAACCATCATCATACATAAGTTATTTAGATGCTAATAATCTCTATGGGTTGGCAATGTGTAAGAAACTGCCTTATGATAATTTTAAGTGGCATTACGGTAGAATGGATGAGAAGAGAAGAGAGTAATGAAATACAGTGATGATGATGGATACATATTGGAAGTTGATTTAGAATACCCAAAGGAACTACATGATTTAGAGTATGCTTTCACAAGTCGAAAAGGATATACACAAATACCACTATGGAAAAGATTCCAGTGATGAAAAATAGATGAACTAGTTCTGAATGTAACGGATAAAAAGAAGTATGTTTTACATATATCAGCATTGAAATTCTATTTACAGCATGGATTAAGTTTAAAAAGGTTCATAGAGCAATAAGTTTTAAACAATCACACTTCTTAAAACCGTTCATTGAATTCAATACTGAAAAGAGAAAGAATGCTTTAAGTTAATGAATAACAGTGTATATGGCAAGACCATGGAGAATGTAAGAAAGCATATTGATTTTGAATTGGTGAATACACCTGAACACTTCCAAAATCTGGTTAATAAACCCAATTACACACATAGTCATATTATTAGTGAGGATTTAGTAGGAGTTGAAAAAGATAAACACACGGTTGAACTAAACAAACTTATCTATATGGTTATGTCTGTTCTAGACTATTCTAAAATTCACACCACGTCGTAATATTTTTTCCAATGCCTTTTCTTTTTCCAATCTCGTCATTAAACATACTTAGATTATAATTTTATGATATCTTATTGCATCATAAAATCATAATGAACTTACACTAAGCACCTTTGGCACTTTTTGGTTTTCTTGTAATTTGCCAAGTTTGATTTACAGCTCATGGCAGAACCGCATATATCGCATACACAAGGTTGTTTCATTTTCTCTTCGTAATATTTCGTTCGGTTTTCTGTTGTAGTATCCGTCGTCCTGCTTTCTCCATTAGGGTTTTGTGAGCTTTTGGACTGATGAATTTGCTCTATAGCTTTCTTCAGATGAAGATGTTTCGCTGTCAACCAGTTCTTTGTTTCCAGAGCTGTTCCAAATGAAGGCAAAGGCTTCATTTGTCATTGGGATTTCAGCTCCGTTGCTTCCAAAGTAACAAGGCATATTGTGTATATTGTTACTTATATATCTTAATGTTTGTTTAAGTATTGTTTATTTATCCTCAATCGGAACTATGTATATCAGTTTGTGCTTGTGGCATCTTATAGAAGTACCGAACACAAGACCGAAAACAGTTTCAATATCAAAGTTCATAGGTTTGAGCAGTTTACCGTTCCAACTTGCTACCGGTTGCCTTATTTTTAGAGACACCCAGTCCTAAAACCTCAAAATTCCAAACCCAAACATGCTTAGCGTTCAAAACCGTGAGACCTTGAGCTTTGTCCCAAGCCAATTTTTCCCCCAAACCGAGCAGGTTTTTCCTCAAAAACGGAGCCAGTTTTTGCTCAAAAACAAAGCCTCTTTTTCCCAGAACGGAGCCTGCTTTTCCCAGAAACGGAGCCTGTTTTTCCAAAACACTGAGACGGTTTTTTTCCTACAAATGGAGCCTGTTTTTCCCAAACATGGGGCCTGTTTTTCCCAGAACGGAACCTGTTTTTCCCCAAAACGGAGCATGTTTTTCCCCAAAATGGAGGCAGGTTTTCCCAAAAACCGAGCCAGTTTTTCCCAAAAACCAAGCCAGTTTTTCCGAAAGACCGAACCATTTTTTCATATTTTTTCCCAAAAAACGGAGCATATTTTCCAAAACACGGAGACGGTTTTTTCCCACAAATGGAGCCTGTTTTTCCCAAACACGGGGCCTGTTTTTCCCAGAACGGGTATGTTTTTCCCAAACACGGAGCATGCTTTTCCCCAAATCGGAGCCAGTTTGTCCCAAAACGGAGCTTGTTTTTCCAAACACGGAGCCTGTTTTTCCCAGAACGGAGCCAATTGTCGCAAAAACGGAGCCTGTTTTTCCAAAACACGGAGACGTTTTTTTCCCACAAACGGAGCCTGTTTTTCCCAAACACGGAGAACGGAGCCTGTTTTTCCCAAAAAACGGAGCTTCCGGTGGCGAATTCTCCTAAATTCACTGCAGATGTTCACGAAAACCGAACCAGTTTTCCTTGAAAACCGAGCCAGTATTTTCTCAAAAACGAACGAACCACTTGTTGCCAACACCAAGCCAGATTTTGCACACAACTAAGCGTGGCAATTCCAAGCCCAAACGTCTAAATGGAAAAAAGTTCTAAATGGAAATCACGTCCATCTGCCGTGCACAGAACATACAAAATATGCAAATGTCTAGGTTAAGGAATTAAAAACAAATTAATTATATTTGGTGGTTTAAACCAAAAATGATTGCAGTGCGCTACGTAGATCGTCTAAAAGGTAGCATGCACCTAGTAAATGCGAGTCTGGTAGTCAGAAATGCTGCAGGGACCTAGCAAATACGAGGCTGGACCTCAGAAATGTTGCCAGTAGCTTGCAAATAGAAGGGAAGGGGGTGGTAAGGTGGTACCTGGGGACCCATACCATTGGGGGGGGTAGGAACACGGAACACGAGACCATAAGGTCAGACCATATGTACATATATAATTTGAATGTAAATGCAAATGCACACGAAATGTAATGTACATGCAAATGTAAATGTAATGTAATGTGCTGGCATCGTGTGGTATGGCATGGCATGGCATGGTATGTATACGTATATGTCCCCATGTTCCGAATGTCTTTCATGGTGAGCTACCGGGGCTGGTTTTAAGGCAATTTTCCTTGCTACGACTGGCAGCTCACTTGGACTTCAAAAGCTGAGCCAGATCCCAAAGCTGCGTGGCTGATTCCCAGGCAATGCAAGGGGATATGCTTCATCATTGAAGGGTGTTTCCTAAATAAGGGCTTGCCAGTTGCCTATTGAAAACGACAAAGTTAGGGTACAGTAAGTTTTGGGTCCATCATTTTAAGAACTCGAATGGAGAAAAAGAATCCAACACGGATAATTACAATTGTTTCTGTGATGGCCGGCACAAAACCCAGTTGCACCATAGTTACTGGTGACAGCACAGGTTTCCCGTAAATTGAGGTCTTCTCTGATACAAAAAGTTTCTGCGGGTAGCGCGAACATAGATTTCCTACACCTTGAGCATATTATCAGTATCATTTGACGAGTAGAAATTGGTTGAGTAGGTGAGTAGGTTTTATGTTTTTTTGTTTATAAACTGGAGGAATGTTTCCTGTATAGCTTTACATTGTTTATTGCATCAATAATATATGCTTTATCTATCATATATATATATGTATATACAGTAATGCCTACACTATGCATCACACAATATACATAACATATCTAGAATATCTAGAGTATCTCAAATACCTATCAAATCTTTAAGATCTATCAGATCTATAATATCTATGTATCTGAAAAACAATCAGTATCTATGATATCTATAATATCTATATACCTATAATATCAATATACCTAAAATATCTATCATAGCTATATACCTATAATATCTGTAATGATTTTTTGACATATCTATAATACCTACAAGATATAAAATATCTAAACATCTACAATAACTAAAATATCTGTAAGATCTATAATATCTATAGTATCTATAGTATATATATATAATCTATACATGTATACGAAATATAAGATATGTAAAATATTATTTTTCTGTCATGCAGTTTGTGATTTAAACAAATCTATTATCCATAATATAGATACAAACCATATCTACAACATAAATTCGTATCATATCTAACTAAATCTATCTAAGTAAATCTATCTAAGTAAATCTATCTAAGTAAATCTATCTAACTACATCTATCTAACTAAATCTATCTATCTATCGATCTATCCATATCCGTCTATCCGTCTATCCGTCTATCCGTCTATCCGTCTATCCGTCTATCCGTCTATCCGTCTATCCGTCTATCCGTCTATCCGTCTATCCGTCTATCCGTCTATCCGTCTATCCGTCTATCCGTCTATCCGTCTATCCGTCTATCCATCCTATCTATCTATCTATCTACCTATCTATCTACCTACCTACCTACCTATCTATCTGTCTGTCTGCCTGTCTGCCTGTCTGTCTGTCTGCTTGCCTGCCTGCCTGCCTGCCTGTCTGTCTGTCTGTGTCTGTCTATCTAATCTATCCAACCGATCCAATCGATCCAATCGATCCAATCGATCAAATCGATCTAATCGATCTAATCTATTTATATCTATCTATATCTATCTTTATCTATCTATCTATCTATCTATATCTATCTACCTATATCATATCTATCTATCTTTCTTTCTATCTTTCTATCTTTCTATCTCTCTCTCTCTATCTCTCTCTCTCTTTCTCTATCTATTGATCTATCGATCTATCGATCGATCTACCGATCTATCCGTCTATCGATCTATCCGTCTATCGATCTATCGATCTATCGATCTTTCCATCTATCCATCTTTCAATCTATCCATCTATCCCTCTATCCATCTATCCATCGATCTATTGCTCTATCAATCAATAAATAAATCAATCAATCAATACAAACAGACAGACAGACAGACAGACAGACAGACAGATAGATAGATAGATAGATAGATACATATATATATATATAATTATAAATATTATATAGCGCAAAGATTGGTTCCGATTTTGCAGTTTCCTGTCGGCTCTGCCCTGAGTTCGAATTTACTTTGAATAGGCCGCAGCAAATTGCTTCTATGAGCCAGGAGAAACAATCCACAATACATACCCAGGACAGATACATGTACATCTATTGTACACATATAGTTGTAATTGTCACTATCCAGCAATCAACCGGCATATCTTTACCATGATTTTCCGGTACCCTGGCGACCCCACCGGGTTCGAACCTAGGCTTGGGCGCAATTGCCCTCGGAGATCCCGGAGGTGGGGAAGGGTGGTCCCATTGCCAACAGATGGTTGAAATGATGGAAAAAATGGAAAACATGATGGAACATGATAGATAGATGGATGGATGGATGGATGGATGGATAGATAGATAGATAAATAAATAAATAAATAAAATAATATATATATATATAAATTATATATATATAATATAGCAGAATGATGGAAAAAATGATGCGCCCATCAAGATTCAACCACTAGTTTCAAATTTGCCTTCACACAATGAACCAATCGTTCCACGAGGCCCAGGCGAAAACGTTTGAAGTTCCCACGTGGTGAAACCAGGTTGGCTACCTCCCTTCTGCAGCAGGGAACCTGAATCTTCCGTTCAGCGGTTCGAAGGGCCTGGCACTCAGTTCCAAAGGTGCCGGAATTTGTTTCATGGGCATTATTATTTTTTGATATGGGGGTAAAAACCCATGGTCTCCTGCAAAAAGTTTTCCTGAAAAAAATATCCATTGACACCGAGGTTACTTGGAGAACACCCAGGATTCTGTCAAGATCGGAGGCTTGACACTTTCGGGTTTCAAACCGGTGACGAACAAACTGTCGTGCGCCTGGCGGGAGCCCTTGTGAAACAGGATGGATTTGCTATGATTTGCTCATTTCGGTGCCCGGTTTGTCATGAAATGTATTGGGAAATCTGGTTATCACCTGCATTAACTTGCCCTCCCCAGACGTTCCCAGGTACATTTCCTCAACAACGCAACAAGTCAAAGGAACAGGCCTCCGAGAAAGCTGTCGCGAGCCGTCTCAGCTTGCATTCCACACCACGGCGGCGCAGGGGGAGAAGACCTGACCATCGGCGCATCGAGTCAAGAGAAATGGAAAGGCAGGATCAGGGAGGATGAGAGGCCCCTGAGCCCTTGAGGATCCCCGAGGTTCCTGCAGGAATTGCAAGAGAAGTGCTTGGGAGATGGTAGTGATGTCAGGTTTCATTTTTTCTCACCACTATCATCCAGCCGCCCCCCCGGGGCTCAGCTGCCAGGTATGAACTACACAAGCTACACGCGTGAAAACGATTGGACGTCCAAGGAGGCCAATGCCCAACAGAATTGCCTGGCGACTGAGACAACGAACCCCAGCTTGTCTTCTGCAACCTCGCTTCGTAAACATGTTAGTTCTGATAAGACCTGAGCCAAGTCCGAATGAGTTTTTTTGTTCTTCTTCTGGCTCTGGGCAATTAATTAGGCGAGTGACTGACAATGATGGAACCCAAGTTGTTGGCAAACCCGAGTTCTTGGGAGTGAAACATCCATCTTTATCTGGTATGGGCCCCTCATTGGATTTGACATGACATATTTGAACTTATGACCCAGTTGGGGCACTGCCACCGAAAAAGGCACCATCAAGTGAGAGTGTTTTATCCAGAGTCAGTACCATGAAACGGATTTGTCGTAAAGTATGCCGCCAATTTATGGCCATTAAAATCGTTGAGAACATGAATTTCCGGGCCACTACATCCTACATACCAACAAGAAATTGTGAAAATTTCCTGGGGAAGCGTAGCCGGGTAGCTGGGTAGCCCATGGACGAATCTTGAGTCACTTCGACCCCGAGGTGAGCCGCAGAAGCACCGGCTACAAGGTGGGCGATTTGAGGCCTGGTCAGAGATGTTTTTTTTTCCCTCGCCCGCAATCCATGAGGCCTCGGGAGACCATAACTCGCAAGATTTTGCCGAAAATTGCTGCATGACATCCATTGACATCCCACTGGGAAATTGGATCAGATGGCTTTCATCCAAGCCATTCTCCCCGCAGGATCTGTTTCGAACGAGCGGATATCACCGAGATGTCCGTCATTGCGGCGGTGAAGCAGGGTGGCGCAGGCGCCATTGGTGCTTTGCAAGTTGATTTTCATGGGGTTTCTCAGATGATTTTTCTTGGGGGACCGCCCTTGGCATTTTGTTCCAGTCATATTTAAGAAATGGATGGATGGATAGATAATTAGATGAATAAATAGATAGATGGAAAGTAGATGAGATGAGCTGAGATGAGATGCCATGCGATGAGATGAGATGGATAGATGATACAAGTTGCGCATATTACCTGTCAATGGATTGGTTTAAGGGAAAATCTACAGGAAACCATCGATTTTCCCATTAAATATGGGGCTTTCCTGTAATTTTTCCCTTAAACCAATCCAATGAACATGTGCATCTTATGGATCTCATGGATCCGACTTGAGACCACCGCCTCTCCAGGACCGGAGTTGGTGGTCTCTAAGGATCACCTTCGCGCAGATACTGCGATGCGCATCCAAGATCAGGGCTTTCGAATGCGCAAGGCCGGTTTGGTGAATCCCATCCCACCGAATATCTCCTCAATAGTCCCCAAGATGTGTGTATCCAGGATGAATCCATGTGAATCCCATCCCCGTACCGAATATCTCCTCAATAGTCCCAAAGATGTGTGTATCCAGGACTATCCAGTGGTGAAGGGGGAAGGAAGCTAAGCGGTTCACTTGTTTTGGTATTCCCGGGAAAAAAGTCAGGAACCACTTGGAGCTACGAATTGGGCTTCCCAAGTAAGAGTGGCATTTTGAGTGGCAGAATTTTTTGAACCCTGATGTTTAGAAGCCAGGTGGCTAGCAACCAAGGTGGTCCATCTCCAGCTTCCGGTTCTAAGGAAGTGCGGCATGAATCCCCAACTATCATTCCAAGATGGCTTCAAAACCGCATTGTCACATATTTTGATTTCCATCTTTACATGGTGGTGCATGGTTACACGTAAGATCTCGTAAGGTTGTGGTCACGTTATCACCTACCACGCCCACATTGGCCCATGGGTGGATCATCTCCACGGTGGGTCACATTTTTTTGTCTCGAATCCTGTCCCGACTGATGTCAGAACAGCATCATCTCGTTGGAGCAAATGTTGGCGGAGGAAAAGGGCTCCAACGAGAAGCTGATCGAAAAAGGGGCCAAGACGTTTTAGATGGGTTCCAACAGAAAATGCAGGTTTAACAATCAAAAATAGTGCTTTAACGAAACATTGCTTCACCATCAATAACCATCAAACATGGATGTTTAACAGTGAATATAGTGAATAATAGTGAATCATCCCTCAAAAATACTGGCTCAACCCTAATAAATGGAGGTTTAGCACTGAAAACATGTTTTCATGATCCTTAAATGGGGCTATATACGTCGTTAGTCAGCATGATAGGAAATACCCCCCCCATGAGGGACCTATAATACATGAATAGATCCTGCGAGAACTACTGCATAAGGCACGTGAACCTGGTACCTTTTCCTCGGGTGAGGCTCTTGTCAATGGGAAAACCATCCAAAATGGGGGATTGATGATAATAATCAAGATGGATTGTTCCATTGATGGTGGATAGTAAAAATGGGGAAAACCATCATCATCTTTCCCACCATCCCAGCCAAACGCTGCAATTTTAGTGGGAAAGATGATGATAGTCCATTGGAGTCGGGGGTACCCGATTTTGAGACGAACACCTGGGTCTGTATATACCAATGCAAACGCTATAATCGGTGTATGTGTATATATATATTATATGTATGTCTGTGTGTGTACACCCCATCTCCTCGCCAATATGCATTTTGAGGGGATAGTGAACAATCCCTCAAGCCTTCCCTGCCATTTTACCCTCAAACATCCTCTTGGAAAACGAACACATGGAATGAAACTCCTGAGATGAATCAGGGTAGCAACAGATTGGTTTGAGGGGAAATCTAAAGGACCAGGTTTTTACTTGTAAATATTGTAAATACCTCGTAAATATTGGGGTTTCCTGAGGATGAATCGATGAATTCCTCAGTAAGACGCCGAGGAGTTTATTGTATGCTGGCCGCATCATCGGGCCCATCATCCTGTGGCTGGCCTTCTATTGTGCCTCGACCACGCCACAGCTGACTCGGGGCTGACATTTTGAAAAGGGGGAAGCCGTGTCAGGTGGTCAACAACATGCCTGTGATATATCTGGATTCTGAGGCAACATTATCATTTTTTTTCAGCATTTAAATTTTGTGATGGGAAAGTGATGGGACTTAATCATGCTTTCAAAGGTTTTTTGTCATTGTTGCACCCCAAGTGCAGATCTTTGCACGCGGATCCAGCATCCGGACACACCTGGACACAACGGCGCCCAGGCTGCTTGCAGCCCATCGTGTGGCTCGTCGACAAGTCACTTGGTCGAAGCGACCGAAGGAGAAGGTGGTTTTCCACATGGAAAATATGGAAATCAGAGATCTTGGTGGTTCTGGGGGAGTCTCCTGAAGAAATTTCGAGAACAGAAACCTGCTGCTTCCTTCGCAGCCCAGGTGTGGAGATTCGATCGATGGCATTCCCTGCGTTGGTGGCTGTTTAGGGCTACTGGCGGATTTTGTCGAAACGCACCTTGGATGCCCTGCTTTTCGCGCGGAAAGAAGGCCCTAGCAAGCCTTTCTTGTCATTGCTCATGGAACCATGGCCTTTTTGCCATGTGATATTCAATACCCATTGGCACATTGGATCTATTCTGCGGATCATTTCGGTGGAATTCAAACTTAGAGGGACAGGATTCCATTCTGGAACGGATCGCGACAGCGTCTAATGAAGGGTCCTGCAGGTGTACTGTGACCCCGCCAAAACATAGAAAGGGTTCATACATCTATCATTTTCTTGCTAAGATTTTACAATACCTATTTGACCTTTCCGTCTCAGGTTGGTTGGCATCCTCATTTGCATCGTGAGCTGTTGCCTTGGTTTGGGCTGTGGCTTGTTCGCTATGGCCTGCGCTTGGCTATACTACAGGCCCCATGGAGCGTCTCGAAAAATCCACAAGGGTAGACCAAAGAAGGGGCGTGTCTGAAAATGCGGCGCATCCAAAAAAATCCAATTTTGATTCGGCAAATCACGGTCAACCACTGGATGTGGGAGGGTTCCCCTAGAATTTTTAGACAAAGCCAATGTTGTTAGGGAAGATGGCTGTGCTAATCCGTAAATGGCAGGCCATTGATTGGCATTTGCCTTCTGGTCCTGTCGCTGTGCTTCTTTGCGGCTGTTGCTTACTATGCTTACTCAACCAGAGATCCAAACAAGGTGGATGCTGCAGGGGATGGAGGGTGGGATGGTCTGAGTGGCAGACATGGCACTGCAACAGGCAATTTGTGGAATTATCATTGCTCGACCTAGCGACTTATCAGTTGCTATAGTCCCATGCAGCCCCTGTCAGGGCCGACGTAGAAGTTCAGCCAGACAGCCGGCAGTGGGTGCAGCAGTCGAGTGGCTTGACGCACGCAGATTTTGAATGGTCTTCACTCCGAAAGGTTGCAATTTTGAAAAATATACTGTAACTATTATGTACATTTATGTACAGTGTAACTATTGCATGACCATTATTCACCATTAGCCATTAGTCATACACCTATCAACCATTATGAATGATGTCCCACCACTATTACCATGGAGCCAAATTTCTGTTCAGAATCCTTACCAGCTCCGGCCGAAGTCTCCGAGGCTGCGAGAAGGGAATGCAGCTTAGTTCAAACAATCGGCCGGTCTGTGAAGAACTGTTGGTGCCCTGAGTTTTTGGGGTCCGCAAACCAACATTCATTTGTTGTTGAGTTTGATGTGCTTGATGTTCACCCCTCAACTGACTCAACTGAGTGTCGTTAAAATTGGGTGACTGACTTCCCAGTCCAAACCCAAACCATCGAAATTGTGTGTTTAATCCGAATAGAATCCAAGTTTTGCTGGCTGAAATGAAATCCTCGATGTTGGACGGACATGTCATCATTTGAGTTGTTCAACAGCTGCAGTCAAATGGAAGTTTGGGTTGGTCACATGCCCATTGGCCCATTGTTTTGGTCCAAGATGACCACCTCCGTTGTAAATTGATTTCTAAACCCCATCAACCGTAGTGATCATAAATCCCAGTTATCCTAGGCATAGATATTCACTATAGCCTAGTATAAACCAACTTATATACCTGGGGGTCCCCACCTTGACCATTTCTTTGGAGGGACCTGACCAGGTGCAGCCAGCGGCTGCCATGCCCATGGCAGCCGCTGTGGCCGTGCCGCAGCCGCAGCTCTTCCAGGTCCAATGTCCTCAGGGCTGCGCGCCAGGCGCGGCATCCGGGGAAACTCGAGGGCCACTCTGATGTTTGTTGCTTTCAAAAGATTATAAACTGATATGATATTCAGGAACTGGTCAAGAATCCCGATTTGGGATGGGTTTAATCCCATCATCATTTACTGTATGTAATTTTCGGTTATTTAATACTACCGGGATGGGTCTCCAAGTACTCGGGAAACTCCAGGAAACTCGAAGCATTGCTGATTCCTGGATGCGCATCCATATCTAGGCTGTAGCGGTAGCTCAGCTTTTTGAATAAAATGGGGAGTTCAAGGCTAAAGATGAGCAGAGTTCCGACTTGCTCGGTTGATGAATCATGAACATAGATGGATAACACCCAAATTTGCCAATTTTTGCTGCTCAATTTGTTGCAACTGCCGAAGTTCAAACCCATTCTGGGTCAACAAATTCTGCCTGCGAGGCTCCCAGATTCTGGTCACTACTCCAGATGGGCGACAGGTTTCAGTTCAAGTCCCTGCCGGGGTGTCCCCGGGCCAAGCGTTCCAAGTACAAGCGTAGAACGACGTAGAACGACGTAGAACGACGTCGAACGACGTCGAACGACGTAGAAGGATGGCGGCATCATAATTTGTGCATTTGCTTTGTGGCTTATTACTGCAAGCCACAGAGCGGCCCTTGTTCCAATGGACTTGCCTTTCCAGCCGTGTAGTATACATGAATCACGAGACCGGTGAGACTTGATTGCTTTAACTTCGTCGAAAAAGGCACCCGGTGTATTTCGCAAGTGGCGGGGGGCAAGGGTCGTGTGCATCGGTGTGCAACCTCTTCAGTTTTCTTATAGGTGTTTCTTGATTCAATGAAATTTCTCCTACGGACGCAATGACTGACTCATCCTTTCAAAAGACAGGTGGACGCCACCAGTCTTCAGCTGCGTGCTAGGAATATGAGTACCTGAAAGAAGCCCGTATCCATGCGCCATGGCACCTGCCCCAGCTTGCGGGCCGGGGTCTGGAGCGCCTGAGTCTGTTCATTGAAGGTTTGGACCAATGCCAGCAGGCTGAGTCTTTAGAGTCAATTCTATTCCATTCTGGGACCTGGAACTTGGGATGATGATTCCCCAGGACTTCGCTATTTTTCTTGGGGTTTTAATGGTGCATTTGTTGCATCAGATCCGCAAGATGTGTAGGACGAGGTTTATATACACATCACAGGCCACATGACCCGTATATCTTCATCATACTTGCTTTTTTTGTGACGTTTTGGCCGCTCAAATCCAGATATTTGCTGGTTCAATAGTTCGATCCTTTATTCTTTTTGGTTAATTCCCTTCTTCATCCCATGAAGACCGCATTTTTCACGACTTCGGAATGGTGACATCTGAGGCGGAGCACGGTGGCGGAGGCTCGGAAGGATGGCTGTGAACTTAGGCGCGGGGTGCTGAATCGGTTCCCAGGTTCCTGGTGGGATGGAGAGGTGCTCCAAGAAGCAGCAAAAACATATTGGTTTTCGACCCAAAAAATGGTGGTGAAACACGGCAGTTTGACCCTGAATATGAACACATGGTGGTTTAACAATGACAAGCCAAAGAATCCAAAACATGGGGAGGTTCACCAGCAGAAATGGGACAGGCGCACCGCCTTCCGGACGGCCCGAACGGATCCCTTGCTCCAGGAGGTGGGGTACCTGGGGGATGAACCATGGATGAAGCCCTATGAAAAACATTGAAAAAGCCATTTAAAATGGCAATTTTGAATGGGGAAATTGATAATGAAGCTGTGGATTTAGGGTAACCAGTTTTCAGGCACCATACTCCTTGAAAGAATCGTAAATCAGTAAATCCCTAAAAGATAGACACATCATTTGCCACTATTTCGACACCATCCCAGAAAAATAGATTAACCTACGATATTGGTCCCACAACTACAAAAAAACGGATCAGGGGTGATAGGGGGGTATCTCATATTAGAGGGATGGGATTAGTAGATTTATATAGTAGAATAGTAGGATTTTACTTTTCTGCATCTTTTTCTTTGTTGGGGGTTGAATGAAGCTGGCAAGAACGTGGTGTAGGTTCGGCGAAAATGCTTCGAGCCGGGCGCTTGGCATGGCCCTTTTTGACCTCCTCCAAGGCAAAGCTACCCATTCAATGAAACATTCAGATTTTCCTTCCCATTTTGTGGTTGGTGTGTGTTGTTTTTCATAAACCAACCAGTTCAAGGCAGTTCAATGAGTTCAAGCGTGTCTGTTTTCTCGCCGGCTCGAGGTTGGAGAACAGGCAGTGGAACATGTCGGAGCTGGCGAACGACCAGGACTGTGAGGCGAGAGGAGTGGCGGCGCCTATTGGATTTACGTGTATAAATCCATGCGACTGCATATGAAAGTGTGAAACAGACGCATTGCACACGTACACACACACACATATCTAATTATATATCATATACACATACATTCATACATATAATATACATTAATGATATGATTAATGTATTGCATATAAACTTGACCATGATCAGATGGTGGTTTGATGGCCTGTGAGGTTGGAAGCCCGTGTCACTGTAGACGTGTCAAGAACGGTCATCTGATATCATTTGATGGCGGGAAACTTCGTTGCGGGAAAGCCCCCCCCGGATATACTTGTAGGTTGGTTTAGATTAAACCTATTACCTGATTATAGATATATCATACCACACAGACACACACGCACAAATATGTATATATATATATGTATCTGCATAGATAGATGTCCATTACACATCCCAGTTGCGTGAGATGTTTCAACCAAACCCATTGTTTCCCCATTTTCCCGCTATTTTTGGCTGGGCGTCCCGCAGCCGCGGCCCCCGTTTCGCTCGTTGCGCTTGGGGCCATGGCGGAGATCTTCCAACTACATCCTCGGTCGGCCTGTTGACCCAGTGGGAAGTCCGGTTATGTCATTGGGGAATGTGATGAACATGTGATGTTGGTCAATGTTGGTTAATGTTGGTGAATGTTGGTTAATGTTGGTTGTAACCAATATCAATGCGATGAAATCATTCAATAGTTTGAACATCATGGCTATTGATATTGGTTGATGATTTGATGTTGGTCATACGCCCTGATCAACCAATTAACAAGTTAAGGGGGTTTAGAACCAACCTTTCAAAAAGTAGAAACACAGCGAAAATCCAATGGTTGGGAGGGAGCGGGTTGGAGCTATGGGCATGACAGGAAAATATCATGAAAAGGAAGTCAAGGAGCTAAGAGTTTCCCAACCACATGTCAGTAGAAGGATACTCAGATGGTTGGATGACTAAACAAAGTAGAATACATTTTCGAAGGAAGTTTAGAAGTCAAACTTCCGACACTATGGAGAGATCGAAAAGCAGAGGTGGGAAGAGTCAGAGAAGAGGAGAGAAGAAGAGAGAAGGTCAGAGATGAGAAAGAGTCAGAAGTGCAGGTGCGCGAAAAGGTAGAAAAGTCGTGAAACACTGTGTTTTTCCAATGATTTGTGGCTCCAGAGGATCGAAAAGTAGGCTCGCTAAAGCGGCGGGTGCGGAGCCATCTGGCCGGATGAGAGATGAAAAATTGTACGCCGTTTTGGCGCGAAGCACGCTTCGAAGTCTAAAAGCTAAAAACACTTCACGTTCGGAGCACTTTTGGAAGTTGAGATGTTGAAAAAGTGAACGCTGTTGGCGCGAAGCACATTTCGGAGGGGACTTGTACGCCGTTGTGGCGCGAACCCAAATCAAAATGTCACCGCATGTTCGGACCACTTTTGGACCTTCAGATGTCGTTTCGCGTGGCTGGCGCAAGGGATTCAGCACCTTGTCAAAAGTGAGCAAAACGCGAGTGATTTGTAGCAGTTTCAAAAGCATTGGCAGGCGTGGGACATTTCAAGAGGATCTGCAAAGATGTATTTTCCGTGGCAGGTGCAGTACAAGAGACATGTTCATCAGAGATGTTACGAGGTCCGGGCGATGATTTCCTGAGAGGGGTTGCATTTTGGAGCATCAGATCTTCAGGTTTGCTGCGATGATTTGGCGTGACAGGTACAGCACTTTGTATGATCTGGCATCAATTTTTCGTGGCAAGCGCAGCACTTTAGACAGATGGACAGGAAAAATCGCAAAACGCATTGGTACGAGGCCATCAGCTCTGCACTCAACTGTCCATTTTGAAGGAAGTCTCGCAGAATTGTTTCGTTTTTGATGTTGTCAACTTCGAAAATTGAGGAAGTCTCGCAGAATTGTCTCGTTTTTGATGTTGTCAAGTTCAAAAAAATGAGAAAGTCTCGCAGACTTACTTCGTTTTTAAACGTGCAGAAAGGCAGATAGATAGATAGATAGACAGACAGAGAGAGAGATAGATAGATCGATGGATAGATAGATAGATAGATAGAAAGACAGATAGATAGATATCTAGACAACTGCAGCTACAACTACAACCACACTACACTACCACTACAACTACAAATGCAAATACACCACGCTACAGTACACTAATTGTACTACACTACACTAATTACACTACACTACGCTAATTACATTGCACTACACCGCATTACACTACACTACACTAATTACATTACGCTACGCTACACTAGACTACAACTACAACTACTTTACACTACATTGCACAACACTACGCGACACCAGTTACACTACACTACACTACAGCTCCAACTACAACCACAACTACGGCGACAACTACAACTACCACTACAACTACAACTACCACTACAACACGACTACAACTTCAACTACACTTCAACTACGCTACAGCTACAACTTCAACTTCAACTACACTTCAACTACATTACAATTACAACTGCAACTTCGGCTTCAGCTACACTTCAACTACAACAACTACAGCTACAACTTCAACTACACTTCAACTAGAACTACAGCAACTACAATAACTACAATAACTACAACAACTACAATAACTACAATAACTACAACAGCTACTACAACAGCTACTACAACAGCTACTACAACAGCTACAACAACTACACTACAATTGCAACTGCAACTACAACTGCAGCTACAACTGCAACTACATCTTCAATTACACTACAGCTACAGTTGCACTACAGCTACAACTACAGCTGCAACTGCAACTACAACTAGCACTACACTACACTACGCTAGAGTTCAACTACAACTACAGCTACAATTACTACTGCGCTACAACTACAACTACCACTACAACTACAACTACAACTGCAATTACATTGCACTTCGCTACGCCACACCTCATTCTGCAGTTGTGGGTGAGGTGACCATTGCAACCACCCCAAAAATTACAACCACGTTTGGGTCCATCAATGGGTTCGCTTTGCCATCCATGCATCGCAACAACTCGCTTCTCCTATAGTTTCCTATCTTTGAAACTTCGGCCACCGCCTTGTGCGGTACTACTGGTATGGATATATATATTATATGGATAGATGAGTGACAAAGATACTCGGGGTGTAAATAACAAGTTGCACAAGATGACGGCCGATAGCGAACGTACAGTACAACAACATAGAACGAAACAAGTCAGTCACTAATTAAAAAATATGAAACGATACGCATATTCCAGTAAAGGACTTACGAACTTAAAGTACTGACCTGCGGACCGCACAGCCAGTGCAGTCTCGTGCAGGTCTCGCGCAACACGGACCTGTCTCAACCAATCGCTCCGGTAGACAGGAGCCCAAAGTTTCCGGAGTTGAAGCCACAGGACCCGTGGGGGAGCCGTTGGAGAAGTCTCAGGTGACATGAGAATATAGTGTAAATACATAGATACATGCACATATGTTATGTGTTCTTGAAGCACGATCACATTGAAAACATACGGAATTCTTAAGATAAAGAGATGAAGAACTGAGTTATGACAGTTAATCATCAACAGAAATCATGCACATGCGTCCTGCTGCATATATGTATATATGTTTGAGTATATGATCCCTGCCATCATGCGTCAAATGGCTGAGCTATGGCAGCGATGAAGTTCGTGGTGAAATTACCAAGAAGTGGGAAACAAATGGGTTGGTCTGGGAACCCCTGGAAATTGCAATGTTTTTTCTTTCTAAATTGTAATTTTTCCGGCTTAGACTTGCCAATCTGCGATCCAACCATTTTCAGACAAAGTCCACTGGTCAATCCTCGTGGAAGGAGAACACACTGGAACTAGCATTGTTGGAGCTGGCTGTGGGGAACTCAAGGGCACAGAAATGGCAGGTCACTTTTAGGACAAAACGTCCACTCTTTGAAGAAAGGTATGCTGTTTTGATTTGATTTGATTTGAACCATAAAGACAGGGAGGGGGACAATTGCAGGAAAATGAAGGGTTGGAGGGAAGATTTACAGGAACCGTTTTTTTTTTTGGTGGGTGTGGGTAGGTCTTTAGCCCATCGCAAAAAGGGCTCCAAAAAAGAGAGCAAAACGAAGATAGTGCAGCAAGAGCAGGAATAGTAGTGGCAGTGGCAGCATTCTCTTATTATTATGCGGATAATCAATCATTCGATCATTGGGTCCGCCCACTCCTTTCTTCTGCTTTGGCTGCAGCCCTTTCTACTACAGGCTCCCAGGAAAGAGCACAATCCACTCGTTAACCACGATCCCTACAGTCATGGAGAGTCGCGCAAAGGTGACCCCCCAAAGAAATCAGAGCTCAGGGCTTGGACACCACAACCATGAATGTGGTAAACCGGTAAAGCCAATGCCATAAACCATCCCCAAGTCCCCTCACCATTTTGACGGGAAACCATCCCCAGTGGGAGCTGTTGCAGGCAAAACACGTGAGCGAAAGCCAACAGTTGCAGAGGAAGCTCGAGGCCTGGGCGCCTGGGCGCTCGAAGTGACCGGAATTGCAATTCTGAATGTGAGACTCATGTGTTTTCCCTGTTCGCATGTGTTCGATGGTGCAGCAAATTCTTGGCATATTGAAACGACATAATACAAGGTTAGATACCAATCCTTGATAGAAAGCACTAGTGCTAAAGGCACCAATTATGAAACCCAGGACGGCGCTGCGCAAATCCCAAATTCTGAGAAAAAAGTTGAGAGGAAGAGGAAACTGCAAACAACTCATATCTTTGAATGGTAAAACCAAAGCACCGAAAGCTGCACAGTTTCGCTGAAATCAGCCCAGTGATTTTTCAACTTCGGCACATCAGGCTTCGATCCAAGAATTGGAGGCGCCAAGTGTGGAGATGCAGCAGTTATGCAACATACCCGACCTGGATGTGTATCCCAGTTTTTTTTTGAAGTGGTTGAGAGCCATGGCTATGACCCAGCTATGCAAGGCTATGTATAGTGTGTGATGTGCATATAAGTAACAATTCATAGATAATTGCAAGCAGATAGGCTTACGAAAAACTTTAGAATCTGGGATGCAGTGCTGTCTTGGATTCGGAGGCCACATCTTCGCAGTGAAACAGTGGAGACATTAAATCTACCCGTGGGTTGTGTCCCTGGCTGCAAGGCCAAACACTTCCTGGTGGTCCAGTACGCCTGCGCCTTGGGGATTTGGAGAGCCAGTCACCCCAGCGGCCCCAAGGGCTTCGCTCCCCATCCAGGTTTCAGAGGTTCCAGAGGAGTCAAGTTCCGAACGTCAGAGGCTCAGCATAGCACAGTGCAGTTTTTAGACAACTCTGAAAGGCTTGGAAATCTTCAAATATGTGAGGTTCCTTCAACTGCAGTATGTGCAATTTGTTGCATTGTTTGGCTCTTTGGCCGACTGTTTTGGGCCAGATTGGTTGCAACCCCGAAGCGGCACTGATTTTGGGCGTGTCCCGACTTGAGGTGTTGAAGCTGTCGTGCCGGAGGAGCCAGAAAAGCAGAATGTGTCCCAGGATGATGGCACACGACCGCGGGTGTCCAGTTGGGATGCTCAGGCTACCAAGGTGCGGTGCAGTGGATGTGAATCTCAGTACTGTTTGATAATCAGACATGTTGATGGAGAATCACCCATTTGTAGGCTTTGTAGGTGTGCCATTGAAGATGTGGATTCCCGTGGGTGTTCCATTGCCGGCCAGCGGGGGCACAGGCATTACCGACCCACGGCTGGGTTGTTGGGAAGTGCCGCAGCCAAGGCTCAGATTCGAAGACACAAAGTACCCGACACCCGGCGACATTTTCAGCTAAACCACTTGATCCTCCGGTTACCCATGACCTGGGTTCAAGACTACTATGCTTGTCCTTTTCTGCAATCTCAGCTATGTCTTCAAGCCACTTGAAACGAGATGATTTAGCAAGGTAATTACCATCAACATCCCAACGTGATGGTGGATGAAGAGGTTCCCTCAGGTCGTCCTTCATCATCCCCATTTCATTCGGTAGGAACTGCCCAGCGTTCAATTGGGAGTTTGTGCTTTCTGCTTTATCCATCTTTATCAAGTGTCTTAGTTTCCCTTCTGAGTCTCAGCTCTGTTGTTGTAATATCCCACTAATGCTGGTAAAGCAATAATAAACCAGCCATATTTTGGTTGTTCATACCACCCAAAAGCATGGTAAAATTGGGATGGTGGATCATATGGCTTGACTAAGATCCACAGTTTTTTTATTGGTTTCACTTTTGAGCTGTGACTGGCACTTGGAAATCCCTCAATTTCTCATGGTGAATCCCCAACTTTTGCTGGTTGAATCCCTATATAATTTCTGTGGCCATCCAGTGGTTCCCTCAGGAGCTACGGAGCTAGGGGCATCTATACATGGAGCAATGGAGTTCCCACATGGTGATTTTCCCAATTTCTGTGGACTTTCCCATAAGCATCTGATACTTTGGTGTTTTAATCCATCCCATCCCCATCCTTTTTCCGCTGTACGGACCTCGCCCTGAGGATTAAATGCACTGACGCGGCTGCTGCAGGGCGTGCCGGTGGAGCACCAAACCTCCGACGCAGCACCCAAAAGCAGCGTCACCTCTACATCCAAGCGAAATCGAAGGACCCCTGAGCCTTTGAGGCGAAACCAGCGGGAAACCATGGGGGGAACCCTAAAAATATGGTGACTCAACCATGGAAAATATTTACAGGACATCTTTTTAAATCCAAGTGTTCAGAATGAACTCCGTTTGGACCCCAAATTGTGTGACCTCATGTAAGCCCAAAGTGAGATCCCCACTGAAGCAGCTTGTAGGTTGAAGAGGCGCCTCAAGGCTCGCTGGGGGTTCGGTATTGAAGGGCGGATGCATTGGTTGCAGATGAAATTTGAGGTGCCAGATGTGCCAGAAGTTTGGTCATCTAGGAACTCAATGGGCCTCCAATTTTTTGGGTTTCAAGTGGGTCAACCTTGCGAGCCAGTCTCTAGAGAGAGAAATTCCGAAAGATGAGGAAGCAGCAGTGGTTCTGAGGATCATAAAAGTACCCAACAATTGAACGACAATAGTTTGGGGGTTTCGCAGCCAAAAAGATAGACAAGTTGGACACCTGGACTGTATAAGTAAGACATAATATTTGTTTGAAAGTTACTATGTCGTACCATCACCATGCCGGTTGTCCCATCGTTTCTGTTTTGCGCCGCCAGAAAATGATTTCTGCCGACCACTACGGATCTCTCCCAGAGGAGCCTGAGATGCGTGGAAGACATAGATGATGCAGTAAGAACTTGTTAGTAACTAGGCTCAGTTTCCCCATAAATGGGATAGTTAGTGTTTGGTTTAAACCAGTTATACATGAAATAACCCTAGGAAAAAAGGGGGTAATTTTAACTCACACCAGGGTTACGAATCCAGTTACGATTCCTGGGATGATCCTCCAAGTAGTATAGGTGCCATCTAATGACCATACAAAATCTCATCCCATCACAGATATTGACATAATATGAGAATGGTATACTTGTTGGGCGAAAACTTGTCAAACCATCTCTTCAACCATTCCTTTTTTGCATCCAGCTCTTGGGTGTTCAATCATTTTGTCATTGAGCCATTGCCACATCTTGAAGCCAGACAGACAGCTCTTCCAGGATGCACGGAGCTGGTATCAGAGCTTCAGCTTATTGGCTTTGGTCCCTCCATGGCACTTTTTGCGACTTTTGGGTCATTGTTTGGGTCTTCATGTGCTGACAACTACCATGAAGGATCTAAATCTCCCTGGTTTATTTCAGCTGCTTATCAACATTATCAATTTGGGTTGCTTCAAGCCCGTTTTTCTCATGGAGAACCTAACCTATCCTAACCTGCGAATTGCTTCACCCCCCGATGCCGCCGGCATAGCCTTAGGTCACCCATCCCGTTTTCGACGCTTGGACAGCCATGGTGATCCTGGTGAACGCGGCCACCATTGGAGCAGAGACGTCCCCTGGCGCCATCCCAAAATGAACATTTCAGCTTGGTGATTTTTGTCAAAATTCATCAAACCAGGATATGGTTATATAATGGTATATAATGTTATATAATGTTGTATAATGTTATATATACATATACATATATATATATTTGTACGCCAGTTATGAACCACACCACACACACAGACAAATAGACATATATATATATATGTATGTATATGTATCATATTAGAATAAATTATATAACCCATATATCATGATATCATCCCCTTTTTCGGCCAGATAAATTCACCATGGCTTAGCAACTCTCCCGATTGCGCAATGGCTGCTGCAGGCAATACGGCGCTATGGGTTCAGATTTGCCATCCAGCTGCTTGACGCAAAAAAACACATGGAACAAATATGGCGGAACATGGGCTCGGAACTAGGAATAAATTGGCGGTTAATAAAAAGGGATCATTCTGATGCGGTAAACTTGCGGTAAACACGGAATCATTCTTTGGGGGAATTGCATTTTGATTCAGATTCGTGATTTGTTGTGCGTTTTGTGCCAGCTTTCTGTATAAGTTAAGTGGTCTCATGGCACACTAAGCATCACTAAGCCGCCAAGCTCCGTGAGTTGTGCTGGTTGTCACTTCTTCATCACTTGGTCATCAGTAATTCATTGAGATTTCCTCAGAAATGGATTCCTGCCTGCCTGGATTCATGTGGCAGCTTGCTACTGCTACTCCAATCCCCTTAGTTGAAAGATACCGAAGCGAGATCAGCGTCTCAGGTTTGGAGACGGTGAGCCAGCTGTGCTCCTTCTATTTCCTGTTGGCGCTTCGGCGCAGTGGCCATGTGTGTCGATGGGGAAGGTGAACCACCCACTTTCATGAGGGAAAGCACCTCCAAGGGTTGGGCCGAACTGTGGGGACACCTTTTGGGACTGGGTGGCATGATAGAACCCTGGCATCCTGGGTTTTTTCTCCGATGGCCCTGACCTCATCATGAGTTTCGCGGACATCTTCTCTCTGACGATTCTATACGCCCAACCGTGCTGTGCGTACGCTGAGTCTGTTTGACAGTTGCCGAACCTATTGTCATATTATATATATATAATATGTTATACATTTTGCAGTTTTGCATGAATAACTCAAATCATATCCTTTGCACACTTGCCAAATCTGAAGGTTGAATCAGAGTATCACCAAGGAACTGCTGTTGCGCATCGGCGCGCACAAGGCGGAGCCTGGCTCCTTTCTGGGGACCCTTGGAAAAGGTGATTGAGAAATGCCCATTTTAATTTCGAGGTTTCTTAAAATGGTTTTTGAAGTCCCCAAGTCACCATGAGTCTCAATACTAAGTCATGGTCATGGTCTAATTTGGGATGATTTGGGGTGGCCCCATGTTAGGAAACCTCCGTTTAGAGGCATGAACATTGGTAAGAGATCCACATTTGTATTGGGCCCCCTGATGGAGAACACAGATATACTCAGAAGACAGCAATGCCAGGCCAATTGGTTTGCAGACCCAGACATGCGACTATGGAGACTTGGCTGCCAAATGGGAAGCAATACTGTCCAAACGGAAGTGAAGAGTTTGCCTCGAACAGAAGTCCATGTTTCCATCGCACCCTTGAAGTTTCCCTACATTTCCTCAAACAACTGACTTCAGATAAAGAATCTCAAATTTACAGCAAAATGACATTTAATGTGGGTCATTTTATGCCTACGGCAGGAAAACCGTACGTGCGTTTTGCTTCTTTTTTGAGTATTGCTCTTTGTCTTGGGGTTGGGGTGGGGTGGGGTGGGGGGGCATGTTAACGTTCCTTGTACTTCGTACATGATATATTGCCATGTTGCTAATATCTCTGCGATCTTTTACCACGTTACGTGTTGCTACGCTGCTGAGATCTCTAGTGTGGGTTGGGGTTGGGGTGGGGTGGGGTGGGGGGGCATGTTAACGTTCCTCGTGCTTCGTACAGGATATATTGCGATGTTGCTAAGATCTCTGGGATCTTTTACTACGTTACATGTTGCTACGCTGCTGAGATCTCTGGGACTTTCTTACTACGTTACAGGTTGCTACGCTGCTGAGATCTCTGGGATCTTTTACTACGTTACAGGTTGCTACGCTGCTGAGATCCTTGGGATCGTTTACTACGTGACATGTTGCTACTCTGCTGAGATCTCTGGGATCGTTTACTACGTTACATGTTGCTACGCTGCTGGTATCTCTGGGATCGTTTACTACGTTACATGTACTGAAAGTGCACACAGGGAAGATTGACTCTCTGTGGAATTTGGCTAAAAAATTTGTGCCTAGCAATTTGCAGACAAAGGCAGGGCAGAACAAAGATGTCATGCTATACCTGCGTTGCTGGCAGTGGCGTTATGAGTGCCATAATGGCAACTTGCTGTCGAAGACAGCTTCCACACTGATGGATCGCTGAGCCGACGAAGAGAGTTAGAAAAAATCTGCGCATCCACGCCTGATGCACATGATGTTTACCTGGATTTGTTAAAAATCAATAGATTTTGCATCCACTTTTTTAAACCCAAATTCAGTTATCCAAACTGGTCGGAAGAGCATTTTATATTGTAAATAACAGGTGATTGTGACTCTCCTGGAAACAACCAATCAAAACGCTCGCGCGGTTTCCCTTCCGCCGGGATGTTTCCATCGCACCCTTGAAGTTTCCCTACATTTCCTCAAACAACTGACTTCAGATAAAGAATCTCAAATTTACAGCAAAATGACATTTAATGTGGGTCATGAAGTATCTCAGCTTCCCCACAGGAATTTATTCGACCTGCTGCTGGTGGTCATGTCGTTGATCGACTTCATGGTCTTCCGACTTCTCCAGAACGGCGCCGGCTTCACGGAGGTGAAACTCTTGAAGACACTGCGCATTATGCGCGTCTTCCGCGTCTTCCGCTTCTTCCGGCAACTCACCCAACTGGCGCTGATGATCACAGCAGCTCGGCGGCGCATAGCTTACCCATAGCTTGGCAGAGATCATATATGATATCTGATATTTGCAGGGGATCCAGTCTCTCCACTTAGGAAATTGTAATCCCCTGTTGTGTTGTCATGCCTTGCTTATTGTGATTCTTTCTCCGATCTGGCATCAGTCAAAGGCAGCAGTGAAATATATGTGTTTGACGAACCCAAAACTGAATGGTTAGACCCTGTTAAACCAACTTATCCGTTATCCGTCACCAGAACCCAGGATTCCATTCGATCGCTGATTTGGGCCTTGGTGTTGCTTGCCATCATCATTTATGCTTTCGTCCTGGCCTCAGTCATTCAAGCCGTCTCCGCAATCCTAGGGTAGCACCTCCCCCGGAAGGTTAACAAGTTCCAAACATGTGGATTCATGATGATAAATGAATCATTCCTTGACATTATGTTTTCGCTCGTGAAGAGAAAATCCAAGTGGCAAGGTGGTCGACTCTGTGGGGTGACTGCAACTCACGTCAGATCCCTGAGGCCATCTTTCTGACCGCCAACGTCGGCGACTCAGCGCCCGTGGCCCTGCCCCGCTGGGATTTCTTCATGGGGGAATCACCTTGAACTACCAGGGCCTGAAATGATCTGACATGTGGCCGAAAAAGCTACCAGTTCAATGGGATGTAACTTGAAGCCCAGTACTGATAAATGATAAATATCACTATACAGGTATCGGATTAAAGTTTTCTGTTTTGGAGCCTGCAACCCCCCCAGGTCTCGGACTGGCTTCACGTGGAATTGGGTTCCCCTGGTATGGCTGGGCCACCAAGGGAAGCCGTTCGTCAGGGCTGGGCTGGTGGTGTCACGCGGCACTCAAAGATTCTGTCTTAGGGCTACTACTGTAGTTGCCCTGGAAATTCAAAGATAGACTAGAGAAGTGAGACAAGCAGATCGATACGCATGTGTTTTTGACAAGTATTTGAATTTCCGTAAACGAGTAAACAGATGAAAACAGACAAATGTAATGAATAGGATGAATAGGTAAATGAATAAGCCGACAATTGGAGTTGGTGTAAATAATTGAATAAATGAACATCTGATTTCAGGAAGGAACCAGTTAGGATACATAAAGAAATGCACAAACAACACGTACTGTGTTTGTACCTAGATATTTATAGAATTCTATGCGTAGGAGGTATCAAGAGGTCACCAGCCTGCACAGGACTGGCCAAACTTGGCAGCAGATCATCCGGACCTGGACATTCGAATTCTGGAATCTGCCTATGGCAGGGTGGCCGAAATGGATTTTGGGAGGGTCGGGTCTCTGCTGGTTTCGGCTTGGTAGACCTGTCAAGTTTAATGCACATATATATATACAGTATATATATATATTTGTATATACAGTATATAATGACATATATAACGCACATATAAAACAACAAATCAGTCATTGAAGAAACATGTGCAAACATTTACATCGACATGCACACACACATACCAATAGTTAGAATTGGTGTGTTAGTTTGAATAGATTTGCCCTGCTATCAGATTAAACGCTTCCATTGCCTTTGGCGTTAAAGAAAGGGCAACGGCAGGGGTTGCAGTTGCATTTTGTCGCCCAGGTTCCTTACCACAGACTGTGTACACACTGGTGCAAGCAGTGCCAGATCTCAGGGCACAAAGCAGCTGCTATCAACGCAAAGACTAGCCGATCTCCCGCTTACCTTTATTTTGCACTTATCGTAACCCAGTACATTTTCCTACATGGAGCCCCAAAATGAATGGATCTGCCGCTAAAAGATGGTTTCTCGGGGTGTTTTTGTTTTTAAGGAATTTGGAGGAGTGAATAGATGGGTTAACTTGGCTAACTGCGCTGCAAAACCCCATTTGATTCTGACGGGCTGCAAGATTTCAGAAGCGCGGCCGATCCATCTTGTTGTTCCCTGCGTGGAGCCAAAATGAAGAGATAGATCACCACTAACAACAAAAACCTCATTCAACTGAGGTGCTGGGTGGCAGGAGTTGGCATGAGGTTTGCACTCCTCTCTTCAAAGCACTGCACTTGGCTGGGCTCGTATCCAGTGGTTAGGAGGGGGCCCAGGAGCTATGGATACAAATTGGGAGCCGAGGAGACACCAAGAGTTTCCCAACTGATGGTTTCCAGTCTGGTTTTGAGGTCGAGGTTAAGACTTGGCAATATAAACTTCCCCAGGAAAATTATGTGCTGCAAATATCACCAAATCACGCGAGCACCGTTGCTTTGTTGTCGTCTAGGTCGGATGGCTGCCAGTGATGTGCGGGAACCTGGCGGTTTGATTCCCAGCATGTTTTTTTTGCTGGGTGTTCAGCTGAGGTTGCTCTTTATCTACGTATCCTTTGTGATTCTGGCTGTTCTTAATGCTGGGGTCCTCAGCCTTTTGGGCCTTTTGGTTGTATCAAGGGTCACAGCCATGAGTGGCAGGGAGGACGTGGTTGATGTGGTTGATTCTGAGTGCCGGTGGCATGACAGTGCATGGCCAAACCCTGCTGTTTCGCTATCCTGTTTGATGAACCCCGCACTGAATGAACATGAATCTACCCATTTCAATGCCACGCACTGCTTCAAGGAATTTTGGTCAGACACGCGGTACGATGGTTTTCCTACGCTCTTGTAAGCAAAGATGGCACTGGCCAGTTGTAGATGATGTTCTGAAGTCAACTGCATCTTCCAAAATTTTCCAAGATTTTCCGGGTTGGATGACCAAAGGGTATTTTGTTGTCTTTTTGGTAGTGACTGCTAGTGATTCACCTCATAACATACCACCCGGCTCCACCTGGCGGAAGATTGGTGGTCTGAATGAGTCTGAATGGCTGTTTGAGGATGTTCGAGTTCCCTTCTGAGGTATCTCTTTTCTGAACCTGTCATGTGATCTGAGCTACCCTGCCCACTTGTTTCTGACCTTGTGGTGCGCGCTGCATTTGGGCCGCGTGCATCTACGTGCAGCTGCTGCTGTGCGTGATCAAAATTTTGCTACCCAGGTCGTCACAGGGGTCTTCGTTGACAACGCTTTTCGCTGTGCTGAGAAGCAGCGAAGTCTTGTGACCTGGTGCAGCTAGCCACGGGGGTCACTACTGAGTAAGTGAGGCCCGCCCATATACCTATGTAGTATGTATGCGCATATTTCGGCATGCATCTAATGTAGATAGATAAAGGTGCACATCTACTTGATTTCAGTTTCTTGATAACAAACAAATGGTTTCCTTCCTGTAAATCATGGCATATTATCATTTGTAAAATTTGCGTTTGGAAAAAACATGCACACATACTTATATATATATATAATTCTAACTGTGTATAATTTTGCATATAACATATGAGATAGCACATGGATAAACAATGATAACCACATAAACAATAGGGAAGGAAGAATCAACAAGTAAAAAGAAAGTCTTTCGAATTGGACATGTATATAGCACACATGTATATTGCACACACACACACGCATATATATATATACAGATATTTGCATGTAACACACACACACATATATATATATATATATCACACGCAAACATATAATTATATATATATATACATATTTGACACATGCACACAGATATAGAAATGTAGATACAAGGAATCGGCTTTATGGTACTGGTGCAGCGCAGCCGTCCAGTGTCCTACAGGGAGGGGCCCACGTTCAGATAACAGAAGATCCAGTGGCCAAATCATGGTTTTGGACCAAGGCAATACAGAAAGAAATGGACAAGCACCCTGGCAGCATATCCACTTCATGGCGCATAGGTTGGTGCTGTGTTGCTTGAGGATTTGGATTGCCTAATAGGTGGTGCCCAAATGTTGGTTCTTTAATCTTTTTTGGCCGACGAACGACTCTTCAAGGCACCGAAGCCACCTTTTTGCTAGTGACATTCCCCCCAGCAGCTTTTTCATAAAACATGGGACTTCAAGAGTAAACTGAGGAAAGAACAATGGGTGCAAGAGATCAAGGACTTCTTTTCGGCCATGGACCAGGACAGCTTTGCCTCACCCATGGCTTGATACATGTCGCAAATCTGGGTGTGTCTGAAACTGGGGATGTCCATGGAATGACAGTTTTGTTTGTAGGGAAACTTGTGGTAAGCCATGGGGCTTTGGTGGTTTTCCCACCATTTTCAGACAAATCCATGTCGTACAATGTCCAATTGTAAACTAACCTCCACTACTTATGACCATTAAATCCCATCCAACTAGATCCCAAAAACTCCAGATAGTTTTCCACTAATTCCGAATCCGCATATATATATATATATAAATATAAATATAAATATGAATATGAATATGAATATAAATATAAATAAATAAATAAATATATATATATAATTATAACTACAAATAAACAAATATATATATATATATTGAGAGAGATATGTATAGAATTGCCTAATCTACATTTCAACGTCCCAAATGCCACCAGCCTCGGCCACGGGTCAGGACGGTTCCGGAGACGTCACGCCGGATGAACTCGGGGTTGGGTCCCGAGGTGAGAGATTACCACCAAGAAAAATATGGAAACATGACGATACATGCATAATCATAGCATGGTGGTGTAACATATGATCATGATAGTTACAACATGATGATAACATGATGAATAAAGCATAGCATTCTTGGTGTCCTACAAAAGGAGAAAAACAACATTCCATTGGCCTCTTGAGGAAATGCTGGATGACCCAGCCTTATCGGCGTACTTTCGCGTCCTTGGCTTTGACATTGACGATGCTGCTTGGTGACGACTGACGACCAGGGGGATGTGCGGGTGGGATGTGAGAATCCGCATGAAGGCCGGTACCAGTACCAGTAATGTGGGATTCACCCGTTGCCATAAACCTATCATTTGGGGATGGTAAACATACCACTCTTAAAACTGGTGATTTTGGGGATGGTTTATGGCATTGGGTTTACCACACTAGACCCCTACCTAACCATCGCAAGGGGCTGACCTTGGGCATTGAGCCTTCTATTCTGGGATCTGGCTCGAACCACGCTGACGCAGCTTCAACATGGTGAAATTCAATTGAAGATCAACACATCGCAGCTGCAAGGCTTGTGGGCAGTTACCCTTAGTTCATGAAACTCACTGCATCATACTGCATCTAGTATTGGAGAAGATACCCTCTGGTAAACTGGCACATAACTATGGAAAGATCCACCATGCTATTAATGGGTAAATCCACTATTTCTATGGCCATTTTCAATAGCTATATTAGTTACCCTCTGGTAATTTAACATAGCTTTTAATGGGAAAATCCACTATAAATGGCCATTTTCAATAGCTATGTTAAATTACCAGAGGGTAAATGGCCATTAATTCTCTATCGGACTTCAGTTCCCATCACAAAAGGCTCCCGGAGGCGGCGTTGCAATGGCGACGCACCTGACCCGAGGGGCAAGCGATATATTTGCATCTGTGGTCTATGACCAGAAAGCCAAAGACCAGTTGATTGGTGTTTATATCATCCCATTCATTTACTTCAAGAACGCCTTGGATGTGGAGAATGTGAGGCGGACCCTCTTCCAAAAATTGATGCCCATTGCGCGATTCCGCAGCAGGGTTGAAAGCATTGCTGGCCCTTTCGGCATCGGACGTCGTTCCGTTTACGTGGAACTGGATCCTCAGACCATGAAGGCATCTCTGGAAGAGCTGGTCACAGCTCCAGCCGGGTTGAGGACTGAGAGAGATTTGGATCAATTTGTATCGGACTTATATTCCCAAGGCTGGGATCCCAGGCTGCCGTTATGGAGGGCCTATGCCATCAACAACCTGGAGGATGGAAGGAGTTTGTTGATGCTAAAGATCGATCATGCCATGGCAGATGGCGTGGGTTTGTTGGAGGTGCTCTATCACATCATCGACGTTGTCCCCGATGCTCCGGCCATGGGCCGTATGGGCCCCACGAAATCCAAAATTGCCCCAAGCCATGGGTGCTGGGACGGCTGCGTCTTGCACCTGAAAGGCTGGTGGCGTGCGATCTTTCGACCCTTCCTGGGGGAGCTGTTGCCTGGCGATCCACCAAATCGCCTGAAGTTCAAAAACGCCAGGATTGCTGGGACCACCAAGGCAGTGGCTTCTACCAAATCCATTGACCTCGAGGAGTGCTTTTTTTGAACCCCCATGATTCCAACCAATTCCAAGTACCCAATTGAGAGGCTACAACCGCTATAGAATATATAGATATTTCTGTGTCTATATCTATGGGATATGAATAAACACACGAATAAATAGACACATATGCAAAAATCTAGGGTATGTATGATGTATTTATGTGGCATACGTGAGGCCTCACATGTTGCTTTCCGGATAGGTTCACTTCACCATCCGGTCCTTACGGGTCCAGGAGATCAAGGCGATCAAGTCCAGAATCCACGGAGCCACGGTGAATGATGTGTTGATGACGTTGTTGTCTCTCACCTTGAGGACTGGCTGGTTCCAACCGGTTTTTTCTCTTCATTTTCAGTGAAAAGCGGGATGATCTTTCTTTTTCCTTCATTGACAAGTGGGATGAATCTTCTCTCATGGGCCCATATGGACTGACTATATATATATATATATATGTATATGTGTGTGTATTTTTGGCTGCCTGGTGGATTGAAGATGATTGAAGACACCAAGCAGAGGAACTACTTCATGAAGTACGAACCCTCCACCTTAAAGCAGTCCGTGAGTGCCACCATCCCCATCAGCATGCGAAGAGAGGGAGAGGAAGATATCTTCAATCCCTTGTTCTTTGGGAACAACTTCTCACAAGCGCAGCTGAATTTTCCCCTTGAGATTGAAGACCCCATGGACGTCTTTCGCCACGTGAAGTCCCAGATTGACGTCATCAAGGTGTCTCCCGAGCCGCGCGTACGCTTGGCCCTGATCCACTGCTTCACCTCCTGTGCGGCTCCTCAAAGTCTCCTGGCCGCTGCATTAATGGATCAATTTGGTCGTGTCACGGCCACCTTGTCCAACGTCGTTGGACCTATGCAGGAGGTGGGGTCGGACCAAGATTTCATGGATACTGAGGCATACCGTGATACCCGAAACTAGCTCCTTTTCACAAGGACAATTGTGATCCACCCATGGGATGTTGGGGGCCATTTTCCCATGGTTTTCGTTCAGGTGAAGTTCATGGGCCAAGCAGTGGATGACTTGTCCTTCTATTGCATGTGTCCCGTGGGGCTCTACCTGGGGGTGGTGCACTACCAGGGTCGCATCAAGGTGGGAATCTGCTCTGATGGCCAGCTGGAACCAGAGCCCAAGCGCCTGGTCGACTGCTGGGATGAAGCTTTAAGGAGCTTCAAAGAGGCACTCTGAGTTCGCACATGGCTCTGGCATCAACTTTTCCATGGACCAGGCTTTAGCCATGTCTAACTCAAAGAAAACAATTTTAAAGATGGCCAAATATCGCAAAGATTCACGAAGAATCACTTAAATCACTTAAACATTTGACAGGTGGCCGCATTTTTGCCCATCCTGATGCGTTTTAAAGCGGCTTCCTGAGCAGCGGGCCGCACGTCCAAAAGGTGCTTGCGTCACGGTGTCCGGTGATCCATGACGGACAGGGACATATGTGGGGCACAGACACATTGTATATAGATATATGGTGTAGCTACCAGGTAGGGAAATGAACAAACTGAACAAATGGATGCACGCGCACACATGTATATATAGACAATTTTATGTATACACACATAGATAGCTGAATCAATACATGGATAGACAGATAGATAAGTGCTGACACACAGCCACACACAGACAGACAGACCCATGCACAGGTATTAATATATATATAATATACATATACATATACATATACATATGTAATTATATATAAATATGGGATTGATCAAACATATAAATGCATACATGCTGGCACAATTGTGCATGCCTAAACACAATCAGCGCATCATGCATGCAAGTAGCAGAAAACCCACGATCTCTATCTATCTATCTATCTATCTACCTAGCTAGCTAGCTATCTATCTATCTATCTATCTATCTGCCTACCTATCTACCTGTCTGTCTGTCTGTTTGTCTGTCTGTCTGTCTATCTGTCTGTCTGTCTGTCTGTCTGTCTATCTCTCTATCTGTCTGTCTGTCTGTCCGTCTGTCTGTCTGTCTACCTATCTCTCTATCTATCTGTCCGTCCGTCTGTCTGTCTATCTATCTGTTTATCTATCTCTGTAGCTGACATTCGATATTTTCAAACTTTTATATTGAAGAAAACATGATTACAGTTAACTCAGATTTCCAGAATGCATGGGACTAATTAGTTGAACATATTATTTTTTCAGGTTTCAGTTCGCTTACAAACACCGAGAGAGATCAGTTTTTTTTTCTTTACTGTTTTTGGAGCAAGAATCACTCAAGACACCACCTGAGAATTTTAAAGGGGAACAGAACTGGTTTCCTGACCTGGATGGAACCCGCCCAGGCCCGCAGATTCATTCAGCTTCTGGACACGGATTCCAACGAGAGGATCAGTAGCCGCTGCCAGAGTTGGAACCGGGGTTGCGATTTCGGTTTCCCAATCCTATGGGTTGGTTATGGTTAGTTCATAATCACCGATAACCATCAATAACCCGGGTAGTACAACACCCTATAGGAACACTCAGCCCGGGCATTTTTAATGGCTCAATTGGTGGCTCAAATCAAACTGTCTGAAAATGTTGAAGTTGGTGGCGGTGACACCAACAATCACCTTCGTCTCAGGGTGTCTCTTGATGTCACGAGAAATGTCTCATTTTTAACGAAACAACAGCCATTGACGAGTCATGGGGCTATGGGGTGGAACCAGTTGCGTGGCTTCCATGGTTTCGTTCCTCCGCGCCAGGTATCGATGAGTTTCTCCGCGGGTGCCTGAGGTATCGGGGCTTGGCCACCGGTGTGGACATGCACACCTGTCTCAGGATGGCCTCTCGGCAAAAATCTGGTTGTCCAGGACTTTCCATGCTGGACCTATGGGAAAACGGCGGAACCAAATTCATGAGATGGTATTGATGGTAGACACCAAAACAGGCGACACGGGATGTGATGGGAGGTGTGTTTTATTTCCAGATGAACAGTTAGTTTGTTGGTTGTTTTTTTGATAAATTTGTGGTTATTGTGGCCAGAGAATCAGCTGGATCTTGCGCTGTCGTCTCTCCTAGCATCCAAAGCACAGGAAAGACCCATCATTTTTTTTGGCTGGAGTTCCATTTGTGCCATTTCACTTTGGAAATTTTGAGATTTTCAACCCCAAGTCCCCAGGGTTGTTTCGGGCCAAAGCCATGCCCTCAGGTGAGGCGCACAGAGAAGGCAATCAACGACCTGAGAGATGCAGTTGGGAAGACACGTCCGAGGGCCTTGGTGTGTGGGGCAGAAGGGCTCATGAGGGGATGTAACCACCAGAAAAATCCATAGAAACGGGTTAGTATCTGTTTTTCTGGGATTGAGAACATGTAATTTTGCGAATGCTTTGTGAACTCTGGGAGATCATTGCAGTATGGATGGGACCATAACATGTTTTGGGCTGGCATGGCATAGGTATTATATAACTAAGATAAAGAAATCGTTTTGATTTGTTCGGTGCATGATGAAGCGTGCCGTTGAACTGAGAGATTCTTTTTCCCACGAGAATTCTTTGGATGCGCTGCACTACACGCATGCATCCGAATCATTGTACTCCATTACAAGCATTGCAAGCCGCCTCGGCTCACAACACGCCGGAGCAAAGATGCCGCGACCAAATCAGTACTTGAGACCCCCCAGCAAACAGGGCAGAAAATGTGCCCCAGCCAATGCCAGCTCTATCTTTTAGAAGTAGAGCGCCAAGCCGAATCACACACAGATATACAAGATGTATGTGTATATATATATATACCCACATAGAGGATACAGTGCATGTATATGTGTAGAAAATTGCGCATTGCTAATTTCTCAGAGCATCAATCCTCAGAACCTTCCTTCAGCGATGGACGACGATGACTTGGATCCCGCGGACGCCGATGCCCTGGACGACCGCACCACTGCGCGTGCTGAAAAGGCGGCGAAGGTGGCACAGAGCCAGGCGCTGAAAAAAAGAACGGTGGTTGATGTGTGGGTGTGGTGATGGGGTGTCAAAACACCATGGTTTGGTCATGGTTTGGGATGGTTATCACAAGTTATTCATCCATATTTTAGGATAAGAACCATTTTGCGATGAAAAACGTCTACTTGAAACCCAGTACTTACTTAGTATTAAAAACCAACCTTGCCACGACCAAGTAATCACTGAGTTATATAGAAAACAACCTTGCCACAGGGATAATTCCACATCCTTCACCAAGCAGTTTTCCACCTGCCAGGTGACCGATCTGCCCAGCAAGGGCCGTCTGCGCTTGAGATCCGCCGTCCCCGTGGCCAAGGGCTACGAAGGCAAAGCCGTCAGTCGCGAGAAGATTTTTGAGGTGCCTGAAGCTGAAGCTGATGATGAGCAGTCCCTGTGGTCTGAAGATTATCATGATTACCCTCTGGTAATTTGTAACATAGCTATGGTAAATGGCCCACTCATAGGCGACTTACATTGATGTGCCTAGTAAACATTGTGACTTTCCAAAGTGAAATTACGAGAGGGTATCGTTCTGTTTTTTTTTTCAGCTCCAACATTTGGCAAGACGTTTTCCGGAATCTTCTTGAAAGGGTTTCAATCTTTTTTTGGGATGCCATTTGACAAAAAATCCAAGGTACGAACTGTTGGAACAGCAGCTGGGACCCTTGGATTCTTTGGATCTCGATCCACTGCAGGGTGGTTTAAGCATCTCCAGCAACGTGGAGGCGGAATACGACCAGCTGATGAAGGAAACACGGCAGGAGCTCAGCGTGATGCGGCAGCCCTCGGCGGAAGATGTTGCGCAGAAACAACGGAACGCCCAGCAGCTGAAGCTGCAGATTGAGACCTGGGCGGCCTTGGTGGAGACACGAATCCACCTGGAGGCAGGATTTGGGTGGCAAGGTTTAGGAAACGGGGAGATGCTGAGAAGCTTCCTGGGTTGATTTTGGGAGACTGAGAGACTTGATGTTTTTGTAGGGGTGGGATCCGGTGATCCCAGGTTTTTTGGGGGACCTCTTTGTATCACCCTGAACCTTTCTGCTTCTTGAATCTGAGACTGGAGCCCCAACACAAGTTTGGATCAGCTCGAAGATGATAGCGTCAAATCGCTATAGCTTGTTCTCCTACATTCAAGTCCTGTTGATCCTAAAGCATCCAACAAATGGGTTTCGAGCCTAGTAAAACTTATTAATTTGTACAATGAAAATTTATACCACTATCACTCCCACTCCCACACTACCGCTACCGCTACCACTACCGCTACCACTACCACAACTAATACTATTACTATATGGTCACGATCACGACTACAACTACGACGACGACGGCGGCGACGACGACGGCGACGGCGAGGGCGACGGCGACGGCGGCGGCGGATTTGCTATTAGTAATGTCAGTCATAATGATATTTATACATACTTATACGACTGATCATATCAGCTCAATCTCATCCTGCCTGGGTCTTTTCCAGGCTTCACTGTCAATTGGACATCGGCTTCCTTCGGGTTTGGTGGCCGGCCTCTTCCATGAGGATCCGCAGGTGGCTGACCAGGCCAATGTGGCTGCCAAGGAGGCTGGATCGCAGCCCAGTTGGAGCATTGGCCGGAGCTGGTTTAACCATGTTTAACCTGTTCACATGATAGTTAAACAGATTACCCTCTGGTAAACTAACATAGCTATTGAAAATCACCATTTTTAATGGGAAAACTCACGAAATAAATGGCCATTTTCAATAGCTATTTTGACATAACCAGAGGGTAAACAGGTTAAACTCAAAGAGTTTCAGAGTTTTTTTCGAAAAGGCTTCACTGGTGAAATGGCACCTCCCAGCGCCCAAGAGGTGGAGAAGGTCCTGGCGGATTTGATGTCGCTGCAGCAGCATCTGGCAGAGGAGAAATTCCAACTGCCTCCGGAGGAGGTGGTCAACAAGGCCTGGGAAAACCTGGGGGAAAAACGTTGGAAAACACCAGGGTTTTTCACACAACCAGGCAGATGGGTAGGTATGAGGATGTTCTTCACAGAAAAAACATGCTATCGGTTGGGTTTGAAGTTTGACCTCATTTGGCCTTATCTGGTTGGTCATTTCTTTTCAGCATCCCACAGGGAGGGTCAATGATTCTTAGCTTCACCCGTGGCTGGCTGGGTGGGTCTTTGATTCCGGACACTTGGACGCCAGAGACGTTTCAATCCCAAGTTCCAACAGACCAATTAGAAGATGGCTCAAGGCCCCAAGTGTTAGACATTCAAATGGACCTAGTATGGATTGTGCCTAAGACTCTCCTAAGACCCTCTAGAACAGAATTCTTGGAGCACGTCGCTCGTTTTTCACCCACAATTTTCACCCACAATTTTTACCCACATCACACAGTGTTTCACAGCCCCGTCAGCACCCTGAGGTGATTTCGGAGCCTGAGACCTGGAAGACGCTGGACGGACGCCTGCAAGCGGTGCTGGACTGGGCGCTGGGCGTTGCGGATGACTGGAAGGCGTGGAGAATGGGCGAAGAGTGTGGGGGTGGTTCAATATCTTTAGGTGTCCCGCCCAAGTGACAGGGTTTTGGCCATATATTGTATTTATATGTATATATATATATATGTATGTATATATGTGATAATTAGATGTCTAATTATATATCAGTCATCTGCACACATTCTTTGTAATTATGTAGTTTTTTTATTTTTAAGTGTGCATATGAAATACACACAAGATATAGGGATTGAGAGACAGATATTGAGCACCAGGATGTTGGCAACGTGACCCTGCGACCAAAGTACGAAACCAGGCGGCCTTCCTGGATGAGGTAAGACCGCAGCCTATCCTCCCTCCGAAAAGGGACCCCAAAACGCTCAGCACCAAACACAAGGGTTTCCAGGGGGGTGTTTATGAATATGTGGTAGACCCCCAAAATAAAGTATCAACCATAACTTTGTTGGGTATGAACATCCGTTTCCATTATATATACACACACACACATATATATATATAAATAATATAGATAGAATATGTGGTATTCCCATTATCCAATTCCACCATCATAACCATAACTTTGCTGGTCAAATCTTCAGCCAGGAACGCACCCGGCTGGATGCCCGACGCAGCTTCAAGGTGCTGGATCAGCCATTGCGGCTGCAGATGCAGGTCGGGAGTGTGGGGAGGGGGAAGCCATCAAGAACTTGGAGACTGAGCAGATCAAGTAATCTCGGCCACCTAGAATTGTATAGAACCATGTGCCATATACCAGAACAAGTTAGGCTGAGGCAGACTTGGTCTGAAGGCGATGGAGAGAGAGAGAGGTATAGAACTATACATATATATATAATATTATATGTATATGTATATGTCTCTGTCTATGTATATAAGTATTTTTATATACATATAAATTCCCAGTCCAAGAATCATAATGGCCTCGTTCAGGCCCTGTCCGAGTCGGAGCCTCAGAAGCTGCGGAAGCGCTGCACGCCGCCGGTGGACAAACATCAGCTGTTTGGCACCAGCTGCCAGCGAAGCAAAGACGGAAAGCAGGACAGGACAAGTTTCTGTCTCAAGATGGCTACGGAGAATCATGCGGCCACCAAAACGTCGACAAAACGGAGACCAAAAATACATGTTTCGTTTTTTTTTGGGGGATCCTGTCTAGACTAAGGTAAATCGATAAACCCAAGAATCACAATTTTTCTGGTATAAACCATCCTCAAATGGTAGGATTGTGGGTGCATGAAACTGGACAATCACTGGAGGAGAAGATCTATGATCCCGAGGACAGGCTTGAGCTGGGAGAAGTTTTCCCCTTCATCATGTCCTCAACAAAGATATAAACATCAAACCATAGTGGTAAAACGAGCATTATTGACCATAATCAACATTTCCCACTATGGTTTATAAAAGTTACCACTAATCAACATTAACCACAGTGGCAAAATCATCAAACCGGTCCAAAAACAAGATAACCATCCATACTCATCGTGGTGAAGCAAAACAAACAAGCAGAGATGATTCAAGCCCCTTTTGCCAACGAAAAACATGAGGACGCCGTGCTGGACATCTTCGACGACCGCGACTTCTACGTCCAGCTGTTGAAGGAGGTGCTCTCCGGTGGCGCTGGGGTACTGAGCCAACAGGACGAGGAGAAGCAGCTGCTAGCAGAGATCCAAGGCCCTGGGTGCAGGGCTAGTGCCACAACTGAGGGGAAGATGTGGTGGGAAACAACTGTGGGAACATTTGGAATCTGAGAGGTTTTAGATGACTTTGATGGGTTTGAGAACGTTTTCATGGAAATGGATGCGTCTTAGATGAATCCACCAAGGCTATTTCTTGGAACTTGGTGGGGTGTTGATGGTTAGAAACTGGATGAATTCGCCACATTCAACCCCTCTGGGATATGAGTCCATTAGCAACTCTGTAGGTACCATGACCTTCACTCACATGATGGAGATTTTCCACCCTAAAGCCAGCAAGGAAACAGAGAACACCCAAAAAATCCTAATCCCCCTATTCCTAAACATCTCCATTGTATGGTCTCATGTGTGTGGTTTCATGAGTTTCATCCCCATCCACCATGGTGATGGTGCCCCAGTTGGCGAATGCATCTCCCACAGGTCGCCGCGCCTCAAAACGAAAGGCCAAGGAGGAAGTGGAACGTCGCGCCTCGAAGGGCAGAAAGATCAGGTGCGACTCGAAAGAGTCGATAGAGGGTGATTTAATGGTGATATCTATGGAACATGCTGATTTTGTGGTGATTTTATAGTGATTTTATAGTGATTTATGGTGATTTGATGGTGATCTTATGGGAATTATGGATAGTCAATGGTTATTTGCTGCGCATGACGTTTAAGTCAATCTTTAAGTAATGTGGCAACCCAAGCAAAAACCTTGAACATTTGGAGGGTCATTGTTGCACCCATTTCTGGCTAATGGGGATGCTTGAAATTGGGCGTGCAGGTATCGGCCCATTGAGAAGCTCCAAAACTTCATGGCGGCAAGGCCTAAGGCCATCTTGGAAGGACAGTGAACGTGGCAATGGGAACTCCCCATGAAAAATGGAGGTTTTTTCCATGGTAAAATCATCGAAGATCCATTGGTCTGATTACCAGAGGGTATTTTGGAGCTGGAGGTGATGGGAAGGATGGGAATTCAATGCCTCTGCAAGGAGAGGAGGATCTGAGTGAGAGTGCTTGTAATGCAATGCTGAGCTCCCTTTTTGCTCCCACCCGCGCTGTACCCTGATAAGACAAGGGGTGCAAAAAGGAGTGCGTGCGACTCTAGCTGCCTTGTTTTAACTTACCTGAGAACACCACTGCTCTAGCTGACAAGTAAGTCAAAACCTGTAATACTCCCAGCCTGGAAATATGAGTTATCTCGTACTTAGCTGTGGGCTCCTGTATCTGCATGCGCCTTCCGTGGCAGTGTGAAATGGATGACTGAGGTTCCTTCCAAGTCAACAGCCCCGGGCCCGGAGAAATATAGACACTGAATCAACTCAGCTATGACATTTAGTGCCAACGTTACCAGCGAAGCGTGTTCAGCTCGTGCATTTGCTGTCCAAGCGGTGAACTTCAGCACTTTTCTATTTAATATGTCTTTCTCCAACTGCTTCTCCAACTGGTGGTTATCCCCTGATTGTGTCGTTATCAACAAGCCAGAGTTAATCAGAGTTATCATTCATGTGGGCAACTCGAGAATAAAACTACCATTTGACGATGGTTGTAATCCCACCCATAAAAACGGTGATTTTGGGCATTGAGTTTCCCACATCATCCGTTTGCTCCGAGGCATTTGAGCTGATGGCGGTGCGAATTGGGGCGCGCCATGCTGCCACAATGGGCAATCGGGAACCTTTCGCAGCTCCCGCACTCGTGGAAATGGCACTCGATCCCTAAAAGGGACACGTGCCTTGGGCGTGTTACGCCCAGTGGTTTTCTAGGGCCAAATGGTCGACTGAGGCATTCCAGCGAAGATCCAAAAATCCATCCGTTGCCGGACCTTGATAGAGGTCATGATGAACCAGAATCAATCCACATCATTTCATCACGTGTGGGAACGTGGTAAGGACAGTGACCAAGAGGCACAAGACACTTTTGTTCACTGGCTTTAACACATTCCAAATCTACACAACCTCACTGGCTTTACCAAATTTTGGTGCCCTTTTGATTGACCCAATCCCACTGTTGGATCTGGCTCTGCTGGGCTATGCACTACATTATCCGCATTTTGCTGGGGCCAACGGTTCGGACCCGTGGCTGTGTGCCCCTAGAACTGACCTTGCCAGGAAGGCAACGATAGACAACTGCCCGAGTTCACGGTGGGAATCTTCGTACGGTGACCCGGTAATGTGTCCTGCCTGGGTGGCCATAGAGGTCCAAGGACTTGGGCCAGTGGTGTTGGATCCAGGGTGACCGGTGATTTTTAGATCGCCTGCACCAAGGAGAAGAAGACCTTCCAAACAGCAGCTGAGTGGTCCGATGCTCAGGGAAGCTGTTGGGAATAGGTGTGGCCCTTACATTTGCCCGGATCTTCTTGGCATATTTCAGCCGGATTTGCGTTTGAGTAATCGCGAAAGCCAGCTTCTGCTAGCTGAAGTCCCTCTTGCTTCAGCAAGGTATTGGCGGGGCTGGAATCTCCAATCGCGTGAAACTTCACAGTTAACTACCCCCCGCTTTGGCTGGTTCACAAGAAGTTTGGCCGTGGCTCAACCCGCCCGGTGGACACCGTCAGCATGTCGCCACCGGAAGCAACATTTTTTCAGCATCCGCATCCTCTGCATCATTGGCATCGTCAATACATTACTGTACTATCTTTGGGAGGATGAACATCCCTCACAGCTCATCATGTGTAATGCCCTGCGTGTTTTCATGCCCAGCTCCCTGCCCAACTAGCTTTCGCCCTTAAAAGGCCAAAACCGCATTGGTTTTCTCAAGCACCGCAGCGAGGTTTCACGAGAAGGACCGTAAGCAGCTGTTCCTGGCCTCAGTGTGCGGGGTAGAGCCATCCCTGGTGGCTACAAACACGTCTTGCCCAAGCCATTTCCAGATACGATTTTCGCCATGGGCCCGAGATGGATGATCTCCTACTCCCCTCAAACATGTGATCATTTGTAATCTCAAACCGACTCAAACCTGACTTTGTCAATTCAGGATTTCAGAGGTACGTCTTCCACTGCAGCTGCCATCAGCCAAAAGGTGGTCCCATCTGGGCCCCTGAAGCGTGGGGCGATGTTCTGCGCCCGTCTGCCATGTTGGTGGCACCCATGCGGTATCTCGAAGAGGTGGGACGTTTCTGGATGGAGTGCTTCCTGTCATGGCGCAGGTATCATGTTGCAACATCAGGTAGCTAGGTGGGTCCCAAAGATATCCACTTGTGAGATGAACAGCTCTGAGATCTTTCTGTTTATGTACCGCTAATTTCAATTTAAAGATGGCGAAAGCAATCCTGCGGCATGTCTTCATTTTCCCAGCACCTAGTGATGACCCAGAGGATGTCAAGAGTCCTTGAGATGTTCCGCTCGCAGGAAAAGATCTCGCTGGAGAGGTTGCTGGTGTACCTGGGCGGCAGTTTTCATGTTTTCCTCATGTAGCAAAGGATGCCTGCATTACCTTCCAGCAATCAAACATGGCAATGGAGCATCTCCCATTTATAGATTTTATAGATGATTTTCCCATTGAAATGCCTATTTATATGATATATTTCCCATTGCAATGTTTGATTACCGGAGGGCAAGCATTTTCTTGCGGGATTGCCGCATAAAGTTGGATTTCCGATGCCTGCTTGAACCATGGCTTGAGCATCCTGCCCAAGACTTCATGTTTAGGGCCAGCGTGTTGGCCTTGTGTGAGAATTCTCGGACTCAAAGGTTGCAAGTGGATTCTATAAAGCCCAACTGAATGGCAACGAATGGAATCCATTATCCAAGATATAAAATAACTGGGATGTATTGACAGATACGTGCACAATCGTGCACATGTTGGTTTGTCTGAAAATAAGGTGCACCCAATTCCGATAATAGATTAAGACCTCATTTTACTATATACTTATTTTTTGACGGCTATTTGTGGGCGTACCCTATTTTCAGACAAACCCAGATATCAGATTGTTGATGATAAATCCTACTATATGCCACTGAATCCCATTCAATCCCACTAAATCCCATTAAATCCCACTAAATCCCATTAGATCCCATTGAATCTCATGAATCAATATTCCATTAATACCCCACTACTGTAGTATCCCCATGCTTCTCACCACGACGCTCCGAGGAATCCCAAATTGGCGTCGGCCTACCTCGCCAGCTGCACTCGACAAAATGGAGCCAAGGTCGCACACGAGGCGCGACTATGAGGTGATATTACCTGTCTGGCTGGTGCGCTGGTGGTAATCCATCCATCCATCCATCCATCCATCCATCCATCTATCAGTCAATTATATCTCCATATCTCTATATCTCTATATATCTCTATATCTCTATATATCTATATATCTACATCTCTATACATCTGTATATATATATATATCTCTCTCTCTCTCTCTCTGTCTCTTTCTCTTTCTCTCTCTTTCTCTGTCTCTGTCTCTTCTCTTCTCTCTTCTCTCTTCTCTCTTCTCTCTTCTCTCTTCTCTCTTCTCTCTTCTCTCTTCTCTCTTCTCTCTTCTCTCTTCTCTCTCTCTCTCTCTCCATCCATCATTTGCAGTTACATACGCATACATATTTATATGAACATGCACATATACAGATACACACACATATATATATAAATATATATATACACGGTTATATTTGCATTCGTATTCATGTTCGCATATGTTCTTGTTCAGTAGTTATATATCTATGTTCAATCACATGCGTCATCTACAAATTGTAATGCACATACACGTTCACAAAAGGTTTCCTTGTCAATCACCTCAGTATACAAATTCTTGGTGATTTGGTGGACACCCCAACTTGTTGGTGATTTCAACCTCTCCCAACAGACCAGGAAACTTGGGGGGGAGTTCTAGTTGATTAATTATAAGTGTTTTTAAGCCACAGCAAAATGAGTTATACCACGAGCTTGCCAGCAGGTACTGAGGCAGCTAGCGGAGAACAGCATGCAGGTCAATGTGTGACTTGGCTGCGCTTGGAATTTGACCTGCCATGAGACGGCCCTTTTCGCCTAGGGCCTAAGGTCCAGCGGTGGGCTGGTTCTTTTTTGGGGTCCCACTTGGGGATTTATTGCCGGAGGATCGTTGTTCGCAGTTAGCAGGGTGGTCAGGGTGGTCTAGATATGAGATGCTCAGATCCTGCGGGGGAGGTTGGACTAGGGACGTATGGAACTCCATCAATGATGTGGATATGAGTATGGCTCCAAATCATGAACCACCCCGGCCACCCCGAAAAATTGAACCACTGGAGTGCCAAGGGTGGAGCTACTGTGAGGTATGGGCATCCATATTCCGATTATATAAATAGAAAAACCAAGGAGCTACGAATAGAGTTTCCCAATCACATGATAGCAAACCACGTGAAATCAGCAACCCCGTTGATGCCCATGGCATTTTTATGCTATGGCAACTGAGTTGCAACAACGAGGTTTCACGGCAATGCGATCCTTGGAGCTTGCCATGTCGGGGACTGGCGCCATGCCTTGCACTTGCTGGAGACCTTTGGGTCGGGCGAGACCGCCGTGCAGCGCGATGTGGTGAGTTCCTGGGAGAACGATGGAGTCATGCCATGGGCTACCCACAGCAACATGGCTATGGTGTATGGGCCAAGATTTCAAGATTTTAGTTGTTTTCGGTACTCAACTAACTAGCAAGTTTCGCACACCCAATTTTGACCATTTTGAACCACACTCTCATGGAAGACCAACGAAGCTAGCGTGGAAAGCCCAAGCTAAGCTAGAGTTGCAACCTTACGGCTAATGCTCTACATTTGCGGGAGCAAATGATCACCTACGTTGGTAATGACACTTCTTGTCTCCCACACAGAGTTTTGGTGATTTCGATATTTCGGCATTCGGCATCACAGCCTTTCATTTCGAACTACTGACAAAAGGATAGACAGACAGATGGATATACAAATAGACAAACAGAGAGATAGGCAGGGTCACAGAATATGCTTCATCCAAAAACAGGTTGGCTTGCTGATGTTTCCCATATTTTCCCATCACCTTCATCCTTCCAGATCTTTGCTGAGGCTTCAACGGTGCCATCAACGTCCTGGAGAAAGCCTCCCACTGGTCCGGTGCCCTTGCTTTGCTTCGTGCCATGGCCAAGGATTGGATGAGCATGTGGGTCGAAGGGACGATTGGGGACTGCAGAATTCGGTACGATTTTTTTCGTAAGGATCCAATCTTACTGGTGCTTAGTAGGGAATTCGGGAATGATCTAACTATATCTAACTATGAATAATCATCCCATTCCCCCATTCCCTAAGCACCAGTAATTGGGGGGGATACCATTTATGTGTCATATTGTGACTATTACCGAATAGTTTCGAGCCCAGGCAAGGCTCCGGTGCTGGGGATCCAGTTAAGCGCCATTGGTTACAGCACCCTGCTGAACGTGGATCAGAAACTTGGCAGCGGCTGCAGCTGAATCAGGCACTGAAATACGTTTTTTCTTCAAAGGGGCTGGCCATGCGGGATGCAGGTCTCACTCACTCACTATTTTTATGCCCTACACACATGTGTTTCTATATATACACAGATATATATATATATATACATACATACACACACACATATATATATATATATACATATATATATATATATGTGTGTGTGTATGTTAATGAGCACACACACACAGATATATACACTGCAAATAATCTCTATATTTTTCACAGCCATAATCCATCAGCAGACTTGAGCGGTTTCCAATGGAAGGGCTTCGCATCCGAGGAGCCTTTGGAAGATGACCTTTCACATGTTGTGCCCCAGCTGCAGATTGAGCTCCCAGCTCCCAGGGGTGAACAAACTGGACTAGCTGACTAGCTGATAACCCCACTTAGGGATACCAAAAACGATGGAAAAAACGATGGAAATCCATGGGTTTAGGACATGATCTACAGTGGTGCTGGATTTTCCATATGTCAATTTACTCCAGGATAACCTATCTAATCTCGTTTCTGCGCAACCATTGTTCCATCCAAAATTGCCTTGGCCCAAAAGGCTGGAATCCCGCAGAGTGGCGCTCCACACAGCCTCTCGACACATCCCATTGATCAAGTGACTGGGGTTTGCACATCCCCATCTGGTGGCTACGCCAACTCCCCGAGATAGAGAAGAGATATGGCCTATGCATGTGAATAGCATTGAATTGTCAGTAAGACATAGTAGTCGTAATATCAGATAGCTGCCAAGTTCTCCGTTTTGGGGTGGGAAGGATGGACTAGGAGGAGTGCTGATGCAACGGCCCTGGAGTCAAAAAGCGCCCTCGAAGCAGCAATCTTCGAACACGCAAATTTCCAGGTGAGATATTTATAGGAGAATTCTTGACCATTGTTGTTGGTGATCATCTCGGCTTGTTGACTAATCCATTCTCCCAAGAAAAGAACACCATTGAAACCCTGATGATGGAATGTGGTGGATCTATCGAGGGCCGGGGTGTTGATTGGGGATTTTGAATGACTGCAGGGACTACTTCAATGCGCACTGTTCATCTCTTTTTGTAACGACAGCACCTTTTGATTGGAACAAAAATTGCAGGAAATCATGGCTTCCTCTAAAGTATCCCTCAACAAGGATGATCTGTGGGTTTTGGCATACAAAGGGGTTTCCATGAGCTTCGTGTTTCCTGCCATTTCCTGCAACCTCGCCCTGGCATTCAAATGGTTTTGATATTTTAGCCATTCATCATCGTTTTCATGAATTATATAATTAATAACTATAAATTAATAACAACTATTTAATAACCATTATTAACCACTATATTAACCATAAGTAACCATTAACCACCATGATATTAACCATTATTTACAATTATGCCAGCCAGACTGGCGCAAAGCCATCAAAGGCTGCAAGCACACGCGTGGTCTGGCCCAGTAGGGCGCTTGGGTGTCAAATTGAGCTTTCTTAGCACGGACATGTTCAAATCAAAAACCAACGGCGGAGCACCTTCTATGGAAAACGCCAACCTGAGGTTAGAAACATTGAAACTCCACATGCATATGTAACTCAAAATGGGTGTGTCTGAAAATAGTGTACCCCTAAACCCAATGGTTAATGATCATTATCCCTACTAAATGGCTATAATTGGTAATATACCCTATTTTCAGACAAACCCAAATTTTAACCGTTTAACACGTAGATCGTCCAGCTTTGGTTTCCATCTGGCGCTGCTGCGGGGGCAACTTGGGGAGCGGAAAGCACATCCCTCACATTAAATCATCTTAACTATCAATAGCCACTAGATTAACCGCTATAACTATTTTATATACCCTCAACAACAATCATATTAACATGTTCATGGTATTCCATCATAGCATGAGTATTGAAATCCCATTTGATGGTTAACCGAGGGCACGATGGGATGCAGCGCCGCCATCCGTGCGGCCGGACCCGGACGCTGGCGAGACGCACTGCAGCTGCTCCAGTGGATGATGTGGCAGAGGTAGGGACCTGATTGGATGATTGGATGATGATTTTTATGGTGATTTCATTGGATTTAACCAAGCAAAATGGTGATCTAATGGTGATTTAAGCAACAAAGATGGTGATTTAATGGGATTTAACCAATAAACATGGTGATTTGATGGTGATTTAATGGGACGCACTTGGATATTACGATATTCTGGATATATATATATATATATATGTAGAGAGATGGTTCACCAACAATACCCCGAAATACTGGAATCATGATGGATAATTGGGATTTTAAATCAACCATAACTAGAATATCATGGGGATATTCATGGGGATAGCCTCCGGTGTCGTGAAACATGGCGGGGAAATCCCGACAGCGAAGTCCTGACGGGGAAATTCTCCATGATTGCTAGGACCTACTAGGAGTCAGTGTAGATCCAGAGGGAAGCACTCCAAACAGACAGACAAACAAGGACACCTTGGACCCCACAATGCACCATAACGGCTTAACACAGTGGTTTTGTTACTTTTTTTCCTCGAGGTGGAATCATGGAAGCCTTTTGTGGAGACTTAGCGTGTTTTTTTTTGGATTGACCAACCATTTCTGGAAAGTTGCTTCTGGGGAAGGACTTGTGTAGTCAAGTCATTTGAGCTTCAGATGTTTCCTGGACCTTTCAAGAATCCTTTCTCCATGTCTCCCAAACTTCGGAAACATATGAGGTACAACTCCACCACTGAACTTCTTGCCTCCGTTCTAATGTGGTAAAGCCAATAATAAACCATTACGCTTCGGTAAACTAACATAGCTACGGAAAATCGCCCTTTTATATAAGTAGATAAGCTCTAAAACTGGCCATTTTCAATAGCTATGTTAGTTTACCAGAGGGTAATAAACCAATCATAAACCATTAGACATCATTAAACCAGGTTTTTCTCATGGCTTTTCCATGACTTCCCCGGAACTTGGAGGATCTCAGCGGATCGGAGCAGCTATAACTCCGAGCTGCACAGCATCAAGTCGCAATGGCAGCGTGCCACACATCTGGCCAGGACCGCGCCGGCCAGACGTTGAGATGGTATAATAAATAGATAAACATAACATAATACTGTATTATACACACACATATATATATATATATGTTGTATATCTATTTAGATTATATATATATATATAGTTGTATATCTATTTAGATTACACACACGCACACACACACATATATATATATATATACATGCTAAACATACTAGTTATGGATTTGTCATGCTTTGTCAGGTCGGGGGCTTTGCCGCTGGAGTTGTTTTCAGAATCTGACGTGGGTTTGGACCTTCTGAACTTGGCGGCACCCTGGTGATCATCACCAGAAAAAAACACCACAAATCATAAAGAAATCACCAGAAATGGCCACATGAACAATACCTGGAGAATCATGAGCAATCACTAGTAATCATTAAATCGTCATGGCTATATAATCATAAATCATAAGCAACCAATAGTAATCTCATAGACTCATAAATTGTCGTTGCATTTCGACATCATATGGGCCAACACGGGCCTTTCAACCTCGCATTTTTCGCAGCATGGCATGGCAGGAGGTTACCTCCGGACACGGTGGCCATGAACACTGTGATCAATGCCTGCGCACGAACTGGCCAGTGGGCGCTGACGCTGGCCTTGCTGCGGAACATGGTTACTGGACAGAATTCAAGACACTTCACATTTTTTCTTAGCATTTGTTGGAATCAAATAAAAATAAGATAATAAGGATGCAAGAGGGCGACCAGAGACGGGTGCATTTATAAATAGTCAAGATGGTGGCAGAAGGGCCATTGCCATCATCACAAGACTGATCATCAGGTTATGGGTCAAAATTACCACCTCCAAATTCATTGATTTCAGGACCCAAAATGGAGGTACTCTAGCATATAGTTATATTTTCTGGGGATATTGCCTGAAATTTAGCCCTTAGGCCTTATTTATGGTAGGCACCTCCAATCAGTACCTGAAATGGCCATTGACAAATGGATGGCTTAATGAAGTCGAAGGGATCCCATGGAAGCCCAAGGCCATCATCCAGCTGGAAGCTGACGTCTTCAGTTGCACCACAGCTCTCGGGGTCCTCACGGAACGTGGTGACATGGTTCAGCTTGGGCTGGGGAGGGTCCACCGGTGGTGACTTGATGGTCTCATGGGTGCTTCCAAGGGTATAGATGAAGAACCGAATAATGACACATTGCTAGTACTAACATCAACGACACTACAACCAAAGCCAACAATCATGGCGCAGAGTTGTTGGCCAGTTGACATCCATTCCAACACCAGGGAACCTATCCCTGCCCTTCTCAGCGTTGCCATCAGGTGGATCTGCCTGGCGCGAAGCCAACGAATTCCTGAGAAGCACTGGCAGCACCAAGGCAGTCCTGTTTTTTTGGGTTGGGGGGGCAGATTGACAATATTTGACAATTATTTCTTGAGAGAAGCCGCCCAAGAATGATGCTGAACATTGCGAAACTGATTTTAAGATGTCGTGATCAAAAAAACCTATGAAGCACCACATTTAGGGCGGATGAATGTGAAACCCAGGCGGGTTCCATGGGTGCCTTGGCCCAGATACGTCCGAACCACGTGACCTTCGGCACTGCCCTTGGCTGCTGTGGGAGCAGCTGGGAGAGTGCGCAGGAGTTGATGCAGCGACACCTGGCTGAAACCCAAAATGGACGTGATCAAACGTGGCAGGGAAATTTTCTAAATACAGGGTTTATTGGGAAAATTTGGGAACATCAGATGACCACATATACCCTCAAGTATCATCAAACACGGTGTTAATGAGGAAATCCACATGAAGAATGGGCTGTAATGGGAAAATCATCGAACCAAATGGGTGATTTTTTTCCTGCACATGAAGGTTTATAGCTGGAAAATCATTGTTTTTTTTTGGGGTGACATTTTGAAATGATTCTTGGCCACGGGTTAGGTGGACTCTCGTATTCTCAATCAGTTTGAGCGGCACGTATGTCAGAAGCGTGTTTTTAGATGACAAAAGCAGACTGCCTGTCACACCATCTAGGTAGGCGGAACGCAGCACAGAGGGATTAAGCTGAACGTCCCATACCTTCGACGTCCAAAACCATCAACTGAGTCTAGATACCTCGTACCATTGTAATGCCTTGTGTTTCGGGATGTTCTCTCTACTCCGGGGTTGCTGTTTATTTGGGTTAACGACGCATGCATATATCCGAAAAAGTAGGCAAACACATTGCATGGATGGATGGGCGATGGATAGATAGATCTATCGACACCCCACTATTCCCACATAGACATGGACAGTAATCCCTTCTCCCCAATATTAAACATATCCCAGAAACCATGGTTTAGTAGGGGATCAAAACACTTTTTTCGGGACCACAGAATGGGATAACAGAGATTTCAAGTGTGTCTCCTCACAGATTTTTTAGATCCCAATTATCCACAATTTCCAAGTTAAACACCATCATATCCCCATTGAAATCCCCAGACCTTGGTGAAATCCCAAGCTCTTTGAGGTGTGTCCTTGCAGCGTTTGCAGCACGACTTGGTGATGTGCAACAGCTTTCTGGACTGCTGTGACCGCGCGCACCGCTGGGACCTGGCGCTGCACATCTTGACGCGTTTCGATATCGACGATCAGCGGGCGCACTGGGATGTGGCCTGGCGTGGTAGCTGGCATCCAAAAGCATTGATTTCGTTTGGGATTGTGAAGATATGTGAAATTGTAGCTTTAGTTTTAGGGATGGGCCTTCAACGACAATGACATAAACAATCATAAACATTGGATTTGTACGGTATATACATATATATATATATATCACGAAAGGTAGCTCCAGAGGGGCTACCTTGAGTTTTACTTTACGAAGTAAAGGGGAGGGCGGCCAGCCCCGTTACCTGATTCTTCAGGAGATTGCTAGTCATTTTAGTACCCCCCCCCTCCACACCTCCCACGCACCCTAAGAGCAGACTCAAAACATTGTAATTTACAGTATTTTTGTTCTTTTCGGATCAAGAAACCACATTTTGCTACATGGTGAAACCTCCGTAAATACCAGTGTTTTTGCTAGGTGCTGGCCAATAAACACTGTAAATACCGTGCTTTTTACTACCAGAGGCAAAAAACATCGTAAATACCGTGGTTTTGGGCTTCCGACCCGCCAAAAACATTGGTATTTACGGTGTTTTTTGCTCCGAGCGATGCAAAAACACGCGAAAACACCACCGATTTGACGATTTTCGGCCACTACGGAACCGAGCAAAAACGCTGCAGGGGTAACACCAACACCAACAAGAACAACACCAACAGCAACAGCAACAACAACAACGACGACAACAACAACAACAACAACACCAACACACAACGCACAACGCACAACGCACAAAGCACAACGCACAACGCACAACGCACAACGCACAACGCACATCACACAACACACAAAACACACAAAACACATACAACACACACAACACACACACCACAACACACCACAACACACCACAACACACCACAACACACAACAACACACAACAACACACAACAACACACAACAACACACACCAACACACAACAACACACAACAACACACAACAACACACAACAACACACAACAACACACAACAACACACAACAACACACAACAACACACAACAACACACAACAACACACAACCACAACAACACACAACAACACACAACAACACACAACAACACACAACAACACACAACAACACACAACAACACACAACAACACACAACAACACAACAACACAACAACAACACAACAACACACAACAACACACAACAACACACAACAACACACAACAACACACAACAACACACAACAACACACAACAACACACAACAACACACAACAACACACAACAACACACAACAACACACAACAACACACAACAACACACAACACCACACAACAACACACAACACCACACAACAACACACAACAACACACAACAACACACAACAACACACAACAACACACAACAACACACAACAACACACAACAACACACAACAACACACAACAACACACAACAACACACAACAACACACAACAACACACCACAACACACAACAACACACAACAACACACAACAACCACAACAACCACAACAACCACAACAACCACAACAACCACAACAACTACAACAACAACGAATGACAACAATAACAACAACAACAACAGCAACAACAACAACAACAACAACAACAACAACAACAACAACAACAACAACAACACACAACAACACACAACAACACACAACAACACACAACAACACACAACAACAACAACAACAACAACAACAACAACAATAACAACAACATCAACAACAACAACAACAACAACAGCACCATTAGCAGCAGCAACAACAGCAGCAGCAACAACAACACGAACACAAACAATACCAACACCAACAACACGACCAACAACACCAACACCACCAACAAACCCAACCACACTAACAACACTAACAACACCAGAAACACTACCACCACCAACAACACCAACAACACCAATACCAACAACACCAACAACACCAACACCACCAGCACCACCAACACCACCAACACCACAACCACCACTAACCCCAACCACATCGCCGAAGCCTTTCAGTCGCTTTTACCAGACTCCCCTTCATATTTTTGGAAAGAAAATGGCCGCGTCGCTTTTACCAGACTCCACTTTATGTTTTTTTCCCTGCCCTCTCCCCTTCATTTTTTCTTCGGTTCCTTTCTTGCTTACCTACCTTTCGTGTTCCCCCTCTCAAGTATATGTATATCGTAAACAATGGGTTATGTGAGAGTGAAATCTGGTCAAAGAAACTGGTTCAGGCTGGTAGGCACCCATTGCTGTGGTGAGTGGTGCAGAACTTGGCAGATGATTTCCCATTTAAATGCCCATTAAGTTCGGGCATATCCCAGCCAGCTATGTTTGATGAGACTGGAGAGTGTTTGAGCTCATATACGTATATATATATAGATATGCGCATATGTATATAGATATAAATAAATGAATGAATATTATGAATAAGTAAATAAATAAATAAATAAATATGAATAAATAAATAGATAAATAAATAAACAAATAAATAAATATATATATATATACATATATTTATACATGCACATAGATGCATAACAAACGTTACTGTTTATCATGGGCTGCCACAGCTCCACAGGTCATCAGTTTCACTGCTGCCATCGCAGCCTGTGAGAAGAGCAGCCAGTGGCGTTCTGCGGTGGATTTTTTGCCGCAGATGACCAGAAGACAGGTGGGGCTGCGGATGGGCCCATGGGGGCAAAATGCGGCAAAACTCTGAATCAATGTGGATTTTCAGCAGAACTGGTTGTTCTCCTTTTTTCTGGAGATGATTTCACTGGTTTCACCTTAGGTTTTTGGGTCGGTCATATGCTGTACATCGTATACCCCGACTTTGGGTGGCGAATCCCACATTCTTGCTGGATTACTTGGAAGATCACCCCACTTACACGCTCATTCACCAGGCTTTCCAGATGCCAAGTGGAACTTTTGATCTTCCAAGTCTTGCCCACCGAAGTTGGATGGTTTCGACAACTTTAAATGGTAAAAAATAAGGATTTGAGCAGCAAAACGGGGATTTGAACTGCAAGATTGGGACTCGAATGAAAAACACGTGGATCTGACCATCAAACATGGATCTAAGGGACCAACCCCTCATATGCCAAGCCGAAAATCAGTAGTAAACCTGGGCCGAATGTTTGACTGCCAGGTGACGCCTGATGACGTGTGCTCCTTTGCTGCCATTGGATCCATCGAGAAGTCCAGTTGGATTTCATCCAGTAGAAAGTAAACTTTGAGAATTTGTGGAACCTAGTGGTTAGAGGGAGATTCCTCCACTGGACTTCCTGATCATCTTCACCATCGCTACCCACCACTTCTCCTACACATTTGGAGCTGCGACCTTTGTAAACGGTTTGCAGCTGGGTTATATCCGGTTATATCCAGATGACCCGATGCCCTCCAGTTCTACAGATACAGGGTCACAACCCTCCGACGAACCACTTCCATCCGTTCCTAACTTCACGGATGTTAATTTCTTCAGACATGATCTCACATTCGGTTTTTTCCACGGCTCTTACGTACCAAAATTTGTCCAATTTTCCGATCATTTTCCTCACTTCTGTCCCAATTTTCACGTTCCCATCGTTTTTCCATCGTTTTTCCCAACATTTTCCCATCATTTTCCACCAGTTTTCCACCAGTTTTCCACCATTTTGGCCACCTCCGTGGTGGTCAAGGCCTGAACGCCGCCATCGACGCCTGCGCCAGCGCCGGCGAGACGTCGCAGGGCTGGCGGCTGCTGCGCCTGGCCGAGGGCATTCCGCGCGGCGCGCGGGACGTTTCGTCGCTGCCGTGGGCCTTGGCGAGGCCACGGGGCATGGCACGGCGGGATGGGGGGATAGGGAGTGACCAGATGAGAGAGAGAGAGAGAGACAGAGAGAGAGAGAGAGATGTATATGTATATATATATATAGATAATATTATATATATATATCATACATCATGCCGGGTTAAGATTTCACTGACCTGAAATAAGGAGAAATTATTTTGGGATAGTTACCCCTTACTAAGCATCATTCCAGTGACATAGGGTCACCCAAAACGGATGGCTAACAGAAAATCCTATGGACATGGATGATTTCAGGGGTACCCCCATCCCATCCCATCCCATCCCATCCTATCCACATGAGTGTGTGTATGGAACATCTGTCTGTACAATGTATAACAATATGTAATGTAAATATGCATGTGCGCATGTATGCATGTATTATGTATATATAAATATAAATATAGATATGAATATAATTATATAAATATTAATTTATATAATTATATGCAAGCCATATGTACATGTACACGCGGGCTCATACCATTCCACAGTATGATATGGCAACATATCGCCCCCTGAAAGGATTCAACGTGTGGAATAACCATACAAACGATAGGTATATCACCCAATCATTTGGTTTGAATTCAGTCAGATGAGAGCTGGTTAGCACTTTGTTTTTCCCTCCTCCGTCCGTCAAAAAGGGACGATCCCACGATGGGTTGAAATCACCAAGCAGCTGCACATGGGATCTTCTAAGTGAAGCCTTGGAGGCTGCATTGCCACGACAGCAGCTTCGTGCAGTCGGTCTTCCGGGATGTGGCGCAACGACTTCCTTCCTCCAACATCTCCCCCAAGCGCTTGGCGCTGCTGAGCTGGGCCTTCGCCATGCTGGGGGTAGAGCCCGCGGGCCACGGCACCTTTCGGCGCGAAATTGCTGGGGCTCTTGGCAGCTGCGGGGTGCAGGACCTGTCGTTGATGTCCTGGGGGCTCACGGGTGGTGGCTGGGAGCTGGCGCAAGAGGTGCAGAGGGCTGCGGTGGTGGAGATGGGAAGATCCCAACTCTCGCATCAGGAGAGGAGTGTTTGAAGTGAATGGTGGGGGGTGAAACTGGGTTGGTGGGGAATGTGTTGTATGATATATTATTATACATCATACAACACAATTCAAATTCTTGGAGGGATATTTCTGGTTATGGTATGGAGAAAATGCTGTACTTGTAGTATATAGGGTGATCGTAGCGCTCCCACTACCGCTGAGCTTGACGTACTCCTATATTTCGTGAATTTTGTGAAACCAGCCCATTTTGCCAAATATTCGGTTATGTTTCGGTGTTCAAAGCCCCAAACAATGAAGATGGTTGTTGTCCCCATCTTTCTTGATCAGATCCATCCTTTTACGGCTCATCTCCTTCTCAGCCCCAAGGACCCCGTGGCCTTTGCGGACGCCGTTCTTGGCATCGTTTGGGCCTGGAACTTCGCAGGGCTCTTGGGTCAGCGGCTCCTCAAAACGGCTCGAGAGGTGCTGCTGCGTGGCGCGCGAGCGATGGACAGCGGCAAGGGAACCAGGCCGGGTCGGTGTGCTGCCGGCTGCATGACGGCCTCCAAACCTTGAAACATCTTGAAACACATCCAAATCTTATTCTGTGGAAGGTTGGTGAACCGGTGGCCGGCCACCAATGATATCGCAACACAAAATGGATAGAAAAGTTGGACACGTGGAAACCATGCAGCAAAAATCACCCACAACATCCCAGCAAGCAAAAATCTCGTTGACCTATATGCACGACCTGAAAATCGCCGCCTTACTTTCTGAAAAAATCCAGAGCTCATGAATGATCCCACAGGAAAGGTCACATATCATGAGTATTTCATAGCATTTTCATGCGTATTTTATGGTGGTTTCCCGCCAGAACGGTCCTTCCAGGAACCGGGTCACGGAGAGAACAGGCGCCGAGTCTCTGACGCACTTGTGCGATGCCGGTGATTTCCAGGTCGGAAGATGTCCATGAATCAGGGTGGATTTGGTGATTTGGCCAGGTGAAATGATTAAATGCCCAAGTCTTGTTGGATTTGGACAATTTGATGATGCCACCACATGTTGTAACAGAGTTCCACGCTTTTTGTCGGTCCATATCACCATATTCGTTGCTTATTTTCCCCAAACGTGCGAAATCCAAAATAGTCAGTCCCAAACATGTATCATGTATATTATATTATATATATCGGTAACACACCCTATATCTGTTTGCTCACGGCTTTATCTTCGCTGGCCAACATCCTCATGTTGGTTGACCAACGCATAAGGCGGGTTAGAATATTTGTCGATTAAACTCAAGATGTTTTTCTTTAAGGTACCAATGTTTGGTGCTTGTATCCAATTGAAGGAAGCATTTGAAATCACCATTCTTCTTGCCAAAAGCATCAACTTCTTGTGGCTCACCTCCCCATTTCCAAAAAGTGGTGGGCCCTAGACTCCTAGTTCACCTACTTGTACGCCAACTTGGCTCCAATCCTCATTATAGAATGGGCTAACGCCCTGGTGCCGCCGACCCCTTTTCAAGGGTGGAGGAAGAAGTATAGCCACTCAAGACAGGGCAAATAGACCATCGAACGGTCTGTGGGAAGCAGTTTTCTGTCAAGGACGGCGTTGTGCAGGAAAAAGTGTATGTTTACATTTGCCCCGCTTGCAAAGGGAATGTGGCCAGTGACGTCAAGACAGGGAAAATAGACCATCGAACGGTCTGTGGGAACCAGTTTTCTGTAAAGGACGGCGTTGTGCAGGAAAAAGCGTATGCTTACATTTGCCCCGCTTGCAAAGGGAATGTGGCCAGTGACGTCAAGACAGGGAAAATAGACCATCGAACGGTCTGTGGGAACCAGTTTTCAGTCAAGGACGGCGTTGTGCAGGAAAAAGCGTATGTTTACATTTGCCCCGCTTGCAAAGGGAATGTGGCCAGTGACGTCAAGACAGGGAAAATAGACCATCGAACGGTCTGTGGGAACCAGTTTTCAGTCAAGGACGGCGTTGTGCAGGAAAAAGCGTATGTTTACATTTGCACCGCTTGCAAAGGGAATGCGGCCAGTGACGTCAAGACAGGGAAAATAAACCACTGAACGGTCTGTGGGAATCAATTTTCAGTCAAGGACGGCGTTGTGCAGGAAAAAGCGTATGTTTACATTTGCCCCGCTTGCAAAGGGAATGTGGCCAGTGATGTCAAGACAGGGCAAATAGACCATCGAAGGGTCTGTGGGAAGCAGTTTTCTGTCAAGGACGGCGTTGTGAAAGAGAAAGGTGGTAAACGGCAAGCTGGAACGCCGAGAAGAAGCTATTGATCTGGCTTTGGGGTATCGTTTGAATTGTGTAAATGCTGGCAAACGGCAACCTTGGACGCCTAAGAGAATTGATGTGTGGCCTTGGGGTGGCTGTTGGCTGCAGGATGAAGCATGCCAAGTAAGCGTTTTAAGGGTTTTAAGGGTTTTAAAGGTTTTAAGCGTTTGGAGGGTTTTAAGGGTTTAAGGGCTGGCAAGCGGCAGGCTTGGACGCCCATAAGAAGCCATTGATGTGTGGCCTCGGGGTGGCTGTTGGCTGCAGGATGAAGCATGCCAAGGGATTGTTTAAGCAGCCCATAAGAAGCCATTGATGTGTGGCCTTGGGGTGCCTGTTCATGCCAAGTCAGCGTTTTCAGGGTTTTAAGGCTTTGAAGCGTTTGGAGGGTTTGGAGGGTTTTAAGGGTCTAAGGGCTGGCAAACGGCAGGCTTGGACGCCCATAAGAAGCCATTGTTTAAGCGGCCCATAAGAAGCCATTGATGTGTGGCCTTGGGGTGGCTGTTGGCTGCAGGATGAAGCATGCCAAGTAAGCGTTTTAAGGGTTTTAAGGGTTTTAAGCGTTTGGAGGGTTTTAAGGGTTTAAGGGCTGGCAAGCGGCAGGCTTGGACGCCCATAAGAAGCCATTGATGTGTGGGTGCCTGTTGGCTGCAGGATGAAGCATGCCAAGGGATTGTTTAAGCGGCCCATAAGAAGCCATTGATGTGTGGCCTCGGGGTGGCTGTTGGCTGCAGGATGAAGCATGCCAAGTCAGCGTTTTAAGGTTTTTAAGGGTTTGGAGGGTTTGGAGGGTTTGGAGGGTTTAAGGGCTGGCAAACGGCAGGCTTGGACGCCCATAAGAAGCCATTGATGTGTGGCCTTGGGGTGCCTGTTGGCTGCAGGATGAAGAATGCCAAAAGGATTGTTTAAGCGGCCCATAAGAAGCCATTGATGTGTGGCCTCGGGGTGGCTGTTGGCTGCAGGATGAAGCATGCCAAGTCAGCGTTTTAAGGGTTTTAAGGTTTTTAAGGGTTTGGAGGGGTTGGAGGGTTTTAAGGGTTTAAGGGCTGGCAAACGGCAGGCTTGGACGCCCATAAGAAGCCATTGATGTGTGGCCTTGGGGTGCCTGTTGGCTGCAGGATGAAGCATGCCAAGGGATTGTTAAGCGGCCCAGAAGAAGCCATTGATGTGTGGCCTCGGGGTGGCTGTTGGCTGCAGGATGAAGCATGCCAAGTCAGCGTTTTAAGGGTTTTAAGGTTTTTAAGGGTTTGGAGGGTTTGGAGGGTTTTAAGGGCTGGCAAACGGCAGGCTTGGACGCCCATAAGAAGCCATTGATGTGTGGCCTTGGGGTGCCTGTTGGCTGCAGGATGAAGCATGCCAAGGGATTGTTTAAGCGGCCCATAAGAAGCCATTGATGTGTGGGCTTGGGGTGCCTGTTCATGCCAAGTCAGCGTTTGAAGGGTTTTAAGGTTTTTAAAGGGTTTGGAGGGTTTGGAGGGTTTTAAGGGTTGAAGGGCTGGCAAACGGCAGGCTTGGACGCCCATAAGAAGCCATTGATGTGTGGCCTTGGGGTGCCTGTTGGCTGCAGGATGAAGCATGCCAAGGGATTGTTTAAGCGGCCCAGAAGAAGCCATTGATGTGTGGCCTCGGGGTGGCTGTTGGCTGCAGGATGAAGCATGCCAAGTCAGCGTTTTAAGGGTTTTAAGGTTTTTAAGCGTTTGGAGGGTTTGGAGGGTTTTAAGGGTTTAAGGGCTGGCAAACGGCAGGCTTGGACGCCCATAAGAAGCCATTGATGTGTGGCCTTGGGGTGCCTGTTGGCTGCAGGATGAAGCATGCCAAGGGATTGTTTAAGCGGCCCATAAGAAGCCATTGATGTGTGGCCTCGGGGTGGCTGTTGGCTGGGGTGTCCAAATGCCTGGAAGTCTTACCTGGAGGACGAAGCATGCCAGGAAAATGTTTACGCGATGTGGCCTTGGGGCAGCTTGCTGGCTGCGAGATGGGTTTGACCTTGGAAAGCGAAGAAGGAGAAGTTCCACACCTGCGGTGGTCCCAGGCGCCGCCCCTGCCTTGGCCAAGGCCGGGGTCGGCGGATGATGTTTCATGTTGAATGTAACAATCCACAATCTTCCTCATTTTCGAGTTAGCTCAAAACATGTAGCTGGCTCAATTTCAGAAGGGGTCATGTGTTTGACTTGAATGTTGTGCCGCTGTCTAAGCAGATTTGGCCCAAAACGTGGCTCCTAAATTGCTGGGCTGCAACAGGGGGACCATCTCTATTAAAAGAATCATTTGGGACTGAACCTGGCAATTGAACACATTGGGGAGAATTTGCGGGCTCGCTCAAGTGGAACGAGCTACCTCAGCAACAACGCGCTAGCTCAAACACATCGCTCTAGCTCGATGGCATCGAGCTGGCTCAATTTTTTCGTCCGAAAAAAAAAGCTCGAAAAACGTCACGCTGACTGGCGAACGAATGTGAAAGCTAAAAACGAATACATAATATGTATTGGCCGGGATGATGACGGCATACCGAGCTGGCTCAAGGGCATGTAGCTGGCTCAATTTTTTCCGCGTTTTGTTTTTTTTCGTTTTTTTTTCAAAAAATTGAGCCAGCTACGAGGCGCTGAGCCAGCAACGAGGCATTGAGCCAGCTACGTGGCACGTGGCACTGAGCCAGCAACGAGGGAATGGTGAATCTGTACTGTACGGGACCGATGGATTTTCCGATGCAGCCTTTGCAGTTCCAACAAATCAAATGATTGATTAATTCTGGCACAATATGAGATAAAATAGAAGACTGGCAGTCTATACATATGTATACATATATAACCCCAACCGTATAATTATGGTCAATCTGAAGCAACACCAGTTTTCTTGAAGGAGACGCGTGCCCTTGAGCTGGAGGGAGATTGGGAAAAGTAACTTTCGATCATGATTTGTGTAATGTAGACATCACCTGCAAGATCCTACAATATTTAGGCAAAATCTTGAAGCGTGGAAGAGAACAAGAATGGCGTTTCAATCAATTTGACAGGGTTTTTGTTGCTTGAGAGGTTTCCCATATTGCATTGATATCCGTCTATAAATATCTATAGAATTCTTTATAGATAGATAGATAGATATATAATCACCGAGTTAAATATAACCATGATTATATATATATACACATGTGTGTATATAATTTATAATATGTATATATTCTTATACATACACATACAGGCATGCATATATACACCATCTTCGTAGTTTTATGATATTCCCAGTGGCCATCAGTTTCTGAGTGTCTCAGGTGTGTCGTCCACTTTCTCGGATTGGACTTTCACGGCCGACCTTCTCTCAGCCGTCAAGCTCCGTGACGGCCATCTGGCGATTCCATCCAACCACGTGGAAGCGGGAGTGGCACTGGGAGCGTGGCTGCACAGACAGGTGGGCATGCTGGGAATCCCCCAAGGATCATTGAAGCGAAATCATGATGAAATCCGGAAAATCAGCAGGGACTGTGCAAGGTCAACATCATAGGAAAACCATACGAATCCCCCCCATCAACAGGGACTGGGTATGAGATCAGGTGGACGATGCCCAACAAGGCCGCTTGGAGGCGGAACGCTTTGACCGGTTGGCGGAGTTGGGGGTTTCCTTCGAAGAAACTTTGGATGGCAAGTTGCTGGAGAAAGATGAGGACCGGGCAGATCCGGTGTCGATAGATTGAGATATCAATTGATATGTGGCGATATCCTATATTATACATTATTATACTATATAAATAATTTAAATATCACAAAATATCAAACAACATGTGATTGAAAAAAAGGCGTGTGATGGAGACTCTAGTCTTTGTTGAATCCTACACTGAAAGGATTTCCCTATTGCGGCTCCAGTCGCCCCAAGCATCCCAGAGGACTTCAGAAAGAACTACAAACAGCTGCTAGCGTTCTATTCCCGCGAGAGAGGGGCTGACGTTGAGGTGCGCTGTAGCGAAACGCAGCTTGATATAGGATGAAATCAGATTCCCAGCCTATAGGTCCAAATGTCGGTATAGTATGGTACGGTCGGTATAGTCATCAAACAACGACCCATACTATTTTTATCGAATATATATATATAGATCCCAAATCGTTCAGATATGTTCTTTTTTGAACCTTTTTGGATCTCAGTATAGCCATCTCCGCAGCTGCTGACATGAGGCTTCCAGCACTTGGTTGAAGAGACAACGCGTCAAATGCAAGCAGGGTAAGCTGCCTAAAAGCCACCAGCAGTTACTGGAGAAGCTTGGAGTCAACCTGGAACCTGGGAAGAGTCTTGAGGAGAGATGGCAAGGAAAAGTGCTCGCACTGCAAACCTTCATTCAACGGGAAGGTGGGGCAAAAATACGGTGAACATGAAGGAACGTTGAACCAATGATAGAGTGGGAATTTCGATGTGTGCGTGTTCTTTGACGTTTGTACACGAGTTTTTTTTTCTCCAAAGCCTATGGAAAAATTGTGCAAAATGACGTACTTGCAAAGTGATCCCAGCTGAATTCATTGAAGTTTGACGGGCGCATCGCATCCCGCGCCATTGTGCGCCATGGTCAGGTCACAGTGACGTTCCCGGACGTTGCGTGGAAGGCGATGAGCTCCTGGGGAGCTGGTTGGACGCGCAGCGCTCGCGCTGGAAGTTGGGGAAGCTGGCGCCAGAACGTGCCTCGGTGATGGAAAAACCATCGGCCACCTGTGGAGATGGTGACAAAAAACCGAATCTATCTGCAAAATCATTGAAAATCTGTGATTTTGATCAATGGGGTTATAGTTTTTTTGGATTAGGACCCCGAAATCAGGATTTTGGGGGCTGGTTTTCGCTGATCCACGTGTGAGTTGTCACAAGTTTTAGCCAAATCCCAGATGGGAACGTTAGTTGAAGTAAGTCTTGGAACTGGTCGTTGGACAACCAGTTTGAGATGCATAAATCGGTATTCGACTCATGTAAAACCCTGTCATTCAGCAATGGATACTGTATTGCAAAAATGGATTAGATAGCCCATACTAATACTATACTATATATACTTATCAATTTTTGAAAGCAATGAAACCATGCTTCTCTATTGAGTCTATTACGGAGGGTACGGGGGGTCATTTCTATAGGTACGGGTACGGGTACGGATGTTCGGTACGGGTGTTGGGTACGGGTACGGGTGTTGGGTACGGGTGTTGGGTGCGGGTGTTGGGTACGGGTACGGGTGTTGGGTATTGTTGGGTACGGTTACAGGAATTGGTATTGGGTACCGTTGTTGGGTGCGGGTACGGGTGTTGGGTAAATGTTTGGGTGCGGGCACCGTACCTATTGTACCGTACCCATGTACCGTGCCCATGTACCGTGCCACCGTACCCATGTACAGCACAAATCTACCGTCCCACCGTACCCATCGTACCCATGTACCGTACCCATGTACCGTACCCACCGTACCCACCATACGTACCCAGTTAGCGACCGATCTAGCAAGCGATTTTTTTAATATATCTTTTGAACATTATTATTAACAAAAACTTTAAAAAAACATGCTTTTTCTTTAAAAATCGGTTGCTAGATCGGTCGCTAACTGGGTACGTATGGTGGGTACGGTGGGTACGGTACATGGGTATTGTACCCAGTACCATACTTACGTACCCATGTGCCGCACCTACGCACCCATGTCCCGTACCATGCGTACCCTGTTCACCGTACCTGTAGTTTTGTCCAAACCGTACCTGAAAAAGGTAGCCATTAGAGCATTGCTCTTGAAAATTGATAAATATATACTATATTATATAGACATATGTACTATACATACATACTGATATATATATATACATACATATATAAATGTATGTATATATATGTATGTATATATATATATTAGTGTATACATATATTAGTATATATGTACATCCGCAAATAGTGACATACACGTCGCACTGTGAGACGTTTGATTGCAGCTGGACAAGCACAAGAAGTCCTTCCATTGTAGTGGTATAGCACTCTGCAGATGAATTTGTGTTTGTCTTACATTGACGAATATATATATATATATTAATATAGCATGTCGCAACTATTTCGAATGAACCGTATACGTAACATTTTGCACAATATGCCTGGGCACATCACTATCATGATGGTTACTGGGAGTTGCTTTCTTTTTAAAGGAAGAAAAACACATCAGAGAACTTTCATGATGATGAGAACGATCATTACAACAATCTAATAATCATGGTAGCATGGCAATGGTAGCAGTAATGATGGTCACTATTGCTGATAAGAATATCATCATCATCATCATCGTCGTCATCATCATCATCATGACAATGATGATCGTGATGGTGCTAGTAAACATGTAGTAGTAAAATGTAGTAAAGGTGTTTTTGCAATAATCAGCAAGCACGTATATACCTGGTAGTTATTGGTATTTATTTTTGCTACCATCATATCATTATGATAAATCACAATTTTACCATCGAGAATCATGATATTATATATTTTTGCACGTATTATGATTTTAAAAATATACTATGTTCAAAGTATTAATCTACGATCGTCATTTTTTAGTGCTGTATTATCATCATTTCTATCACTTTGTTTTTTTACCGACATCTCCATCAACATTATAACAATGATAATAATCATCACAATGATAATAAATCATAGGCAATAATATTAACACACACAATACTACTACTACTACTACTAATAATAATAATAATAATAATTTAATAATAATATTTATTATAATGCCATCTCTAATAATGAGATATGTCACATATACTCCACGGTTGATCATCTTTCCATCCCAGGTGTAGAGCAACTCCAGGCCCTGGGCGTCTCCTTGCAGCAGCGTAGTGCGCAGTGGGATGACTACGTTGAAGCCTTGCAGCGCTTCGTAGGGCGCGAAGGTCATACAGATGTTCCTGGGATGCGAAAAAAAAGGGGCTGGGGGTGGGATCAATGATCTTAGGATCTATGGATATCTTACAGTGTGGGCCCCCTAGATAGCTAAGTTTGTTTATAACTCCAATAACTATGGTTTATGATATTTGTAACTATACTTAATGGGGTTTATAAACCAATTTATAACTGGGGGGCCCCACATTGTAGGGTATCTAATGATATCTAACATGTTATGTCTGGTTATTTTCTGATGTTATGTGCCGCTATTTTTTTTTGAAGGTCTGGGTGTTTTTTCCGCAGAATTATGGAATATACTCTTGGAAAAGCGATATTTTGTCCCGGTGCTTCAGCTTGACAGTTGGGTGATGAAGATAGCCATCCTGCCATGATTGGAGCCAGGTGCCCGCAGATCACGTGGAAGGAGCTCTGGCGTTGGGCTCCTGGTTGAACTCCCAACGCCGCCGTGCGCTGCATGGAGGGCTGCTGCCAAAGCAGAAGCAGCAGCTGCTTCGGATGGGAGTCGAGATGGAAGAGGAGGAGGCCATTGGGGACTGGTACCCTCTGGTACATTATGACATTAACATAACAATGTAACATAACTATGGAAAATTATCATTTTCTATAGGTAAATCAATCGTAAATGGTCCATTTGTATAGCTATGTTAGTTTACCAGCGGGTAGGACTCGGGGAAGACGTTCACTGATAATCAGACTGATAATGAGCAGTCTATGCAACCAAGAATATGACCCAGAAAAAATGTGGTTTGATATTGTTTGTGCATTTTTGGTATCCACCATCCCATTTTGTGGGCTGTCAGGCTGTCAAACTCAGATCACCCATTCTACAAGTTTTCAGCAAGAGTCAGGAGGAGGTTACCCATTCACCACCCATGACGGTCTGAGAACGAGGCAATTTGTGTAGCTTGTCTAGCGAGCGACAAGAAACTGCGGATAGTTCACCAGGAAAGACATGGAGGACAAGCCTGGAAAAGCATACTTGGGTGTGTTGGAGAATTTTGAGAAAACCACATTCATGACATTTCATCCACTGGTTTCCAAATGGTTACAACCTCATATTCCCCTGCAAGATTGCCATTTGCTGGTGGTCTTTTCCCCATAACCAACAGCATCAACCCCACCTCCTGTCGCAGGCCAACTGGCAGTGCCACTTCAGAGCCCTGAGTCGCTTCAAGGAGCTGGAAGGACATGTCGAGGTAGCTGCGACTTTTCAGGGCTCTCAGCAGCTTGGCCCCCAGATATGGCACTATGATCATCGTGTCTGTTGGGGCTGTTGGGAGTTGGAAAGACGACACCATGATGTTTAACCAACCTGTTTTTTAACATGTTGGTCTCTATTGCCACCATACATACCATAAGTTTTTGGGGTCTGTCATAATAATCATAATATCACTCTGTATGATTGAACTCCCTCTACGGGTCAGCAGTGAGAATATGATAGAGGAGTCTTTAAGAGGTTTGGTGTTTGGGCCATTACCAGGTTTTGTGGCTGCGATGGCTTCATTGTCAATTCAGAAAGTTCGTTCTTGGAATTGCGATCAAGCATACAATTTGATGGCCTCTTTCAGAAAAGCCATGTGTTCAAGGGCGCCTTTTTTTGTTGAGTCCTACTGTATCTCTCCCCACACGACGAGGCAGATCCCGGGCCACCTTGGACGTTGGTTGTACTCCCAGAAGCTGAAGGCTTGCAAGGGCACGTTGCCCAGCCAGCGGAAGCGGAAGCTGTTGGAGCTGGGTGTGGAATTGGAAAAAGGCCACGGCTGTGCAGCGCTGCATCTTGGGGCACTCATTGGTGGAAAGTATGAAAGGTAAGAGGTTGGGATGAGGATGAAGATGAAGATCATGAAGTCAGCAATTTTCAAAGTTGTTGAAGGTGGATAACAAGAAGTTCCCCTTGTCACGTCAAGACTCAAATGGGTTTCTGCCATGTCGTGTGCAGGTTGGGATTCCGGGGCCACCAGCGATTCACAAGAGCAGTTGGGTTCCACAAAATGTTGGATATGGGATAATTACCCATGGATACCCAAAATTTCACTGTTGGAGAAAATAAGTTTCTAATGTTAAAAAAAACCTACGCTAATATTTACCCCTGCTTTGGGCAAGAGCACTGCCCATGACGGTGGCCGAGGTTGGTTCACAGGTAATCCTGTGTGGACTGAACTTTTACTGGACTTTCGAGGCAACTTTGATGAAATCTTTGGCGGATGGTGGGTGAGATCTAGGGACCACAGCCAACCATATGTTTGATTTTGTTTGATATTGTTCATGTTGGTTTGTTAAAAAAAGTCGGTAAACACCAAGATGGCAATCTTTAAATAGGGAAAATGATGATAAACCATGCTATTTGGGGTTCCCTATGCTCAGACAAACCCATACGTATATCTATACTTATACAAGTGGGAAACCGCATGATTTAAAATTTCTGTGGTCATCACTGCTACCACTCCAAGTGGGCTATACACATCGTTTGCCATGTTATGAACTGTTATGATCCTACCGTCAATTGCCCGCCTAGAGAGGGCTGGCTATACTGAAAGGAATATATTTGACACAAAATGGGAATGGTTTCCTTAAGATTAAGTTTTCATGATCCCCTTTATCCATATCATTTCATACCATTTCATGTCATTTCATGTCAGTTTATATTCATACCATACTGGGGATCAGACAATCTCAATTTTGGGCAGATTGGGGTTCTTCGACAGGGTGCTCCCGAAATGGCGTGACTGGGTTCATTCACTGAGGTCTTAATGGGCATGCTGCATGGGCACTCAGATTTCTTCGCTGCCTGTTTCTTGTTGCCGGGGAAAGTCCTGGACAAGAGTATGACCGACTGACAATGACCTTTCTGTCAAAGATGGTGTGGGGAACAAACCCCAAGAGGTGTCTTTCAGATTTATGAGACATGGTTGGCCCGGAACGGCCCGGAACGTTGTAGGAAGCCTTAACAGCAAGCCATCAGCCAGGGAAGATTCTTCTGCTCTCAGCCGAAAAAACACCAACAGCTCTCCAAGATTGCATCAGTCTGATCCATTTCTGATGAATTTCCGAGGTCGAAGAAGAAAGAGACGAAACTGAAGGATTGACCAAGTCGAGCCAGCCTGACACGCAGCTGTACATAGCTCCTGCTGCCACGCCTGCCACGCATTGGCAGCACTGGGGCGGTCCGTTGAGTCGAGACGGTGAACTTGTTTAATTCAGACCCACCAGGTGTGTTTCAGCTACCAAGCTATGGCTGAAGCGGCAATGATTTTGTTGGCGAAAGGTTCAAAGCACCTCCTTTTGGGGAGGCTGAGGTCATACCTTTTTGTATCTTTTTGTTATATCCTCAAGTTATTTGCAGGACAGGAAGCAACCTGGCCAGTCTGGGGAGTTGTTGGATTCCCTTTCTCAGCTGTGCCTCAGCAAAGCTGCTAGCGCACAGATCGCAGACGGCAGATGTCTGTGATTTTTGCCGGAGATCATTTCCATGTACAAAGGGTCTCGAAAATTTCTTATAAACACAAATTTTATGTGATGGGAATATTCTATTACCATCTATTACCATATACTTGATTACCTGATAAATTACTCATTAAATTTGTTGTTTATTTTTGCATCTAAAAATTTGAAGGCCCTATGATCTCATATGGGGAAAATAACAATTTTTTTAATTTCAATTTATGGTCAGGAAAAAACATATAAAAATATATATATATATTTATTTATTTATTATATATTTATTGGAAGGCCGATAATATTTTTTAAATATTAATATATTTATTTAAATATAATATATATATATATAATATATTCCTGAATTCCCTATATGGAAATTAAACATTTATTATTTTTTGGAAATTATATTTTTGTAATTTTAAAAAAATATTGTTTTGGAATTTATTATGTTTTTTTCTTAATTAGTGTATTATTGGACCCATGTATTACGGTTGGTTATGAATGGTCGGGGGTTTGATGTTTTACTAGATTTATTGTCGATTGGTAGGTTTTTAAATTGAATTTGAAATAATGTGGTTTTTTTTTGGGAGGTGGCTTTTGGTAGTAATTTTGAAAAACAACTTGGGAATAATTATGGGGAGCAAGTATTGACGAACGATTGGTTTGAAGAAGATAATTTTGGGTAGTAGTATTAGGAAATAATTTTGGGAAGTAGTTTTTAGAAACAAGTTTTGGGGGGAATTTGAGTGGTTTGGGAATTTATTTGTTATA